ACCAAAGCAAATCCGGCCGACTATAATGCCCACAAACATCAACCAGCATCCTCGCCCGACTCACCTCCTCAAAGTCCAAGTCGGCATAAATAATCCCCTCCTGATCGGCCGGTATACCCGTCGAAATCTTCCGCCCATCAGGCGCAAACACCGCCGACGCCCCTCCCCCGGGTTTATTCATCAACCCGCCACTCTGCAGCGCCATGCGCTCGATCCCCGCTTCTGTGAGAACGGCAGTCGTGTGCAGCACGAAAGTCTGCGCTTCGATCGCGTAGGTCTGCGAGATTGAGGCTGTGCCCTCGGCGCTCATCGACCACGGCGCGGAACCGTCAAAGGATGACACGGGCGGCCAGGCCGCGACGTGGATTGCCTCGCGCTGCGAGATCGTGTGGTATTTCAGCAAGGGTTGGATATGTTCCCAGCACGCCAGGGCGCCGACCCTCCCCACAGGCGTATCGACGACCGAACGCAGACAGGCGTCTGCGTCGGCTGCGTCGCCGAAGATAGTGCGCTCCATGTGTGTGGGCTTCAGCTTCTTGCGGGTCGTTAGGAGTTCCCCCGAGGACGAGATTATCGCCTGGCTGATGTACAGGCTCGAGTGGATGTTCTCGGCGAAGCCGAAGACGACGGTGATTTTGTGCTTTGCGGCTGCTGTTTGGATCCGGGTTAGTTGCTCGGAGGGGACGCGGAGGGAGTTCGCGATGTAGGCTGTTGCGAGAGGAGGGTCGAGGGGGCGGGCCCTGCGAGGACCACTGTTAGTGCGTGAGTCTGTGAAGGTTGAGAGGTGATCGGATGGCTGGTTAGGGTAGGAGGTACCAAATCCAAGCTGGGTATCCCGGGATCCAGCACTCGGGGAAGGTTACGAGCTGCGCGCCATTCTCTGCGGCTTCGGCGATGAGGGTGCATGTCTTTTCGACAGTCTTCTCGAGGTCGAGCCAGACGGGTTCCGCCTGGGTCACGGCGACGCGGACTTTGTTGGGGAGGGCAGTGGCAGTCATCTTGAATATCAACGCCCTGACTGGAATGGTGGTAGAAAGATGAATGCAAAGGCTGGATGATTTGATCAGGGATTGCTAGCCCGGAGGGTATTTATATCTCCCACTGGGCTGCTTATATCCGACAGCTCGGGATTTAAACCCCGACCAGAACCTGGGCACATGGAGCGACAGGACCAGACTCGCAGTTCCGGGCTGTGAAGCGGAAAGCATAGCCGAAACTATTGGCCATGTGTTGCCTGCAGCTATAGTAGTACGTACATCCATGACAGCTGAGCTGCAGCCGGGCCTCAGGGGGGCTAAGCTTCCCGCGCTCCATACAAAACGGCCCGCCTATTCTGACTGCGCAACGGGGATTGGCCACACCGTTTGATCGGTCCACCGGGCGGCTGAATGTCTAGCTGCATCATGCGGTATCGAGCGGGTTAGCCTTGGATTGCCATATTATACCCCCGCTTGGCGGGGCGCTGGTGGGCTCGTCCACGATTCGCGTACTATCGGCGTAGGTCGAGCCCGCAGCTCCGATTAGCCGCATCGTATGATCAAGCCATGTCTGGATTTCGCGTTTCAGTGCCAGCCCTGAATCAGGTATATTGTTCTCGTGTGTCTACAGGAGACAAACAAACACATCCTTACGCAGTATTGACGGCTGGTACTCATTCTTGTCTAGTCTCTGTCTAGCAGCATTCCATCAGGAATCCTCAACTCCTTAGCTGGCAATCCCGTGGCCGCGGATTCAGTGAGAAAAAAAAAATGCAACTCTGTTACCAGTATTCCCAATGTTCAGCCTACCTTAAGCTGCTGACATGGATGGTCATATATACATCTCGGGATTCAAATGCCACCCAGAAGCCCGCACCAATAGCCTGAGACCTTATCAGTCGGATTTTATTACTGTGCTGGGAGGTGAGATGTCCAGGGATTGATCATGTGCTTGGTGCGTGCAGGTATATCTCCGGTGCATATTTTTGCAGAGCTCAGGGTTCCCCGGCCTGGCATGATTGTGGGGTGGTGAGCTTACTGATAACATACCGATTAACCTGGGTATATAGACATGGCTGCTATTGGATGACATTCGATAATCCCCGAGGGTTCAGACTTTGAGTGTGAACTCCGCCGTCGTCGCCTAGCCTATTCTCGATTTCATGCAAAGATCCATCAATTTAGGCGTCGTGCTCGGCCTGTGCGTGTGCTAAGCGAAGACGTGTGCTCGGGTACAAACCTCAAACAAATCTCAGAGAGAATAGAGTACGTCTGCTGAAAAAGAAAAGGGTTCAGCTAGTAGTTTCCCAAACAGATGAGATGAGCTGTGGACAAAAGCAAGAACATTATAATCCACCATGTCACAATCACTCAGAAGGGCATCTAATGATTCCAGGTTAGTTGCAACCGACCTGGTCTGCATCAGCTGCAATCGATGCCACTGTTTAAACCCAATCCAGGTGGTATACTGCATTTGCCCAACATTGGGAGGACAAGGCGCGAGCCTGTCCCTGGGCCGTCCCCAGTGCCGTATATTTATTGTACTTGGAGGTCCGGTAGGGAATGGCCCTATGTATAGTACGTGCTCCATGTCATTCTCTAATTCGAGTCGTTGATGCGATGCAACTTTACCAACCAAAGACCCCTCGCCTGCAGATATATTAGTAATCCTAATGGGCACGCTCTCCTCCCTCGGCGTGCTAAACTGGTCGTTCGCGAGCATCCCGCATATATGTACGTCTGCCGCGCCAAACGAGTTCACATGTCCATACTCGCGCACGCACTTCAACAGGTCGCTGATCTGGGCCGCCATCGGGCTGCGCAGACATTTCGCGGAGAACAAGTACGATGCACTGCTTTATTTCTTCCTCATTGGGGCGGTCTTTGCGATCGCGGTGTATTTCCTTTCTCGGCGACGCCGTCGGTCTTCAGATAAGCCGCAGAGTGGAGACGGAGACGGAGGCGGGTGTGAGAATGGCCCGAGGAGGAAGAGGAATATTTGGAACTCTGTCCACGTCCCCCTCTTCCTAGGCGGGCTAAACTACCTGCCACCAGCGACGGGTATGAACTACGGGAGCTGGGTGGCCGTCGAGTGGGTGATCTTTGGGTGGGTGATCAAGAGGCACGCGCAGGGGTGGTGGGTTAAGTATAACTTTGTGTTGAGCGCCGCGCTGGATTCGTCAGTTGGTGTTGCTGGCGTTGTTATCTTTCTTACCGTCTGTTTTACGGGGGCGGCGGAGTGGTGGGGGACGGAGGTTTACAAGGTATGTTCCCCCTTTTTTTTCTTCTCTCGTGGTTTCGACATGGGAGGGTTGGTGCGAGGACCTGGGTTTGTGGTTTGTGAAGGAAGACAAGCTGACTGCGTACAGAATACGTGCGACTGGAAGGGGTGCGTATCTTGGACTGCCTGAGGGGGGAAAGTTTGGGGTATAGGCTTAAGCCTAGTTGCAGGGCATCGACCGACGGGTCAGGGAGCTTTATTATGAGACATGAACGGACTTTGGGGCGTTTTCGCCGTGTTCCATGCGGTTGGAGTTATAGGATGGAGTTCCGGCCTGCTACTTTATTGCTTGATTGATGTTTCATTGACATGTATCGAACTCTAGCTAGGTTGATCTGGAGAACTCTTTGAATTTGACCTATAGATAATTAGATACAACATGAACTCTACGTCCCTTTTGAACTATGACTACACCTTTCCTAAGCCCGTATTGCATTAGTATGCATCTGTCCACTAGGTCATGATAGAAAGAATCTAAAACTACTAATAATTCCATTGAGCTTCTAGCGGTACTAAAAATGGGTTAACCCATTTCACAGAGCATGTAGGCTAATCCCGCTCAACTGATCTGACTATATCTGGGCCTTTGTGTCACGGGGTTACTTTATATGGGATGATGGACGGCTCAACAAAGAGCAACAAAGCGTCCTCTCAACGCTATATAATGTCCATTATGAGATTTCATTGTACAAGCTTTCAAGGCATTGCTCACAATGCCTTTGTATCTAATACCTTAGACAAAGCAAAGAATGAGAGAAAGAGGGGGTATATAAACACCAAGATATCCAACTTGAATCCCCTTGTTCATCCCATCCATCACATACACAACAATCCCGGCTTTGAGCAACCCAACGCCAGTGCCCCCCGCGCAAACCGAACGACTGAATCTAATTCCAAAAACTCCGTCACGATGCCTACTACAACTACTACCCGTGAGCATATTACCAGAAGGCGAACCCCCAAAACACCATCTACACCACCACCCGAGAAACCCCCCACCTCCACCTCCAGCTCAACCCAAACCCGCCCCGGCCCAACCCAAGACCTCGACCTCCTCCCCACATACACATCCACAGTCTCATGCGCCTGCATCCTGGACCCCGAAACCTCACCCCGCACGTCGACAGCCCTCCTCTTCCTGCTAATCCTCGACCCCGCCGGGCTCCGGATCAACGACGCAACAACCCACCTGTACGAGATCCACCCCGCGCGCAAGTACCCGCGCCATATTACCAGTGATGCGCCGGGTGGGCAGTCCCTCGCGAGATTGCCGCCCCTGACGCATTTGGGGAGCGTCGAGTGGGATATGGAGGGGGATCTGCTGGATGTGGTTGATGAGGCGGTTTATGAGGTTGTGAGGTTGCGGAGGGAGCAGGGGGATGAGGATGTGGGGACATTTGTAGGGAGGTTTGTGCGGGTTATGGGAGAGTTAGGGTGGGAATGGTGAGTTGTCTGGTAAGTTACTTTCGAGTCTTTTCTTATGTCTTGGGGCTGTGTGGTTAGTTCAAGCAGGGTTTGTTGTGAGGTATGCGGTGAAGTTGGGGAGACGGACCAAGTAATCCTTCCGAAGCTTCATAAATACAAGAATCAATACAAAATTGTTTGCCTTGCATTGTTAGTATTCGTATAGAGGCGTAGTAGAACTGACTATACTACTAGAGATGTAAGGCTCCATGTTCTGATCAACGCCGGTGGCGTAGACAAGCCATCCGATAGATTCTGAGACTTGAATGCTGTCCACTATAACAGTCAACGCCCCACAGGGCACTCACAAGTAGTGATAGGCGAAGACGAGCTGGTCGTGTCATTTTACTCGAGTCATGTGCGAGGTACGAGGATCCGGGTCTCACGCAAGAAGACTACGAGCTGCTGACGCTCAATGCCGGGGTCGGGGGGTGGCTGTTGCGCCTTCCTTGCGAGCTCTACTACATGGGCCGCTCCTACGTTTCTGGGTACGGTCAGTGTACTTGCATACTAGGAAGGCGCGACGGTTGCATAGGTAAGGATCGGAGAGAGTCAGTCCTTCTCCATTAAGTATTGTCTGTTTACTTTCGTATTAGGAAGGCGCAACGGTTGCCTCGGTGAGGTTAGGGTCGCTCCTTCCCATTAGGTGGCTTACGCGCCGCGATAGAAATGGAAGTAGTGATCGACCAGGCGAAAAGTCCGGGGAACGCACCTTCCTTATAGGACGGACCACTTTGGTAGCGCACTACTCAAGTACTAGATTCAAATTCGCCCGCGCGGTAAAAGGATATAGAATATTTGCCAGTTCTTGCTTTCTAGTACTATGCCGCCCACTAAATATATATATAACTGATAGTACAATATTGATAATGGAATATCTGCACAGCCGTCCATCCCCAACCTCATCCGCTCATGCCGCCTGAGGGACTATTGCAATAAAGTGCTCTGCCCTATATCACGCCAATAAACGTGCCACTTAGCCAATATAGAGTAACCTGGCCAGAAACTCGGCTAGGAGCATGCACATCCCTATAAAGGATATTTTGAAGTTTGAAGCAACTAAGGACTACTAATATTAATATACTTCACGTCCACTAGTTAGTCTTTGTTCTGCTAGAAGCTGTGATAAAAAACTTAGTAAACATTTAGGTGAAAGCTTGACGCCTTTATTAGAGAGTTAATAACCTCTTTATATAAGTATCTTATGCTTCAGCAGGTTCCTTATCTTAGACCCTATTTTACTCCAGCCTGGGGTAGTCGTGAAGGCCAATGACTGTACGTCTTTTAGCTCCTGCATATAATCTTGTGCGGCATTTCTACTCCATGACATAGTTGCTTCTTACAATAGACTTACTCTGTTTTCCATGCATCAAGGCTGATGGTGTGCCTCACGCAGAGACCTAGAAGTTAGAGATTATTCCATGGGCGAGGACAAGCGCATGGCCTTTATTTCATGGGGATCACTTGGTAATGGCCTAGTTGCAATCGCAAAGGAAATAGAAAGGATACTAGCTACAGCGAAAAACACCAGCTTGCAAGCCATGGTAGGTTCTATCGCACATCCAAAAGCAGGCCCGTTGCCACATTGACATAAACATAGGGATTCGCACTGGCATATCTGCTCCATCAAAGTCCTTACGACGCCCCAACTGTGGGCGTGCAAGCTGTCAAGCCCGGCATGTTGAAGAGCTTCCGGAAGCATTGCGCGAGTGAGACGTTTTATGGACAAATTCGACACCATCGAAAATACCAGGCCTTTTGACCCACTGTTCCCAGACAACTATTATCTCCCTACGAGAATGGAAGAGTGTATAGCCTTTGTCTGAGGGTAGTGGATAATAAAAATTATTGATCAGGCGCATGGATTAATGCTCCTGCCAAACAGTCAGTAAGCCAACTTCGTGCGCCTCAACGCAAATGCAGAGATAACAAGCTGTTGACATGGAGCACCGCAATAGGCTTGCATGGCCTTCGGAGTCTACATTTACGAGCTATGTATAGCTATGACGCCTTGGGATATTCGAGGCACGAATGCAGGTGGCTGCCCCAGGGGGAGGGGCTGTTTAACAAGTACATAATTTGTAGTAGTAGCATGTACAGAATACCCTTTTACTACTAAATGGTTGGATAATCCGGGGCAGCATTGTTTGCCTTGTTGGTAGTGTACGTCCTCTGACCGGCTCTCAGGCCTGAAAGCAAAGGCGTCTCTCACCCCTACTATGCCGCCAGTAATTCGTCGCCTCCATAATTTCGCTGCAACCCTGTAAAAGCCATCCCCATCTTTTCAGGAACGGTACTGTTGCTTCCCAGTTTCGAGGATCTGATGGCTCGCCCCAAACTATCAAGCCCGCACCCTCTGTGCCGTTCCCACCCCATTCCACAAGGTCGGCCCACAGCTGTTCTTCGTCATCGTCGGTCAAGATGTCAGACACGCATGTTGCCTGTAATAAATTGTCTCGCATTCTAGCCAGCGGGAACAGGTCAATCCACGGGTGATGTGGCGTTCGCAGCTGGAGGTCCGTTGGAATCAACGACGTCGGGCCAGGGGAGGAGCAGGTGGCCATATCCGCCGGCGCTGTTGGGCCGATGAATCCGAATGGCGAAATAGCATGGCAGATGAGCCAATCGACTTGGAGATTCAGGGCGGCTGCGTTTGACGTCAGAGCATTGATAGTATTTAGTTTCATCACTTGCATAAGCTGATCTGTGTTGGGCTGGTTGGTCATGTAATTGTGCAGTGCCTCCCGCGCAAAAAGTTCCAGGAGAGCGCGCCGTTGGCAAGCAGTAGCTGCAGTAAGCTCTGCATTGAGCTTTTTTATTTCCTTCTCTCCTGCATCAGGGAGCCGTGCAGTAGCCCCTTCTTTGCCATCCTGTTTCGCTTTCCTCTGGCGCCCTTTGTCCCACGTAGGTCAGGTCAGTCCTTGAAGTATAAGTAGCATGCATGTCACGTACAAGCTCTCTGGTTTAATCTGTTTTGTAATTTTCTCCGCTCCTTCGTATCAGTGACACCCGCCCAATCATCCTTTTGGCGCTTCACGTAATTCTGATGCGGCATTTGCCGTACAACGATGGTCTGGTCTGTCCTATCCGAAGAGGCCATGATGGAAATTCTAAGAATGGATTGGGGAGGGAAAAAAAGTCCGCAGGGAAAAAGAATGGAGTGAGGAATGCAGGCGGCTTACATGGCCTTGAGGTCTGTGGAGGAGGTGAATGTGCCGAAGAGAGTCGTCTCGAGTAAGCCCTGTACCATGGGACCTTTTGGGCGCTTATGCAGCCCGCTTATATTTTTCGTGGCCATGCGCCAATCATAGGAAACAATTCTGCCCAGGCCTCCACTACCCCACAAACACCTTTGACTCTTTCCGGCGTTGTGGACCCTTCGCCCCACACCCGCTGAGGCCCTAACAACCACGGGTGAAACGGCGACGAGGCCGGTGGCGGCTCTGGGTTTCGGTTCGAACCCCCGATCAGATAGTGGTCCTGTCGATACACCCATGCTTCGTCGAAACGAGGCAAGTGGTGCTCAGGGCCGAGGGCCGGGTACGGCCCCCGTTGTCCCGCTGGGACAACCTTGGGATGCCATCTCAGGTTGCGACTGTTGTTATATTTCTTCTGGGTGATGATCCAGCAATATTGACTAACCAACACTTGTGCCCATTCTATTCTTTGTACTCTGGACTGTTCCTCAACCTCTTGAAATAGGCCCTCTCATGTCCCAAGATAACCTTCGCCTGTCTTGCTTGCGCCAGGCTGCGCAGATAATTCCGGCTCCGATGCCACTCGTTCCAGTCCCTCGTCAACGTGCCTGGGGCAATGCCCTCTTCCCAGTTTTCCTTGACGTGGAACGCATCCCCCGTAAGCAAGACTGTACCCGTCTTCTCCAGGTTCACTTGCATGGCAATGGATCCCGCCGTATGCCCCGGGCAGTGATGCAAAATAATCCCCGGAAAGACCTCAAAGACCGTACCCGTAAAAGTCCTCCAGTTCAAGCGGTCGACACTCAGGTAGTCTTTCAAGTACGGGCCTTGATCAACCCGCGTCGCACATGCCCAAAAGGCATTCTTCAGCTCCTCCTCGTGACACCAAACTTCGACCTCTACCAAGAAGGTGTTTTGTATTAGCATACATATTCTCTGGCGGCGGTGAACGGCACCAGAGGACAAACGAACCTGTGTCTAGGAAGTGCTCCAAGCCCCCTGCATGGTCACAGTGGAGATGGCTCATCACAACCGCCTTGACATCCGTGATCTCCCCGGCCCCCGTGGCTCGGATAGCCTCGGCAAGGCCGTGTACGGATTTATCCCAGTTCCGTGGGCTGCACTCCATTGTCTTCGCGCCCCAGCTCGTGATGATGTCCTCGCAGGAGCCCGCGTCGAAGAGAACAAGGCCTACATGCGGGTGGTAGATCAGAGCGGCTATCATGATCAGGTCGCGACGCTCATGCGGCTGTGGTGCAAGGCCGACTGCGAACTGGTTGCGTCCTGCGAGGACGTTGGCTGCATCCAGATCGATGCTGCCCAGGTCCAGGAGCTGAAAAGGGGATGGGAATATCAGCACTTTTGTCATCGTTGGGTCTATCGCGTGGGTTTTTACCCATAGCTTCGCTCCATTCGGCATATTCGTTGAATAGAATGACATGGCGGTTAGATCTTGGATGGATTCAATTTCATTAGTCTTGGCCGTACAATATATTCGAATACACCTGCAGCTTAAAAGACTGCGGGCGCAACTCTTGATGGTTTTACCATCGGATTTATCTGCGATTCCCTTAGAGTGTTATACTCTTACCTCTGTTACTGTCTAGTCTAGCTGAGAAACCAAACCATAAAAGTCTAGCTTCTGTGGGTGCTTGGCGTAAGCGACTTGCATGATCATTCTTGACCCATTTCGTCACGTTTTCCTCGTGTCTCCATCCACTCGTCGATCAGCTTCTCGAACTCGTCATAGATATACTAATTAGCAGTATCAATAAAGTCCTCACCAACTGCAACCATCCTATCCAGAATAGCAAAATGGTCCTCTATTCTACTGAAAACGTGCCCTGATTTGGAGGCCAGATCTATGAAATGAAAGTCAACAGCGGATTATCCCTCTCTCCCAAGTCGCACCTCCATCTTCTCAGCCAGTGGAGCCGCGCATTACCAGACAACTTCCGCCATTTCAGCCCTACTTCTTCTCGAAGGGATTACTTGGCAGAGGCCAACAGGCAAGCTTTTATGAGTGCGATGCACATTTTCTGCGTGTACTCCTTTGCTATAATTCTGACAACATGCCTGTTTCTGCCCATATACTTGGTATATAGATTCCATGGCGTAGTACTATATAACCTTGGTAGTCATGTAACCATGGCATCTGATATAAATATTAAGCATTCTAGCATCTTTATATTAGCCCTAATTTAAGTTAGTTTATTACAGCACATGGTAGATATTTATATTAAGACTAAGATATCTAGATTTATATTCATTAATTTCTACCTCCTAGAGTCTATTTCCCGCTTAAACACAAAACTAAAAGACTAATACGTATAAGCTTAAAGGTTCTAGCGCAGGTCTGGTCCACAAAGCCTCCATGTTTGCTAAGTAACCGCGTCAAGGTATCAACAATGTTCCCTTGGTAGTGGCAGGGGTGGACCATAATCAAGGATATCACTCAAATCAGTCCACAGGTCATGGTTAGTGGAAGAGGTAGTATATACCCATTCTCTTAGCTGGCAGCGTTTTGCCAGTTTCAGACATACAGGCAACAGCAGATGAGAAGAGATCAAACAACCAAAACCACTTGAAATGAGATCCGTTTCCACTACTGCCTCACGATCGTGTCCGCAACCTTTGCTGCATTCCACGTCCTCATTGGCCAAGATAAGTTAAGGCCCCGGAGCAACATCACACCCCGAGTCATAGTGAACGCAACCATTAGCACGGTTACTAAAGCAGACATCGCCCCCCTCATCACGATCCCCATGTTCAGTCATAATACTGCTGCGGCACCCCCGCAATAATATCCCTCTCAGGCTGGTCGACAACCCCCGTCCGGAACCGATGGTCCTTTGCAATCCGTGCCCTCGCCCATTCTAATTAGTCCAGTCATCAGCCTACCCTCCACTTCTCCAACGAAACAAGAACGGAAAAGAAAGCACTCACCCTCAGCCGTAACCCCCTCCAGCGCCCGCACATACTTGCCGTCCAACCGACTCCCCACCCGCTCCACCACCGGACTCTCCAACGGCCTCATGGCAACCCTGGCCTCGGGCCTCGCAAAGTATATCAACCCCAACCTCGATTCACTTACTTGATCCCCCGGCGGGCGGACAACTCTATGCACCGTGGACTTGAGGAACCCACCGGAAAGATACTCGAGCGCATCGACGATATTCACGATGATCGCATCGGGCTCGGACCGCACATATCGCCACACCCCGTCCGGGGAAAGAACCTGGAGCCCTGCGACAGGCTGGTAGAAGAGAAACGTCAACGTGTTGTAATCCGTATGCCCCTTGGCCCAGATATTCCCGACCGCCGCATCGTCCGCCGCAGGACGCGGGTGGTAGATCATGTACCGGAGGTACTCGAGGCCTGGCTCGTCGTACCGATGTAGATTGGCAAGTGCCTCCTCGTCGTCAATCTCCAGCACGTACGCGAATAGCCGTAGTAACGGGAGGAGGATCTTATCGTGGATGTGCAGCGAAAACTCGCGTATCTCCTCGTAGTGATCGCGGATGATTTGTGGATGCGCCCGCTCATGCTCCGGCGTGAACTTTGGGATGTTGTATCGCTCGTCATTGTCGCGTCCGCTTAGTTTCCCGGTTGACTGGGGCTTGTAGCCGCGGAAATCGCCCGAGGCCGTGTCGCAGATGTATTTTAGTTTTTCGTCGAGCGGGAGGGCGAAGAGGGCTTTTGCGATGGCGTATTGGCGGTTTATTTGCGTGGCGGTTAGGCCATGGTTTGTTACATAGAAGAAGCCTTTATCTCGCAGTATTAGTCTATGGTGTATAATAATAGCTGGACACGGCGGGGTGGGCGCAGGTACCATTTTTGTTGATAAAGCTGAGGACTTGTTCGGCTAGGGCTTGTTTGCCGCCTGGTTGGGAGAGGAGCGAGAGATCGAGAGCTTCGAGGGACGCCCAGTCCACTGTTTACAGGGTTGGCATAATCACCTTAGTATAAGGACCGAGAAGTAGGTGCTTACAGTTCTCCTTGGTTTGCGGCGGAGGAACATAGGGTTCCAGCGGTGGTGCAGTTGTAGACGGCATTGTCTCAACGTGAAGACACCGTGATATATCAAGGACAGCAGGACTTTGTGTGTGTCAGAAGATAAATACCCCGCAGCTATATAATCGATCCACCTTGTGTCTCCAACGATGTTGAAATACCAGCCTAGTATGAGCACATACATTCCGGCCATCACACCATCCGCTGTTATATAACCTGTTATTCGCCAAGGCCCATTTGGAGAACGACCAGGATCATTAGCTCGTGCGATATCAAGATATCCCGCACGTTTGGTAACGATGTAGGGTAGACCGCAGATAAGAATTGGAGACAAGTGAAGATGCCATTTTGGTGGCTGTCACGTTATCGGTCAATCTCCGCGTGAGGGTGAGATTTTTCAAGAAATTGGAGTTGGTATATATATTCGAAGCATCGGCATTAAGAATCATACTTTGCTTCTGTCTAAGCTTTACCAAGAACGCCACACGCCATGGCAACCACGGCTGACAAGTCCGCCATCGTCGAGGCAGCGACACCAGTATCCCCTGTTCACAGCAGCCTCGACGAGAAACCTGTTGCTCGGAGACAACGACTGAGGAGAATCATATGGGATACCTTTGACTATTCGGCCGAGGAACGATGGTTCATTTTCAAGATTGACTTTTTTATCCTGTATGTCCTCGCAACCCGAAAGATCCAATGGTAGAATTAATCTTTCAGGACATGGGCAAGCTTCTCATATTTCTCCAAGAATCTGAACTCCAATAACCTCTGTGCGTCCTCACATCCTCCATATCATAGAAGAGGAAGAAGCTAATATTGGCCGCAAATGCCTATGTCTCGGGCATGAAAGAAGAACTCAACGTCGTCGGCAATGAATACCAAACCTTCACCACCATGTGGACAATGTCCGTTCCCCTCCCCTATTTTAAAACACCTACTAATATGGAGCAGAGGATACGTCGTCTCCCAGATCCCCTCCCAAATGATCTGCACCCGCGGTAACCTCCTCCCCAACACCTCTTCCCCCTTCATATCTCCCCAACTAACAAAAGATCAATGCTCAAGTCCGCCTCTCCCTCTGGTGCCCCTCCTGGGAACTCCTCTGGGTAATCGTAACCTTTGCCTCGTCGGCCGTCAAAACACCTCACCAGCTCTACGCCTGCCGCTTCCTCGTCGGTCTCGCGGAGGGCACGTTCTACCCAGCCGTGCACACCGTGCTAGGCGGGTGGTATACGAAACGCGAACTTGCAAAGCGCGCCTGCATCTTCTTCGGTTCGGCGTTTGTCGGGAGTATGTTTAGTGGCTATCTGGTATGCTTCTCCGTTCCCCTATACTCTCCTCTTGTGTGTTTTGGGTGAGATATGGGGCTTTGCTAATCTGAGACTGTTGTTGTGTGCATAGCAAGCAGCCCTGCACAGCGGGATGAACGGCGTCGCGGGCCTCTCCGGCTGGCGCTGGCTCTTCATCTTTGACGGGGTGATTACCCTCCCCATGGCTGTGTGGGGGTACCTTGCGCTCCCGGACCTGCCGAGCAACACGCGTGTGTTCTGGCTCAAGCCACAGGAAAAGGAATTGGCACGGGAACGAATGCGCAAGGCCGGGAAAGCGCTCGACGAGCCTATTACGCTACAGGGTGTCAAGAGGGTTCTCTCCGGGTGGCACTTTTGGGTTTATACGGCTTATTATACGTATCTCCCCCTTCCAATCTCTTTCCGTTCTAGATATCTAGAGGGGGATGGAAAAAAAAGGCTAACCTAGTAATTGCGGTCAAGGTTCTTCATCTGCTCCGAAAACATCGGCGGCTACATGAACCTGTGGCTCAAGAGTCTGGGCCGATACTCGGTGACACAGATCAACACGTATCCGACGGTGACGAATGCAGTGACGATCCTGACGAGTTTGGTCTATGGCTGGACGAGCGATGCGATCCAGCTGCGCAGCCCGATTGTCTTCTTCAGTCTCACGGTTTGTTTTTTCGCAGCGATGAATCTCGCCATCTGGGATGGGGTCCCGTTTGGGCTCAAGTGGGCGAGTTATTATCTTACTGGGTGCGTGCTTTTTCTTTCCTGCTAATCTGGGCAGATGGCCGTGTAATCGGGGTGGATGATATCATGGCTAATGAGTGTGTGTCTGAATAGGTTCGCGCAGGGGTCTGGGCCTGTTTTCCTGGTTTGTCGATTCTTACTTTCACTTCTTTATCTTGCTTGCAGAAGAATTAATGGCTGGTTAGACAATGGTCAACGAGGTGTGTGCAGGCGACAGTCTTGAGCGAAAGATTATCCTCGGTTCCACGAATTCGATTGCGTGAGTTGTGCCCCTCGTGTATTCTTGAGGTAGACAAATCACTAATGACGGCTAGATACGCATTCAATGCCTGGATCCCTCTGATCTCCTACAACACAAACTATGCCCCTCGGTTCCTTGTGGGAAACTCCGTCACGGTGGGGTTGATCGTTTGTGCGGCGTCGACGCTGATGGGGGCTGTGTGGCTTGAGCGGCGAGATAAGAGGGAAAGGGTAATCAGGCATGATGAAGAAGAAGACTCTAGTCAGCGAGGGCACCTGCACATAGTGTGAGGCTGGTGTGTCCTTTGTCCACATGCAAACCTTTGTGACTAAATTGAAGTGTCGTCGTGTTTTTCCGTAGGGAAAGGCGAAACTAGCAGGCTAGCTGATTCAGTCTGTACGGTCAAGGATAGCGGTTATAGCCAGCACGGACAAACTCCCGAGCGCTTTTCCCTATATGAGCGTCTTTTCTGGAAGCTAAATATCAAAAGCATAATAGATCCTACTTGCGATTCCCTAGCGACTTGTTTCTGCACCTATAAGAGAGTCCGAAACGATCTCAAACAAGTGTAGGCTAGTGGGATTCAATCTTAACGTACACTAGTGTTGCTTGGTATAACTCGTATGAGGTAGGAGAGAGTTTTATTCTGTAGCTAAACCAGCTGCTGACTATCCTGTATAAATGAATAGGATGGGACTCTCTGGGGGGTGCACTGTTCTGTTGGCTAACTAGTCTAAGCTAGTCCAGAGACTTGAACCCCTACCTCTGCAGACTTTCATAACCAAGCTCTTCCTACCGAGTTGCATGAGTATCATGGTCATTATACTCGTGGTACAGAGTAAGATATTTATTGTCATATTCCGAGGATATGATACTGTCCTCCTCTGCATCAGCCTTACAGTGGCATGAAACTATTAAGAATGGTGCAACGTGCGCATATCCGTCATCGTACTTAATAAACTCCCAATGCGCGGCTGCACTTCTTTAACGGTTACAATCATTATATGCCTTGGTTGAGGTAGATGGCAGGGCTAATACCGATCCTTTACATGTCTGGCTGGGTACGAGAGGATGGAATGGCATAATAGAGGCTAACAGAAGCATGTGGCCCATAGGCCGAATTCAGGTAGATTGATAGGACTTACCAGATCGCAGCCTCATCTAGTGGCGCATACCCTGCACTAAGTATTCGAAGTGCTCAGCAGGGGCCCATAGTATTGCGGACGGGTAATTGGCTGGCCTGCGCAGAGACCCATTTATTATTGGAAGAGACCTGGTATACGCATGCAATGGAACTTACCTAAGCTCAAAGTTGCCATCGGATATCGCTATCATCTTCCTCGTACCCAGATTTCTAAGAACAAAAAGAGACTTGTCGGGAGCCACCAAACTAGTCAATCCGTCCGAGTTCTCAACGAAGGTGATCGTGGAGTTCTCATGTCAGTTGTGCTTAAAAATCTAAACCCACCTGGGCACAAGGAAAGCCAAGGTTAGGTGGAAGGGGGGATCATTATCACCTTCTATATATCAAAAGCACGGTCGAACAAATGGATAAATGGTATTCGATATTAATGGTGGTGTCATTGAACTTTATTTGATGAACCCTGGATCAGCGTTATGCATAATCAGAAATATTCCACGAAGTTTGGCATAGTTTAGTAGGTGAACTTAGAGTTTGCCGTTTCGTCTTGAGTGGTCAGCTCCAGTGGCTGAGCACTTGATGGTGGAGAATAGACGGAATATTCACTTCCATTTCCGGCTCAGTTCCTCTCGTATCCCACTAATACTAAGAATTGCCTACAACGATGATCGCAAAGTACCTGTCACCCTAGCTCCCAGGCTGATCAGAGTAGGAAATCTTGCAAGAGGCACTTGTGCAGGAGCTCTTATGCTTTAGTGCGTCTTATCTTTAATACTTACGTTTGAATCAATCTACCAGTAATGCGCCTGAGAGACTTGTAACTTATCTAGTTGTGTTTCATGGAAAGCAAGGACTTAAAGTGACAATATACAAGCCAGCAATATATCACAATTTGTAACAGAATAACTAACCTATCTAGCTAGCTTTTACCTATTACTATAGAAAGTATCGAGGTAAGTGTTAACATGGGCACTCTATAGTATCACTACCCTCGCTAGCCCACCAAGGTCAGACTCTTCAACTTGATGGGAGTCTCCACGAGAGACTGCTGATCACGATACCGCGGTGGAAACGATTATTATGAGGAACATTGCTCTCCGGGAAGGCTAGCACTAGACCCATCCAATGTCCAGACCATTATCCGTGTTAACCTGTCGCCCGGTGATCCAACGCGTGGAAGGCTCACAGCCTAGATCTACACCTAGGGTGATAGCGTTTTTTACTTTGCTAGAATAACCTGGCAAATGGCCAGACCCAAGGTTGACTTCCTGCAATCAGGAACAGTTGATCCCATGAATATTGTCCGCGCGGGGGCGAAGAAGGCACAGAGCGGGTAACGGACCAGGACCGCCCTCCATGTGGCTGTTACCTAGTCTACGTGTATCCTTATATGGCATTGTTAGGTCCAGTTCTAGCACATACGACCACAGGGTGTGGAGAACAGGGCTTCCCGTCCGCTCAGCCGTACTTAAGCCACATAGTGAACGCGGACAATAGTTAAGTGAGCCCTGGAGTCGTGTGGCTCGACTGAAGCCAGTTGCTAAATTTTAGCGTGAGTGTAGGTGAACGCGGTGAGCGCTCACCCCAGCAAGGTGAGCTGGTCACCCCGAAGGGTGAGTCGCTCACCCCAGAAGGTGAGTTGGTCACCCTTACGAGGTGAGCGGCTCACCCTGGTGGGTAATCGAGGAAATTAAGGACCTATCTCTTGTAGATAAATAAGGAAGGGCGCTCTCGCTTCTCCTTCTTTTACCTTTGTCGTATTCTGTTGGCGTCTTATATTGTTCCTCTACTCTCCCACTCTTTGCCCCTCTCACGTGACCTCAACATGGCAGAATTGCAAGGCAGGCTTAAACTACTTCGAAAACTTGCAGAATCTCGAGGCTTCACAGAGTCTTACCAAGAAGAACAAATAATTCAAGGAAATGTCGTCTGTCACAAGAAAAGATCTCCTGCCACTGATGAGAGATATGCACGGGCACTTGATCACTGGAAACTGTGAGCATTCAAGATGCTACCCGCTCCAGCAGAGAAATTGCTAATTGGTTTACCTCTTTATACTAGATGGATGCTGTCCAAGGGCCTACCCGAAGATCAATACTTTAAAGTCGATGACCCTCACCCACCTATACAGATACTTAAACTTTTCGCTGAGAGCTTTATTGTCCTTCGTGAGGGTCCTTTACCAAGTCAGCATACTGTCGTTCATACTCTTTCCTGCTTCATGAGTGAGTGGGAGAGAATAACGTCCAAAAGGGTCCCGAAAATTAACAAGAATGATGTCTATAATGTACAGTCTAGACCATTCATGAACCCGCTCAAAGATCTTACTAACTAAATTCCAGCATATCAAAAATGTGCTCACTCCCAAGTACGGGCTTTCTACTCAACACCGAGAAAGATTCCCCGTAACCAAACTCGACCTTGACATTCTGCTTAGACATTTATATGAAAAGGATGATCATGATTATATTCATGAACGGTCCAGATTTCAGGACGCATTTGGCCTTGCATTGTTCGCCTCATCGGGCGCTAGAGCTGGGGCTATTGTTGAGTCTAGTTCGTACAGAAACTCAAACGAAGCTCTTTATTATGAGGTCCGTGGGCATTTTCTACCTTAATGTTAATGATATGCTGACCACTACAAGCATCTCTCATTGAACTTGAGATGGGATGCTTCGCAGCAGAGGGTCAAATATTGGGTCACGCTGAACCCAGAGTTTCTCAAAGGCAATCGCTATAATGATGAGGCAATTATGTCTGGTTGTCTAAAATTTCCCCTCTGATATGCTGATAACTAACGGTAGGCAGTCCGAAAAATTGGATTAGCGAGCAGAGAAATCTGGGAAGAAATTTTGTATTCTGGCTTATGGTGTGTGGGATTGCCGACAATGCTTTCAAGGGAATTGTGACTCTAGATGAACTGCTAGAGAAAATCCCACCCAAAGGGCGTGAATCATGGACCCTTGAGTGGAAGGAAGGCGCTCTCAGATTACCAGTATTTCGCAAGGTGACAGCTTCTGGGCCGGATCCGTCCCGAGCGTTAACCTTTTCTTCCTTGCGAAACGACTACAGTTCTCTAGCGAAAAGAGCTTATTTTCGAGATTCCCTAAGAGTCCATGGAATACGAGGGGCTGTTGCAAATGCGGTTGATCGTAAGTTGTCCAACACCTCACACAAATGCAGGGGATGCTAACTGGTCGACAGCAAAGGCCTCAAAAGCGGCGCGCACGCAAGCCTTGGATCATCAAAACCCAGACACCTTCAAAAAGTATCAATCCAAAGTCAAACAACTTGACCTTGGTGCCTGCTTTTGGAATGAGGAACCTGATCATGAGTCCCATGCGATAGAAGAGAGCATGATTCATCATCGGGATCCCAATGTCCCTCAGAAGCTTGATGCTGCGACAGTGGTCGAAGTTGAGAATGATCCAAGAATGATGGGCGTATATCAGCAAGTCGATATATTGAACCGCAAAATTGCTGGGGATCCGGATAAGCATGAGGACTTGGTGGCTGAGCGGGCCAAGTTGTATAACAAAGCGGCTAAATTACGTCGCGCGAAGAAGGGAGAGTTCATCGAAAATTGGTGGAAGTCATCCTATGATGAATATATCTTGGGGAACGAATTCACTGAACGAGATACAACCGACGTTTTCGACATCTGCCGCAAATATATGCCGGAGAGAGCCCGACTCCGGGAAAACCTTTTTCAAGAAGTACCGATTCACAGCGAACTTGGAAGGCAATGCCTACATGATATGCTAAATCTCATCAAATCAGAAGAGAGAGTGGCCTATTACCCAGGTGAATCACCTGTTGATGGGAAATGCCCGCTATGCTCCAAAGAAATGGCTAGGTTTGTTATACATGTCCCAGACATCTTCCTGGAGCTAACAGTGGCAGCATCGATATCCAATGTCGCTCAAAACATGTCCTGCAATGCAGAAGAAAATCATTCAACGCCGCGCCATATCAGCAGAGGTATAAGAATGGCAAAAGAGCTCATCGACGGGTCCATACCACTTTTCTCGAGTGGTGCTATTTATGTGCTAAGTGGTTCCATACCGTTGAAGAATGGAAAGCACACTGTGAATCCCATCTCGCTTCTCTACAGCCACGTTGTGGACTTCTAACCTTTCGTTTTACCCTGGTCGCTCCTGGATTTTGTCCCTTCTGTTTGGGTGATGATGCCAAGCAGCCCGACGAACGGTTCCAACAGTGGCGAACAAAGGTTACTTTGTTAACCCATATCAATAGTCACCTGGAGAAGATGGATCCAACAAGTCCAGTTCAATGTCCGCATCCCTGTTGTGAGGCCAGATGGTACGGTGATAATGTGAAACTCCGTCACCACTTTTTTAATGCCCACTCCATTGAGGAACCACGCCGAAATTGCATCTCAACCAAACGGAAGTGGCTTTGTGATGATGAGGGGAAAGTAGATCCGGAATGCCCTAAGATGAGTAGGCTGGAATAGTTTTAAATACACGTTGTATTGTTATTGTATTTCTCTCCTCTTTCAATTAGTCTCTCTTGTACTCTGGTGACCCAAAGAATGAACACCGTGATCACACAGCTCGGAAGCTCAGATCCATAGCCATATTCGTCTTGTGCGTCGCTTCAATATCCCCACGGCCTAGTAGCCTGCCGTCCAGAAGCTTTCCAATATGGGTCTTATTGATTTTCCTCTCCATCATTTCTAATCTGAGAGATGAGTAGCTTGAAAAACTTCAGAGGTTGTTTATTTCCAGCCGTTATAAATCCATCTGCGGCGAAGACCAGACCATCTTTAGTGGTAACGGGCGCCATGCGGAGGGGGTCGCATATTTCTTGGTACTCCTCATAGGATGATATGTACAGCTGACCTGCAAACAGGTTGAGCTGCACCATCACAGCAGTCGAGATCTCCATATCCCTCGAACTTGTGGGGATATCGTATAGGTTAAGCTTCTCAACGGGCGAGAAGCCCTGATTTCGGCGCGGCGCGTATAAGTGCATCGAGACATGTCTAGCGTCCAAAAGCTTGGAATGAAGTGCGTTCGCCTCATAAGGGCTTGTACGCAAGTCGACATTTGGGGACTCGCGGCACCTGGCAAGGATGCGGCGGATATTTTCGGTTTGACTGACATCAATTGGACTGGGTTGGATAGTCTGAGGCCCTCCAATTTTGGGGCTGTAAAGTCGGTGTCCATCTGCACGTTTCGTCCTCGGGCATTCTGCTCTAGCCTCCATCCGGTGGCCTCCTTCGTAGCCTTGTCCGCTAGTTCATTGCCTTCAATCCCGTGATGCGCCGAGATCCAGTGTATGACTACACGGATGTTTCATCTCCGGAGGCTATCTCATTCCTGGATAATCGGACTGATGATCTGCTGTCCCGTGGTGTGCGGTCCATCTATCGCTTGGATGGTGGCTTGGCTGTCCAAGAAGATCGTCACCTCCTGGTTGTCGTGGGTTTGGGCCATCTCCAGGCTGCTGAGACCTTCCAGTGATTTCGTTGTCTTGGCTTCGATACATTCAATGTGGCTGTCCCAACTGAGCTTGCTGTCTAGGATGAGTCCGAGGATCCGGCACTTGGTCAATTGTTTCACCTCCGGGCCGCCCAGTTGGACTGAGGAGTCCATGTTTACGTTCTTCATGTGCGTGCTAGGTAAGTGGATGAGGCTGAATTTGGAAGGGTTGAACTTGGACGCATGCTTTGGCTCCCGCTCTTAGCACTTTTCGTAGATGGCCTCTAGGTTTCTGCAGTTTTCCTCGGTCGTGGTTCCCCAGGTGACGATGTTCCCATCATCTACCCATCCCACCGCTTCGGTGTTGTGGGTCTGGACGTGGCAGTCTTCAATAAGGTCTGCGTTGAAGAAAAGGTACAGCATCAGTGACAGTGGTAATCCCTGGGGGATGCCGGTTTCCAAGCAACACGGTCCCGTTCAGAATTGCATGGTCTGTGTCATCTTTCCGGTCAAACTCCACTACCATCGTGGAGGCTTGCTTCTCTCCAGATTGCGTTTCAGCCAGCTGGAGTAGACCATCCATGCTTTCTCCAGGGAAGGGCTGTTCCATTGGGTCTTTCCTGTTCTGTTGTGTGCCTCCACCTGAGTGCTGACCCCGTGGACCAGGGTGCCAAAAGATGGCGCATTCACTGCCGCCTTCTCTCCTAGTATCTGCTCTCAGTGTGCGATGAGGTGTTCCGTTCTTTGTTGGTCTGGGGTCAAGAGGGTCAGGTCACCACTGGGTGTCGTTTCACAGCGATGACTTGCGTTTTCTATAGTGTCGGATCCTGGTGGTTTTTCAGGGTGGTTTTTCAGCGTGTTGTTGGCCTTTTCTTTTACCTCTTCGAAGGTTGCTCGGTGGCTTGTTTTCTCCGGGTCCGTTTCGTTCAGCTTCACGAGGATCTCTCTGGGTCCGATCGAGGGCCGTGTCTGTGTGGTGAGTCTCAGTACGTTTGAGGTCTTTCATTTGCGCATAGGTCGGGGCTGATAGCTTACCAACTGGGGTTGCGAGGATGTTCTTGATTTCTTTGCTGAGTATTTCCTGGGCACAGGCCGTCGCATGAACTTCCGCGGCCAGCCGGCTGGTGGTTGGGAGGCCCTGAATACTCCAAGGCACATGTCTGCTGCTCCCATTTGGGTCGCGGGCGGCTGGAGGCCCAGCTGTGGCGCAATGTGGACTTCCCGACATGCTTTCTTGGTACTGAGCGATACTTTGAGAGCTGACGAGTACGCTGGTTCACAGCCTGAACCAAATAAGTCAGTGGTGGTGGATAAATTTTAGAAATTTAGTATCGACAGTAGGTGGTTGTCCTGGGGTCTCCAGTTAACGAACTTAACTATTGGCAGTCTACGATGACTAAGTGGGGTGGCCAAATGCGGACTAGGGCGAAAAGGACTCCCGGTCTATCCCAAAACAACGTCATAGTCGTTTGCTGAAAGGCATTGACCGCCTGCTGATGTGGCGGCAATTTCCTAGGAAATCGGCGCGACTGGTGCTGGGCCCCCAACTATTCCAAGGGGAGAACAATGCATCCGGCGGGCGACGAGCTCCCACCTCCACGTGGTGCCCGCTGGGAACTCTTAAAGAAACAGTTTGGCTGTCTCCGAGTGCCAGGGGAGCTTAACAACGTGATCTTCCCCCTTTTCACGACGCGGCGTGGCAAAAACTGATCCTCCAAACCTCACGAAACACCAAACATCACAGAACCAGTTCCAGAGGAAGTCGTGTCCCCTCATACGTACGCCCCCACGATGGAGAACAGAACTTGTCACTCCATTTATCTCGCACGATAATCGTTTACGGTTTGAACATTGACGATGACGCGCCGGGCTCGGGGCAGAGAAGGTCGTATTGTTCATACGGACATCGCAACAACACCACCACCAACAGCTCAGAACATCAATTCGATGCTTATAATATTTTGCAACTTTACAAGTTAAATTGTGCCCCCACATACGTTTATGCCAAGAGACGCGTCCCAGACGCATCCTTTTGTCACGAAAAATTTACGCGGCCACGAGTCAGTCAGAATGACAAGGCGTGCCTTCAGGCACTACTGAGCTTAATGGAATCGCATGATGGACGGTGAGGAGTGATCAATAAATGGCTGTATTCCCTACTCACTAGATACCACGTGAAAAGATTGCCACACTGTTCGGAGACAGCCACCGATCAAGCCTGGGCGCTCCAATCCGGGAACACAAGTTGGTTTAAAGGCTTATACTGTCCATTGAGAACTTGATCAATTGGTGGCATCACTTGAGGACCGGTGTCAGGATTGACAGGAGGCGGCAGTCTATTGGCCGCAGTTAAAACTCCCCTGACTCCCGGTGCGTTTTGCCCAGATACGAAACTCGGAGAACTGAGACTGGCCTCACTTCCGCTTAACGGCATCCAAGGAGGAGAACCTGTGCGGGTAGCGTTCATGCCGTGTTGCGGGCCAGGGAGTCCATGAAGGACAGCGATGTCTCCTTCCACAACATGGTCAAGGGAATCAGTCGGGATCCCATGGTCTTCTTGTTGATACTGGTTTCCCTGTGAGCAGGGAGAAGACGATTCCTCTAGACTTGTGGGCTTCTGCAAAATATAACCCTCGCACAATAGCTTGGCTTTAGCACAAGTATTGCCTTGATGGAGAAATTAGCCCCGAGATCGCACCGATGAAGTTATGCAGGGAAGTCCCGTCGTCGCGCAAAAAAGAAAAAGAAAAGAAAAGACACGAAAACTATTGAAAAGTGGAAAAGGAAACCGGGACATACATGTAGGAGACCGTCTGTCACACACGCTTTTTCTGCGACGACAGGTAATACAACCGGTGCCGGATCCTTTCCCCTTAATTGAGGCTCTAGGCTTCCGAGAACGTCTCGCCGGGTTGGTGGTTTGCGCTGAGGCAGTAGTCGCCGGTGATAGCGCTTGTTGATGGAGAACGGGTAATAAAAGCGTCTGACCCGGATCGTCGCGAGCCTCCGGCTGGATTCTTGTATTCTCAGGTCGAGTTTCGGTCACCTCACTTGAACCCGGTGTATATCCGCTTAGAGGCAAACAAGACATGGTAGCAGGAACGGTATGGTCAGGACGGGGATTATTTGTTGAAGACTGGGCGTCCCGGCTTCCGGAAGCGTTTGCAGGTGCAGACAGGGCATCCGAGAGGACCTGGTGATGCGAGTTTGCCGGTTGAGTGTTTGCAACATTACCCACTCCATACGGCCCGAAGACATCTCCATCAGATTTATTACTCTCTCTAGTATTAGTAGGACAGAGTTGGGTCGCCTGGTGGCCTCTTCCTGATGATCTGCTGTCCCTTGTGGTCTGTTCAGTTACAGGGTGGACAGCGGTACTCGTCGGATCGAAACCTTCTACCTCAGCTCTTGAAGTGCTGGGCGCCGGGTACTCATTCCGCAAAGGGCTTTCGGCTGTATCCTGAGGCGTTACTACTTCCATGCACGCGGTTTGGTGGGACAAGTTCGTAAACCGCCTCTCCATGGTTCCACCGTTCGAAGTTTCTGGACTGCAGAGGCTTCGGAGAGGAGTCAAGAAGGAGACTGGGAGTCTGGGGGTTGAATCCGACACCGACGAGAATAGATCGATATGGTCGGCAGTTCCAACGCCGGCGGATTCAGGTGCAGTTGATGGTGGTAGGGAATCATCTTGATCAAGTTTCCGCTTCGATCCTACATGATGTCTTCCAAACTCATTCCGTGCCCGATAATGTGCGGCCACAATCGCTCCAAAGGTTCGAAATCTACCGAAGTCTTTCTTGAACTCTGTCTCAACTTGTTTCTTCGTTAGATGCTTGTGATCCGGAAACCACTGGGGTAGGCGGTCTAATTCCTGCGGCTCCCATGGAGGCATAGTAGATCGCGCTATCGGAAATGTCAGGCTGGACAAATAATTGAAGTGTTCATCAGTCACAACTCACATTTGCCTTTTCTAACTCCTTTGTGCGTTGTTGGCTCTGGAGGCCCAGGAGTCGCGGCAGTTTTTGGCTTCCCGTCGATCTGCCGAGTGTTCTGAGAGAGTTTCAGAAGAGTCCCAAGCCTTTGGTTTACTTTTGCTCGGCAGTCGTTGTTCACGTCGATTACTGCGTACAAATTAATATGTTATAGTAAAGGAGGGGAGATAGATATAGTATGAAATGATTAGTTTAAGAAAGACTCACTCTGTGAGGCAAGTTCGTTCAAGTTTAACAATAGCTCTTCCACTAATCGCATCGTCTCTTCCTCAGACTGCACATCGCTCGGATAAAATCGTGGATTAATAAGCTTTTGCGGAAGGCCTGACTTGATAAAGTTATGGTCCGATTCCGCGACCTGGATGAAACCCTGGCGTCCATTGAGTTGTAAATAATAGTAACCATCTTCTCGTCTCTTGGGCGTATATGTTGTTGCAAGGACAATGTCGAGCCAGCGAATATCGTTGTCAACCTCCCCTTGGTCGTCTTGCACAAGCTGGATGTTTCCAAATAAAGAGTCGATCTTGCCCGCCATAGTGTCACTAGCTAGAGGAATATTAAAATGCCGCGCAAGGCTATTCTCGCCCTCGAGCACAGCGGCAAGCGACTGTGACAGCTCAAGCGTTAATTGCAACCTTTGCTGTGTAGGATAAAAGTGAGCATGGAGCTTTTTACCGCCATCCGTCAAGGCCGAACTGCACACAACCCTGGAGGAGTTGTGTTCACGGCTTCTGGAATCCATCTTAAGGGAAGATTCAGGTTCCAGTGAAATGTGAGGGGCAAACTGTCTGAAAGTTGAGGACAGGTCGAAAGTGAGATTTTTATCTTGCCCTCCGGAATCATCATTCAATACCAGAAATCAGCGACTTCAACTCCGATCACGTGTTTGCTGGATGCATAATGGAAGCCAGGAAGATTAGCGAGATGGTCTCTAGTTGACAGTGCCTTCTCATCAGGTCTCTACTAGTTCTAGGTATTTTATTTCTCGAACTCCACCAGGCATTCTGGCTCTGATGACAAATACTTAGCCACCCTAGACTGAAGGTAACGATATGCCCCGCAGGAAGGACTTGAGAAATAATAGGATTGTTCCTTCAAGCGAGCCAGATCAACTTTCGCGTTCGACCGAAAATGGGGTCACTGCCAAAAGATTCCGACTCGGAGACTTTGGCAATGGTCTCGAACAGAGCGTGTTAAATGCCGAGCTGACCACAGATACTAAAATGTTGTCTTAGTCGAGGTAGGGAACAGTATCAGCGTCTTTTCACCTTCCTTCCAACAGAAAGATGGAAGAAACATATCGCCCTTGCAGTCATAAAGGCCATGTGAAAAGCAAGCTCATTGTTGACTTCTGTAAGATCGGGTAAATCTCGGTTTCAGAGAAATGAAGCAACTCTCGTAACTTACAAGGCAGCTCCATCTTTTTTATTTTTTTTTATTTTGTTTTATTTTATTTGTTTTATTTTTATTTTTATTTTTAATCTTTTATTTTTTTCCTCACCACGAGGAGTCCTCTCGAGCCAACCAAGGATAAAATACAGCTAGTATTTTACTTGATGTTACCACCCAGCGTTGATTTTCCGTATTAGAAGGCCTGGAAATCAGAAATCCGTGTGGGCCATTACAGAATTGACTATTGTTTGGAGACGAGGTTCGTTTCTCCATTTTTTCCTCTCCTTCCATGATTAGAATTATCCGGCCGAATACAAGGGGTAGGTACGGAACCCGAAGGACCTCTCTGGAGAGGAGGAGCCATGACGCGATAACATACGCGTGGAACTTGGAAAATATCAGAATAGTAGCATCGCGGAAGATCTCTCTATCTAGAGAGATCAGCGGGTCTTGGGCTACTTTGTCGCTTAGAATCAGAGAGTGGAAGCGCAGGACCCTACGCTAACCTCTCGTTGTTCGTGGTCGTCACTGTACTCCCAGAAGACTTCCACATGGTGTGCCCTCTACGATAGTTCCCGGAGAAAGCACATCTAAAAAGCTACACGATGAACTGCACGCAGACAAGTGATACGCTCGAAGTTGACGCCAGTGTTACCCCTACGGAGTCTTCTCATCCTTGGATTGAGTTGCGACTAGACTTAAAATAGCAAGGTAATTAGATAAAATCTCCAAGCCAGAAGTAGAGCTCCGGGAGAGGAAAAGATGGAATAATTTGGCGTGACAACTAGTTTCGCAACCAAGTGCATCGTCAGCTCTACGTACCTGTGCTCCATATAATCTAAAATGATGAATAAGAACTCAATCAGCGGACATTCGAAGAGCACCAACACCGATGAGCCATCATTCAGAGCATGTTATATCAGAGTTACTGTGAAAGAAGATGATTATATATATTGTGCATGGAGCTTCGGACGTTAAACCCGATATGTATACAAACAGAGAGAAGAGACTCCAGGGACACTGGGAAGGGGTTTCCTTGAAGAATAGAAAGCCGAAATCCTTGTTGGACAGTGCATTACAATCGGAGTTCCTTGGGCCAAGATAGCTATCGGGGACTGAATCTGACAACATGAGTTCAAGGGTTCATTGACGGATTTGGGAGACTCCAATAAGTAAAATATGCACCAATGGCTGTCCCTAATCTGCCAACAAATGTGTCAAGGCGTGGATATCAAGATTCCTGTTACAGTCTTGGTGTATGACGGAATCGTCTCCAGATTCGTTGTTTGGGCGATGTTCACAACATCCCAGCTTAGACTGGAGTAGGAAGAGCTGGCCTCCTTGGAATATGATGCAGTAACGGTGATACTAACCGTAGTATCCACCGTCGAATGTTCTGTATATTGCAAAGTCACGAGCTCAGTTTTGCTCTCCTCCACAATATGCACCTCCTCGTACCAAGAGACTGTCCGTTCTAAGGCCACTTCTCCCTTGATCTGAAAGCAACTTTTCCCGAGAGGACAGCACCGGACTCTGTTTTCGTGAATAAAGCAATAATCGCCCGGAAGACAGTGTTCGGTGGTTGAGCAGCAGTCTTGTGTGTCTGGAATGCAAATGCCGCTGCAGCATTGCTCTCCAGCTGCGCAACTGTTACCATCAACAAAGCAGTGACTGCTTGGGCTGCAACTGGCTAGTTACTGTTAGGCATGACAGAAATTCTAGGGACAGTGGAACATACATGGGTACATATTTTGGACATCCGGCCAAGGAATTTCCTGCTCAGAAGGAGTGACTGCACCGCGGGAACTGTCAATTGCGGGGGGACTGAGCTGATCGGAGGCCAATGGGTCGAGACCTATAAACCCGGAACCTTGTTCCAGAAGGACATAAGGCTCCGTTGTAATAGCAAAGGTTACAACAGAACAAAAGGAGAGGGAGAGGAAAACCCGGTACAAAGGAGACATGAGTTCCAGGGACCGTTTTGTAGTGATCAAGTCAATCCTCTACGCTGAGAGTATCTATGTGGCAAAAGTGAAGAGGGTGTTATCTCTATTTAAATTAGAGAGTATTCAATTATAAACTAGTCTCTCGGCTCACTTTGGGTCTAGACTTGCTCTCCTGGAGCCGAGTCATGTACGGCATCACGCTCCGTTGTGTGGTCGGCACCTGTACATGCGGCTTAAGCTTCAGGATTTAATCTTCGTTACCTTCGGTCCTCATTATCGTGGGGGATAAAATACTCAAAGTACAGTGCTAGTACTAGTATATAATGCTAGTAGTTTGCTAGTTTATAGTCAAGTACTAAAACCGCCTAAGTAACGGAAGGCCGAGACATAACGCATTGTGGGTTGCATAATTAAAGATTGCTTTAAAACACCGTTACTGTACTCAAGCACACGCCTAATCTCCAACATCTATATGTACCGGGAGGACACTTCGCCAAATTCCTAAATCATATGCTAAAGGAGACAAATTATCTGTTTTAAACTCATTGATTCGTTGAAAATATCACGCTAGCCCGGATATAGGTAATAGACCATCGTATAACATCATATGAGTGGTGGAAGAATATAAGGCTAGTCATGAATGGATTAGCGTGATAAGTTTTAATAGAATCAAAGAGACGGTGACACCAGTTTCTGGAAGCACTGTAGATAAATAGGAACTCGCTCCTCCTACTGAGTCCTACCTCCGCCTCCCTCCTCACTCAAGATTGTCACAGTTTGTCTTGTCACGAAAGAATGTTTGTTCATACGTTCTGTATCGCATGCCATCAGAAACTGGAAGATCCAGCAGAAGATGGTGTTCTGACAGCAAGAATATTTATTTGTGCTGACTGCGCTCCCCGAAGACGCTTCCAGCACCTCCTCGGTCGCAGTGAGGGGATAATTGGTCTTGCTGCAGCCATGGCCCTCACGAATCCATCCTATAACTTCAGGCAATATAAGCATATTGCCAGTAGTGAATGGCATGAGTGGCCACAGCTTAATGAAGACATTTCTAACACTCTGTGTCATCCCATTCGGTCTCTCCTAAGACAGAATGCCTTCAGCCGTGCGCTGCGAAACTTTCAGAGGAAACGGCGACAAAGGTATGTCTTAGTCTTATTCTCAATGCACACATATTGATTTATGTACAGAAGGCCAGGGTACACGAAGGAAGTAAACTATGCTCTAGCAGGCCTCTATTGCCTGGGTATAGAAGGAGGCTCTGATTAGTTTTTCCTGGGTTTGTGGAGAGCCTCTGACGCCAAGCCTTCACTAGACTAGCCTCAATATTTCCATTTGCTAAACCGAAAGTCTCTTGCCTAATTCAAGCTGACTAGAAAGGACCATACGATTAGATAATCAATGAAGTTATAACTAACTACAGTACTGTAAGCCACGGCGAACTGTATCTGATGTCCTGATGTTTGCTCTCTTCGAAAAGCGAGCTTCTTCTAGCCATCTCTTCCTCCAGTGCGCTAAATACAGTAACTATGCCCCCAATATGGCCAATTTCCGATTTTTGACGGCACGACGGTGGTTGTCATGGTGAGAGCAGTCCTATTGTTGGAAGATAATAACCCTGGATCCAAGGGCCTCAAAATCACGTCCTCTACTGTCACAGGGGCAAATGTCGCTGGCATAGCCTGACTGGACTTTGCTCCAACCTCGTCGTCGCCAATCGCGGGCTGCAGGTCTGATTGTCCCAAAACAGGTTGAAAAATCCATTCGAGCAAAGCCACGTCTAAGCCTGCATAGCCCAACAGTTCAAATGGCACACTTGGAGAGTAAGCGCTGTACCAGCAAGGCTGATGAACGAGTTGAGGCTGTCCTCCTGACACCGAAATCGCTTCGGCGCCAAAACAAGGCATGCTGACCAGCTCGGAAGGAGGCGTACATTCACGCGAGAGGTAAATTTCATCCAGAATATGGTCAGGCTTCTCTCCAGCATTGGAGGAGCGATTTATCGGACTCAACGAAGTAGATCCACTGGCCAGCTGAGGAACAAGCGAAGGTCCCAGATTTTCATACCTTGCAAGGCTATCATCTTGACAACCTCCAAGGACAGGTGATCCTAAATCTAATTTAATTTCACGGTCAGTAGCTTGCTTACCGAGGGGTATGACTTGGAAACTAACTGTTCGTATCTATGAATTCAAAGAGCTCTTCATCTTGGTTGGGACAATAACGTTGTACAGAGGTCTCACTCCAGACTTGGAAGGTTGGTACAGACCTCGAAATTTTGCGGGCATCTTCGAGAAATTGGGTTACCTCGGAAGGTGTCAATGTTGAAAGCACCTCCATGACATAATTGAAACACGATATTGTCTTCGATCCAGTGTCAGTTATCTACTAGGCTCAGCAGCATCGACAGACCTACCTTTGGATCTCCGCGCATAGAACGTAAGCGGGCAACGGCTTCAGGCCGAGCATCAAGCCTGGTTTCTGATTCCTTTCCGGAATCAGCATATTATTTCACAGGGAAGGTATCTCAACATACTAGTAATTCGATATTCAGAGTAAGCATCGTGATAATATCACTAGGCGATGGCAGCACATGGAGAGACTCGCAAAAAGAAGAAGGCCTGGAATGCGACCCCTGCTGCATGGACATGGCCTATGCTACACTATAGTATAATAGACCAAAGTAGATTCACATTGAGCTTCTTGCTTGGATCTAGTTAGAATTTACGTGCTGGGTAATAGTGGTACAAGTCCCCGGCTACGTTATGCTGGAACCCCTAGGCAACCACCTTCATCCCTACCTAGTATCGTATTTCTGTATTAAGAGCCATTCTGGCATCATCCTGCGCCCTCATTTTGGATTTAACCTGGCCAACCACCACGAGGATGGAGTATTTTACGAAAAGGAATTTGATCAGTCTAGTGCAGGCGAGATTAAATGACGTCTAAATAGTGACCCCACACAAGGAAATACTACAGTAAAGGTATTACTTTAATACATTCGACTCAACGAAGCACAGGTTTAAGTCCTGAACGGAAAGTCCTGTAAATAAATTAGTCCCGTAGCATAATACACAACGCTAAGGTTCCTTGTGCCATAGGTTAAGGTAGAATTATTGATAAATATAAACATACCTTCTGCTGTAATACTAGCTTATACAACGAGGATTTTTTCTTTAAGGAACTATAATCCTCTTTATAAAGCAAAACCCTATCCTGCGAAACAGGGGCCTATCTGTCATTTTCTCTTCGTATTTGCAGACGTGCTACTTATATCTGAGTGCCCCATTATGCCTCCTTTTGACCCGCGCCGGGTGCAAAAAGCCGCTAGTCCCAGCACCAATAAAGGGGTTTCTGGGACGCTTGTGGGAGTTATTGTTCTCGCCATCATGTTTGCGATTTTCCTGTTGGTGATCTTACACCTTTGGATGCAGCGAAGACGCATAATGCGAAGCCAGCCGCTGAGACGGTTGTCAGCCCATCCTGATGATTGTAAGTAAATCGTGATTCAACGCCAGCGCCAGGTCGGAAATAGCCGCCATAAATCCGCTGCCAATCAATTGGATTCTCGAAATCATGAGACTAACTAGTCCTAGCCAGGGTTGAAGAAAGCGACGTGATCGTATCCGCTCCCAGAGAATACGCAATGCCTTCGCGATCACAGTAGGAGTTCACAATGCAGAGCTAGCAGCCTGATCAGTTCGGCGGTCAGTAGCTGCAGGAAGATGTGAGGACGGTTTTTCTGCATCATGTACTTAGATTCCCTAAGCTCTTCGCAGTTAAATATTGTAGTGAATTGGTGTTCAATCAATAAAATATCGAGCCTAGCGCGAGGAATACATTCCGGATAACGCCACTTCTACTTATCCTGGACATTCTCGGGCTTACAACGTTTGTGCCATGTTGCTTGCTCATAATATTCTTTGCCAGCTCTTAAAACACGACGTAGGCATGACCAGTGAGAGCAGGGACCTGATTCCAAGCCTACTCTTTGGCATTTTCGTTTTGGGTTGAGTGGTCGCGGAAGGACAGCTGGATGGGGTTACTCTACAATGACAATGTGAGCATGGATGACGCTGGACGAAAGGAATTGAGATGTTGTTCGGCATATGGAATACTGACTGGAGTCATTGATACTGTACCGCCTTGCACCCTAAGAGGGCTAGTTAAAGCCTCGCGTGTATAGGTATCATACAGCCTAGACTGATGTAGATTGATTGGCTAAGGCCTCGGATTGCCAAAGACGGCGACTGAATTGGAGGTTGTACTTGAGTGGAGCCCTTTCCGTCTGAGGATGAAGCAAGCATACAGGTGGTTGACTAGACGCCCTTGTCTTCGTACTTTTGGTGAAGCCACTGGACTTCAACAGGCAGAGCCCCGAGCGGAAAGTTTGTAATTGGCTGCTGGGTCACAAGCGGATAATTGTGTATGGAAAGTATATCCCTTCAATAATACGCCAACATGTAAGTTTCATCATCCAGACTAGCTGGTATTTAATTATGTTGAATGAGAAACAGTGTTACGAATTCAGGCTTGGCATTGAACTAAGACGGCGCACAACTAAAAAAAAAGAAAAAATATCAATTAATTAATTAATTGATAAATCCAGCTATTCGATTGAACTAGAGCCGTCCACACTTTCCTAAATCTGGTTCCACAATGCTCAGCAGCAGTCTACCCAAAGCCACGCGCTAGCTCTTGACACCGGGCTAGGATAGAATCTGACCCAGAAACACAGATATGCATAGAGGTTTGAGAAAGCCCATCCTGCTCTCTGTTGTACTATTATACGGGAAATTATAACGGAGCTAGTTAGGATACATACCCCTCAGCGCTATAAGGCAGACATAGAGTACACTCACTTTGTAGAATACTTAAGGGAGTTCTTCTGATGGATCATTTTCCGGATAATTAATTGATATCATGACGATTGACGATCGTAATGCTTCTAACAAGAGGCGATTGACATGGAGGCTGCGGTGTCGCAATCGCCTCTCGGAACATATTGGTGAGTTTATAGGTTGTCCTGTCCTTGAAGAATCTTATGTGAACCTAGACAAGAGGAAACTCTAGGAATGACAGTCAATCCAGATGATGTTCGTCTGCAGCCCAATAACGAAACTCCTTACGCATGGCAGGTTGACGATCCAGATCTGAAGCCATTCTTCGGTAAATCCCTCAGCAAGCACTCTATCGGAGCGTACATGGAGCTATGTTCTGCGGTAGGCCAAAGCTTCCGAGCAGTTCATCGCGATGAGGCAGTCAAGGTGAGATCACATCGACGAACCTGCCGAGAAATTATATTATTAAGATACTTATTAGGCAACCAAAGACAAGCTGCAGATCTTGGAAGAAGAGAAGATTTTGTTGGAGAGAGCTCTAGGAGCCGCAAAGGAGCAAAGTCAAACCCTGCGCGATGAGAAGATGGACGTGGAGAAGCAGTTACAGGAGGCAGAGGAGAAAGCGGCCATGCAAATCGTTGAGATGGAGCAGAAAATCAAGACTTTGGAACAGAGTGTTGGTGATCTTCAAAGCCAAGCAAAAGAATGCTGGTGTATCACTGAAGGCTATGAGAGAACCTTCGCTCAATACTCTGCGGGGCTGAACGAGGCAATTCTACTCCTACAATCACTCAGTGCAAGTACCATGTTCCCAACCGGTGGTGGAAGTTTGCCGTTTGAGAAGATGGACCATGGTCAAATAGCACCAGTCGCATGTGTTCCCAGTCAGAATATTGAATATTGAATCTTAGTAGCAGACGGAGCCGATGAAGCAACAGTCAAGGATGTCGAGATTTAGATGAGTCAAACCCTGCATTTTCCTTGCCCTCTGAGCATCTGGGTTTGTTTTGCCGTTACAGGACTCAACATAATGCGCATACATACAGACATGGCACCTTTCTTCTGGGGTTTCCGTGTCGGTAGTTCGTATATATTTCACAGGGCAATTTAGTGAATATGCAAAGTCTGTGATATCGCATTCTCTTTAATATAGATATATAAACGGCAGACATACGAAGAGCAAGATAACCTTTATCCATGGCGCCTGTCTAACGGACTCATTTATAACATAACTTCCTGTCGGCTGATCCAGTATCCTGGTCCTTGTGGCCGCAGTAGGGAAAATAACAGTCCCCTCTGGCTGAGAGTGAGGGCTCTGTGTCTGAGTGTACACGAGTATGGAGGTCATTTGTGGATCGGCCGTGGATGTCAGACTCAAGGTACTATCAACGAGAATTGTTGTTGTCATAATGGTGCAGTTGTTGCGCGGTGTGAATTCAATAGCACTGGAGCCCACATGCGTCAGTAGCTAGTTTAGAGAATTCCTGACAATCATACCACATGTGCTGGCGACTGGTGTCAAGGTCAAATTTAGGATGTTCTGACTAGATTGTTATTTATCCGTCCTGGAGGACGGCCCTATTATAGCTATACTTCGGCTACTAAAAGCGGATTTTGGCGCTGTAGAGTTGATCACAGAAATTATCCTAGAATTACTTACACACTAGAGCCGAAACATGTTCCCGGTGGCACCCGAGTTGCCGCTGCTGCTTCGCTTTGCGGTATATTACCAATACTTTCTAGGGTCTTCGTAATTATTAGGACTGGCAACTGTGACAGCAAAGGTGATAACTAGCAAAGCGCGACAAGACGAACTAGTCCGGCATGGATAACCCTCTGAGAAGGTCAACTAAAGCGCGTATGTTCTAGCCGAATAGTAATCTGGATTTGATATTCTGCAACGACAAGTAGCATTGATCGTGAAGGTCTCAAAGGATCCGGTATCACAAATTAAATTGAAAAGCTACAGCCCCACTTCCATGAGAAACAGTTCTTTCCCACAAAAGTCCGTAGATAGTTTGTTTCTGTAAGGAGTGAAAGAAAAGAAAAGAAAAATTTCGAAGCTGAGAACAGTTGCAAAGGAGAGTTAAGAAGTGAATAGAAATATCTCAGGAAAAGGAGTGGCTTGAGCCAGGTAGGTTGTTCAGCACATTTCGTAGTCTTCGTCCTAACTACCTTCGCTGGGTCCATATTTCTTGATTGAATGTCCACGTTTAGGTTCTGCGATGCCGCGTTTTGCGTGAGGAAGCTGACTTCTTTCGGGCTTTCTTGAGCTTAAGTCGCTCAAGGTCCTCCAGTAAATCATGGATTTCAGCATCGGTGTCGTAGTGATCCTTGGATTTGGCTTTCTTAAGGCGAAGACGCCTTTATCGACGCTTCTTTTGCTTGTATCTTGATTCCGACGTGTCTGAATCGAGATCACTGTCACTCGTCGCATCTGATTCTGTCGGACGGGTTATCTTCCTGGCTGAGCGAATCCTGGAGGTATATTTTCCAGCTCGACGCAAACGACTTTTGGGGACCAAGGACTCATCTGAGGAGACATCGCTGGTGTCCGACTCTTCGTCGCTTGTGCCCTCAACATCATATCCCCAGTAGGCATTCTCGAGCTCTTTGGCCTTCAGATAAATGAGCCGATCACCGTTGAGGCTATTCCCGTGGGCGATCCGCCGAACAAATGCTCTGCGTTCCAGGGAAATGCTTTGATCTTTCCACTTCACCAGGATTCGTGTATGGGGGTATGTAGCATCTTTCACAGGTCTGATCAGTGACAGCGCATTTGCACTGGCATCATCGTCATTTTCGACCTTCCAGCCGACACCAATGATATCTTGAACCTCGTCTCGCGAATACTTCCATTCCTCTATCTTATGTTCACCGGATGTTAGTGTAACTCTTGCGCTTCCACGAGTTTTGCTAAGGATCTGCTCCGCGGTACGGGGGTCGTAGGGCATTGATGATCCCGCCCGCACACGATAGATTGGCTTATGCTTCGAACCATATCGAACAAAAATTTGGGTACCTGTCCCGAGTGACCACCAGTATAGTACCTTTCCTCGAGAGAGTGAGCTGTACTCGTTCCGCATCCTTGCTTCCAGAGCATCAATGCCTTCTGCCTCGTCGGTCTCCGACTCCTCTTCGGTTGAGGAAACATATGTAACCGCAGAGGCAGCGTCATCGTCTTCGTATGGCGCCTCCACGATCCCGGGAGGTCTTTCTCCAAATAAGCGTTCAGCGACAGATTGGGGGACATTCCACTCCTCAGGCAAGTGACTCTCACGATTCAATAGGTGAAACATTTTGCGCATCTCGTAGAATGCTTTCCATTGTTCCGAAGGATTGTCCTTCACATTGTCTAATGCGAGGGTGTTGAGCAGCGAGTTGTATGTCATCTGGTACATATTCCTTTGTACCACATTCTGGTCCAGGGGAGCATTGTGTCGTTTGTTTTCGCTTCTGATTTTGGCGTTAAGTTTGTCAAAACGTGATTCAATCGCCGAAAAATCTGGCTCGTCTGATTGCAGCTCCTGGGCTATTTTCTCCCCGTTCTCTTCGACGAATTTCCCTATGATTTTCTTCGTCCAGTTACTGGCCTTAGGTCGTTTATGGCGACGCGGAGGTGGCGTTGGGGATTCTTCATCAGATTTCTCAAACTCCGAGTCCAGCTCTCTCATTGAGACGTCGTCATCATCGTTCTGCCGTGTATCTTTATTTTTCTGAGTCCTTTCGGTTTCCTCCTCCTCTTCCTGTTTTTCGCGCTTGGAACTTTTTTCCCATTCGTCATTCTCGTCCGCTGCTCGTTGCCGCTTTTTGTTGCGACTTTTCTTGTTCCCTTTTCCCATATTTGTTGGGATTTGCTTTCGTATTCTGGTTGTTCGCGTTGAGACCTGGTTGTACGATAGATGCTACTGGAAATCACACTTGATATATATGTCTCCCAATTACCTTTCCAGGCTTGATATGTCTATACAGGCGGAACTGGGGAAGGCATTCATGCACCTTGTAGACCGTGGTCTAGATCTTGGATTTCCTCAGTTGTATTATAACAATCCACTCCTGCGGCTGAGGGGATTCGTAAGATATACCAAAAGTAATGCTATTGAAGTACAGCGTAATCAACGAACGTATGTAATAACAAAGGCCTGGCGTTTCATCCAGGTGTAAGGAAAATGTAAAGCTTTCCGACCCCACCTTGAATCGTTCCGATCCGGTGTACCGCTCCCCGATGACTTCGATATTGAAGGAGATCGACACAGACGGGCGGTTTGACCCGTTCTACCCTCGCGTTCCCCAATTTGCTACTAGGTGGTGGTGACCCATTTGCCAACGCTGAAAGAGTTGTGACCTTGCCGAGTCAGGTCTACGTTGAATATAACGCGGATATACTCCGAAATATGGAATGCCGCTGGGAGACGACTGGTATGATTTCAATACCTCAGGCTTCTCTAGAGCAGCGTATTCAGCAATGCCTTTTCTAGCGATGCAAGCCATGTATTCGGCCCTTATATTCTTCGATAGGATCTGGAAGAACAGATATAAACCTAGGTGTACCCCATCGAGCTCCGGGAACATCTGGTGGAGATGGATTCGCATTCAGACCACAGAAAGCTGGAGTGCTTGCCTATCGAATTGCTAAGAATTATAGTTTTATTCGTTTCAGAAAGAGGTTCGTTGAAGTCTCTTTCAAGGGTTAATAGACTCTTGCGGCAACTGTGCGTTCCTTTCCTCTTCCAGACTCTCCAAGTTGGATTTTCGATCCCCGAGCTAGATCGCCTGTTGCGAGTAGCCAAATCTCAGTTTGCACCCTATGTGAGGGCTCTTAGCTATCAGGCTTCCGCCCTTGTTGACCCTCGTAAGTGTGTTGCTTGCTCTCTTTACCGCGGCTAACAATAGTCGCCTAGTTGCTGGGACCTGGGAAACCTTTCATACCTGTCTATACCCCCCAGTCGAGTTCGCTCGAGATCGCACGGACCTATATGGAATGCGGAGTGACGAAAGATTCACGTATCAATCGCTTTTCTCCTATTTCCGTCTGAAGTGCAGAGAGCAACAAGAAATCCTCGAAACTGAACGAGATACTAGAACCTTAATCGCCTCTCTACCGCATTTCGCCAACCTTCATACAATTCAACTACACTTCGCGGATGGCATCGAAGATCGATTCCAATGGCTGGCAAATCGGATGCTCTTGGACGGGCATCCTCTCTTCCCTAACCATCTGGAAAGACTGTTGACTGCGGTTGCTGTGGCGCGGGAGAACAACGTCGCCATACGCACCTTTGAGATACGCGGATTTTACTCTAGAGCCGTGACAAAGGACCGTTCCCTCCGAGAACTTGCCGGGGAAGCTCTCTCGAGCGTCGAGGAGCTGCGGCTAGTGGACAGCCCGGCTATGCTGGCCTTTGTCAATCAAGTGCCATTCCCGTGCCTTCGTCGAGTTGAGTTAGCCAACTGCTGGTTATCAATCCCTACACTGTAAAAGTTCACCCGCCTCCACTCTGGTGGTCTTGAGTCTATTCACTTAGAAAATACCTGGGTCCTTGAGGAAACAGTGCATGCTGACGGAATCCACATATCAATGGGTTGCGCCAAGTCAATCTTGGATCAAACTGCTCGCACATCTGGAGCCGGCAACCTCAGGCTAACCATGAACCGAATGCCTGAAGGTGGGTACGAGGCGGAGAGAATGGTACAAGAGCCTAGACTGCTGCAGTAGGAGACTCTTCAACTTGAAAATTAATTTCCGTCCGCACAATAGATTACCATGAAATATGACCGCCAATTATAAAAAACGAATCCAAAACCTTGCGTGGGGTAGTCTATGAGACAGCTTCACAGCGGGGCTCGGGCGAACGAACCAAAGATAAGAATGGTATTTCAGACGGAGATAGACAGTCTATAACACATATATAATCGTCAAACTCAGATCTTCTCGCTCATTTCCGGTGAATTGACTGCCTTTGGAGAAAAAGCGAAACATTCGGAAAGATGGAATCAAGTCTGCCGGCAACAGAGTCCAGGCACTCTCACCAAACGTCCAGGGGGGTTAGATTTGGTATAAAGATCCGGTTGCCACGAAAACCGCCTCAGAATTTTGTGCAGCTTGGCTCTCCAAGACAGAAGTACTCCATGTCGTGGAAACTGGGAAATATTGGATGGATTGGTTTGAAGGACTGTCCCGGATATCCCGTCTCCTTCATTCGAAAAACGCACCTGAGGAAGGAATCAGAGGATGTGAGCACGCTGGCAGGAACGGACCATCCAAACTTAGTCAATTTGGTGGAAGCTTTCTACGACAAATCCATATATTTGGTTTATCAATTTCACGGCTTCACTGTGGACCTTGGAAGGGTCTGCTCGCGGCCTAATGCGGAGTTCAGCAAGGGTGACATTGCCAAAATATGCAAGAATACCCTTCAGGGGTTGGAATATATCCATGATGTTCTCAACATCGCTCATGGAGATCTTTCTCCGTCAAACATTGTTTTGCACCAAGACGGACAAGTCCGAATCGGTAAGAACCTCTCTTCTAGGCCGCTTAAGATGAATCCTCACCAAGCCTCGAGCGAATATTGGAAATAGTTTCTTGAAAAGATGCAGAGACAAAAGGAAAGACCTTAAAGGCGTGGGCATTGTGATTGCGCGCCTCAGTGACCCAAGCAATATTCTGAGAGGCGACATCGAGAACGTTCGGAACGTATCTCCTCAAGCAAAAGATTTCATCTCCAGGCTCTCGACGGCCTCATACGCCACAATATTTGAGGTAAGCACAGCGGACAACTTGCGAATCATATCTGATGCGGCAATCACAGCACAAGTTTCTGGAGCCCGCTCTCTCTGATGGTAATTGCTGGACCTTGATTGCCCATTTTATGAATACCATTGGCTTTATGTGGCCGCTGCCGGTGCCTGTGCATATGGAATCTAAGGAGTTCTAAACCACTCATCGGGATTCAGCGTCCTGTTTATACGACCTCTATCTGATGGAGCTAGAAACTTTAGATAGTTTTCTTGATAGGAGGCATTCTTTCCGTGGGTCGTCATTTAGATCGAAGTTGTCGTTTGGCCGAACGTTTCTCGGGGAGGTCTTCTTTTCTTTTCCCAGTTTTCACATCGTACTTTGTGATGTATTCTTGCAATACGTCACTAGAGATCGTCCCAATATCATCCTGGACGTCCCGACGGGGGTTGTCTTTCTTTCCCACTAGAACCAGGCGGTGTTGTAAAGCAGCCTCATAGATAGTGTCCAATCCCATACTTGCCACTTCAGATCCATTGTAAACCAGGAAGTAATGGTCCTTAGACAGCTCTTCCAGGGTAGATTTGAGCTCCGTTCCTCCGACTGGGGGAAATTTATAATAGCTTCGAGACTCGAATAAGAAGAAAACCACAACATTTCCCACCTCACTGTTGTACCACATACGGATGATCTCGGTGGCTCTCCTATGTATAGATATTTCCGCCTTGGTATTCAAAGGGGCCTTTGAAATATGTTCTTCGAAGCCGGGAGCGAACGGCACGTCATCTTCGACACCCGCCATTCGATCGGGGGTCCCTGGGGGATGTGGTTGGAGATCGAGCGAGTCACTGGGAGATAGTCGGGATACTACAACTTCCTCTGAATCTTCACCGTTGGGGTCCTCGTTATTCGGTTCCATGCTCTCCTCCTCGGGCGTTTCAGCAATGGGCGGGGAATTGGTCTTGGGCTCCTCAACTGGGCTCCCCCCAGACTGCTGGGCAGAAAACAGACTGTAAAGGGGCTCCTTCCCAAAGAATGAGAAGATGATGTCTCTTGTGACTGCAAAGGATGTTGGAAAAGTAGAAGGCGGCTGATCGGAACTGTACACTTGGTGGATGAAAAGACTGGCCCGGTCGTGCAAATGATCTTTCCAGAGGGGGGAATTAAATCGATGGCCAGCTTTCTCTTCTTCGCAGTCCGTCGTAAGCCGCACTTGTCGAGCGGTGTTATCTTTGACGCGCGCTAGATGCTGTACACTCTTCTCATATGTTCGCGATAGCTCCCGGATCCTGCCGGTATCGACTGCGTAAAACTGCTGACGACAAATCGCACGGAACATGTTCTCCGCAGCCAACCGCTCCGTTTGCAAACTCATCATCTTCAGAATGTGATCGGAGGAAAATCGTAGCCGATGGGCGAGCGCTGCTATAGCCCTCATGGATCGACCTTTCTCAGTCTCAAATCCGCCTGCTTCCTTATTGGTGCCTTGAGGCTTAGTGAAATGCCTTAGGGCGTGCAACCATAGCTGCATAATTCCTGCTTGCAGGAGACTCCCTGATGTGGGCGCCGGGCTGAAGTCATGTTCTGTGACCTGGATTTCAGGAGTTTCACGCCTACCTATCCAGTTAAGTTGTCGTGAAGCCGCTTGCAAGATAGTATTTTTTTTCCCAAGATGAAACAAACGATGCAACACCTTTGCAGACGGTTCTAGATAGCGCGCATCCATGGCAAGTGTATATATGGACAGTATTCTCCCAGGTACTGAGAGGAGACTCTGGCGGAGCGCTTGTCTGTCAACTCCTGAGACTAGGGGGAAAAGACGACCGGAATCGAACTGATCACATATAAGCGAATGGTCTTCCTGAGAAATCCCCGGCATTCGTCCTTGAATTAGTCGCACTGATGGAGCATCGACAAGGGCTGCGGTTTCCAACCCAAAGAGAGCAGACCAAATCTTGTGTACTTGGTCTAGGTAGTGGCACACATTCTAATTGATGATTAGAACGCAGAATCCTTACACCATCAGGAGCTCTTATACCTCATGGCATCTTAGACCAAGAATACACTTGATTTGAGACATATTCACTGGGTCCCACAGACCTGTATAGGGTAATAGTCGGTTGAAAGCTGCAGAGACCGGCTTATTCGTTTCGAGGCGATGGGCGATTTTCCTTTGTTCTCCGGATTTAAATCTTGCTCTCCACTTTGTCTCCTGAGTATAATTATTCTGTAGTTGATAGAGCCGGTAAAGGCGAAAGATATCCCCTTCCTTGAAACATTCCTCATTTGCTGATATTTCTCTCAGCTGTGTGAGCGCCTCGGGTGTGATAACTGATATGAGAACCACCATCAGTCAAAAGTCAAAATAAGTAAACAAGGAGTCATTTACCGTCGAGGTACAAATCAGCCAGCCATGTCGTTGTTCCAGATAGCTCCCCTGCTGTCAGACGATGCTTCCCATGAATGCACACTAGGCGGACATCATCGTCGAATTTTAGGGTTGGTGGATTCACGCAGTCCATCAGCAGGTTCTGAGTAGCCTGTGATCGCTCAAGGCTATTTTTCAGAGCTTCATCGCTAATTATTACCGAAACCCGATGCTCCGGCTCAAGATTTTGGCAGCCAACCATTTCGAACGTTTGCAGAAGGTCTTGGACATTTCTCTGATCGAAAGGCTTGGACCCCAGAACCCCTTCCTCTTCGAAGACCAGGTGTCGAATTTCCACAATGGCACACCCCCTATAATTGTGCATCCGTTGATGAGTCACCCTCTCTAGTTCGGTGTTTGTTGCCATTTCGTCTATAGTTTTTGTTCATGGAAAAAAAAAATTTAGTCTACGGGACCTAAGGCGAGAAATCTTGGGTGTTTGTCATTTATAGAGCCTTTTTTTTAATCCTAGTTATATTAAATAATACAAGGGCCGTAATTGATTCTATTACAACTAGTGAGCGCCACGACCCTAGTAAGTGTCACGGCCCTAGGGAGAGTCATGGCCCTAGTGAGAGTCACGGCCCTAGTAAGTGTCACGTCCCTAGTAAGTGTCAAGGCCCTAGTAAGTGTCAAGGCCCTAGTAAGTGTCACGGTTCTAGAGAGTGTCATGGCCCTAGTGAGAGTCACGGCCCTAGTGAGAGTCACGGCCCTGGTGAGTGTCACGGCCCTAGTGAGAGTCACGGCCCTGGTGAGTGTCACGACCCTAGTGAGAGTCACGGCCCTAGTAAGTGTCACGGCCCTGGTGAGTGTCACGGCCCTAGTAAGTGTCACGGTTCTAGAGAGTGTCATGGCCCTAGTGAGAGTCACGGCCCTAGTGAGAGTCACGGCCCTGGTGAGTGTCACGGCCCTAGTAAGTGTCCCGGCCCTAGTGAGAGTCACCTAGAATGCGATGCTTTAAAATACATAGCATAGCACTATGTTTATTAGTGAGAATTGGACAATCAAGTTCTGTCAAATTCTTTAATAAACTAACTAGCTGATTATGTACAAGGGTTCTCTGGAAGCCGAACCCCAACCTTAAATGAAAACGGAAGAGCTTCAAAATAATGTGGCTTAAGACTCCATGCGCCTCCAGGACTTGCAATCTTTAGAAAGTCATCCTAAATAATAATGGCTGTCAGTGGAAGCTTAGAGAACATCAGTTGGCCCATTACCTCTAAAAGTTCATCAACCCGACACCGTTTGGTGTTTTCGATGAAATTTCGTGCTGAAGTGGAAAGCTCTGACGTTGCTGGGATCGCCTCGGGAAGCTCTTCTCGCACCAGCGTGGGTTGGTCGCTGAGTCCAATCGCTATTGCCCCCACAGCTCGAAGATCCTTGTCCCGGTCCCGCAATGTCGTTCCTTGGAGTATGCTATCACCGATATTTGCTACACACCGGTTATTTGGGATCCAGTCATCATATGCGCGGTACAAACCGATTTTGAGATCTCCTGAATAAGTTAAGAGGATGTTGCTGCATTTTATTGAGCCATGAGAGATCTTAAGCTCTGTGTGAATAAACTTTAGCCCCTCCAACACTTCTCGACATATAGTTGCGATATCTGGTTCGTTAAATCGGGTAAATCCAGCAACACAACCCAGCGTTATTGGGATATGTTCGTACTCATAAACAAGATATCCATGCCTTTTCGTTTCGAAAAACCCTAGTAATGACACTAAATTTTTGTGCTGGATAGGCACTAGATTTCGAACGTTCTGAGATTTTGGGTTTTGATACTCTTTGATCGTGCAAGTTGGTAAAGAGGGTGCGTCCTTGATGGCAAATAGACCGGCACCTGCCTGGTCGACTCGGTAGTATATCTCGTGACTCGAAGCAGAGGTCTGGAAGTCTGAATTCTTCTTTGACAGCTTGCCTGGCGCTTTCTCAAAAGCGACGCGACCAGCAGAAGCCGAGGAGTTCTTCGTGATGACGGATCCCTTCCTGGAGCTTTTTGTCGCTCCTTTAGGCTCATGTGATGGCAAAGTTTGCGGAAGCTGAGTAGTGCGATTCCTGGGGATATTCATGATATGGACGAGAAATGGTGAACTGCGATGCGGCTTTAATTACTTGAAGGCCTCTAATATGTCTGCGTTGAGAGGCATCGTAAGTTTCTACCTAGGCAGGTTAGCTTTTCAGGCCAATGTTGAGAGCTGAGGAGGGAAAGAGGGGCCTGCTGTTCTAAGTCATTTACGGACGAATGTCTATAATTACACGAGTACCATATTAGTTTCTTTGGAGGCAAAAATTACGTTCTCGGCTGGAGAGTGATTGCATTTCTGCCAAGTTCCTGGTAAGCCAAGTGTGGCGGATGTGGTTCTAGACCTCTATGGCAGGTATCTGCCGCGACATTCGATGATCGGAAACGCACTGATAATCGATATACAACAAAATTAGCTCGTCGGGTTAGCGGTAATAAAAGCCTCACTTGGAAGCCTGGGCCCAAGAAATCTGGTGTGGCGCTGTCGCCCGCGCTAAGATCGCTCGATGGTTTCTAAGATGTATGGTTGGAGTATGTATGTAGCGAATATCGTACGCATCTCTATTGGTCAGAACATCTTCCATATCTCGAGGACTACAGAAGCTTTTTTTCTGGAGTACAATGTGCTGCGGAAGTCAATGTCAAGTATACAGGCATCCACATCACACTGAGACGCTTATTTTGACGCTCAGGATCTGTCGGGGATAATCAACACAAGTGAGAAGGTGTAATAATACAGATATAGAGAGACAAACTGGGATGGATATTTCAAAGCTCCAGGCAAAAACTAAAGCCATAGATAGCTTCTATTCTTTCGTTTGCACGCCTTGAGGGCAACCTAAGTGACTGAAGTATGCGTTTTCCTGATAAAATAAAGTAGCATAGGGTAGTTTTCAAGGGGCTACCCCGCTAGCCATTTTATATTGAAGCTGTGATATAAGATATAACCCAGGATCCTGAACGAACTAACACCCAGTATTCCAGACCTTAGGCCAAGACTCGATTGGCCGAATTGTTGTAGAGGCCGGTTGAACGCTGAATGCTCATTGAGAGGTTTGTAGAGACCCTGATTCAACACCTTGACAAAGTAATGGGTGCTCCTTGTTCATCAGAAAAGTAAGCATCGGACTAGTGTCGTAGGGACTTACCTGGAGTACCTCCATCATTCGCCCTCATGGATATTCGGTTTGTGGCATCTGTGAGATTGGGGCAAGGTCGTACTTGTAAACGAGATATCCATGCTCTTCGGTTTCAAAAGAGCCGATTAACTTGATAATTTTGTGCTGCGTTGCGACCGGGTTTTGAATGCTCCGAGGCTTTGAGTTTTGGCCTTCCCTGATCGGACATGATGGTAAAGAACCTGTCTCCTTGATAGCGAGGAGACCGGCAGAGGCCGAGAAGTCCTTCTGGATGAGGGACTTCTTTCCGACACTTTTCATCTCTCCTCCAGGCCCAATAAATGGCAACACTTTCGGAAGCAGAGTCCTGCGCTCTCCAGGGACATTCATGATGGGCGAGGAGTACTGAAACAGGGTTGTTGCTTTAAATACTCAAAGGCGTCTTGCTGTGATTCCCAGAAAGATTTTTAATTTTAGCTCTCATCTGTAAACCTGAGAGTTTATATCGAAGATAAGTATATCAGATCTCCACTCAGTCTGACTTTATATCCGCAGACAGTATCTATCTTTAGAGACCCAACCTCGACTCACAACGCTTTGATTATATTTTTATATTACAGTATCACCCGATGGGTGCCCTACCCTGTTCTCTAAGATGGAAATTACGTTCTTGGCTGAGGGATGGCATTCAAACCCACCCGGATCAACCACGGTGCGGTTACAACTAATACCAATGATCAGCATGGCGGTAATAATCGAGCCCTCCAACTTACAGTAATTATTGTTCCTCAAATTAGCGGTAATAAACTCCTCACCAAGTAGAGTGGGATCCAAGGAACTTTCGCTGAGTTGAAGCACCCGTAAATCGCCCACTTTAAGCGCTCATTTCCTTGTCACTGTAATTTTTCCCCCGGGTTCCATAATCCATCCGAGATGAAAGAGATTGTGACGACGTTCATCAAAGCTCTCACAAAGGTTAACGACGGTAGAGGCACCCATGGGGCATAGGAGGCAAGTTGAAGCAAAGTACATTTCATAAAGCAAAACCCAAGCTCGATTAGACTAGCTCTAGGTTCACCTGAACGCGAAATAATAAGCGTAGCAAACAAACAAACAAACAAACAAAAACCCTCCGAAGATTCCGTGTGAAATGGCACGTCCAGCCAGGCGTCTTACGTGCAACGCTCTTCGGCAAACCCTCGATTGCCTGCTTGATATAGCGTCACGCAGCTGTATGTAGAATTCTCAGAAGAATTGGAAAGGGCTGTAGAGAGCATTGTTCAACGGCTCGCCGGAGGAATGGGTGCTTCCTGGACATTAGCAATGGCGACTTCTGGCGACTTCGAAAAAGGAAGGACATACCCGGAGTAACTCATCCACAGTGGCACCTAATGGAATATCCGCAAATTCGATTGCCTCTCGACGGAGATTAGTCAATGGCTTTGGTGTGGAATCAAGCTCTAGAAGCACTTTAGCTATCTGGCAGACAGCCTGGCAGTCCAGATATTTGTCATCGTCGTCACATGGTTCTAGCATGCTTTCTCCAACATCCGCTGAATCCTCACCGTGGTTAGCCCAGCCTCGTCAGGTAAATATGCCGTCTTAAACACTTACTTATTTTCACGACCCCGTTAGCGGTTAGGATAACCGTTCCGCATGAGATATTGGCATGAGCTATTCCAATGACACGGTGTATATAACTCAGACCTCTCAACGTCTAGCCACCGGTTAGCTCTATTCAGCGACACTGATATGTTGGACGCATACTTCTCTGCAAATTGTTGCCACAGCAATCTCATCCCGGGCAAATATATTGCGCCGCTCACTAATCTCAAGTAGTGAAATGCCCCAGCAGTCGTACGTCAAGGTTAAAGCATCTGGCGCGAGGTAGAGCTCCTGTACATTGACCAAGTTCTTATGATCGGTCCGAACGACCTGATCGGCTGGGACACGGAGCGCGTCACGGGGGAGAGTCCTAAAAAAGGATGCCATAGATATCCCAGCGTTTGCAAATGGCAAGCAATTGAGCCCACCTCCACTTGAGATGATAGGGAAGTAGAGCTTCTTCGAAGTTGGGGGAAATTTGCCTTTCTTGAGCGCCTCAGGCAACCCTTCCTTGATTGGGGAGACGGACGTTGCTTCCGGGGGAGGGCTGCCTTCCAGGTTTTGGCTTTTTAGCGAACATTCATCAAGAAGGTCAACAATATCAGACATTTTAAGGTAAAGACGAGATCGTGTAGTGCCTATTCAACAAGGACAAGCTCGTTTAGAAAAGCAATTGTCAGATCAGGGGATTTATAGCCGTAGATTTCCCTCATAAAGAGCTTCCTTGGCGTCACGATACCAGGGGAACGACCAATCCTAGCTTGAATTAGCTTTCTACATTACCTAGATTGTCCCCGCCATGGCATATATTACCATACGCGAGAGTCAGAGCTAAACCAGATAAGCAGTTCACGAATATCGGGCCCATATTTACAAATAATTTTACCCATAGGTCATTACCGCGATAATTGACCCTTGCTTGGCTCTGTCAACACGTAGATATTTATACTGGTCTCTAGGTTTAATTTCCGTCTCACCGTGAGCATCTTCGGAAAGTCCAGTTGGCCATTGCCCCTTAACAGAATGGAAGCAACTAGAACTCTTGGCTCTCCCCTTGAGCTTTCTCTGCCCTATCGCAAAGCTCGCTGCGAAAATATCACAGTCGGTCGCGCAAAGAAAGTCCAGACGGACAAGCATCAATTTATCACGCATGGCCATCCCTTCAAATGCCTACATCGTTTCTTTATCGGCCTAGAGCCTTCGTGGAGTGGCTTAAATGCTATTGAGTTCACTGAGGGCTCGGCAGTTGGCTATGTCAAGAAGCTATCTGTGGTTGGCGACATTCCCGAGGATCGGCTTTCCGAGACTTGCCATCCAAATATAGTCAATTTGAGGGAAGCCTTTATCACTACTGGATCAGTGTTCCTAGTATACGAGCCGTGGGGGATGACTCTTGACGAAATCTTGAGCCTTTCGACAGTGTTCCAATTGGGAGAGGTAGAGGTGGCCACCATTTGCCAGGGGGTCGGTTTTTACGCTCACCCAAATTTAAGCGGGGTCACTAATGTTCTGTGAGCACTAGGTCCTCCAGGGTTTGCAGTATATCCATCAGGTTCTTGACGTCAGCCATGGCAGTTTGACCCTTGGCAATGTACACATTATGGAAGATGGTGCTGTCAAAATCGGTGAGATAATTGAACGGGACCTGTGAGGAAGCTCGGTCTAACTTGGAGCTAGCAAATGTTGGTGAGAGCATGATTGTGAGGCCTGCTGCCCGAGAAAAGGCTAAGGATATCCACGCCTTTTGCCGCATGGCCAGCACTCTACTTAGGCCAAACTCAACGCCTGAGACCCGAGGGACCATCGGCCTTCTTGCCTCTGACTTTGTCAACGTGCCACCCACGGCGACAGTTGAGGAACTGCTACAGGTGAGACCGGAGACATACTTTCATCAAGACACATTCTGATCTCCATAGCACCCCTTTTTAAAAATAAGTGCCGGGCCTTGGTGTCTGCGGCCCGTTAACATACTTTGCACGATTGTGCAGAAGTTCAGAGGCGCGCCTCCTCGCAATCTCCCAGATCTTACGACGTGATTCGTTTGGGCTTGTATGTTACAGTTCAGGGCAGGTTACTCGAACCCGTAGTATTATACCTGGTTATGTAATGAATATCAAGGTTAATATGTCATGACTCTTTAAGGGAATAGTCGGTAATTCCGGAATTGGGATCGAAGTCGTTTCAGCCAGGGGGAAAGCCTGAAACACAGATCGTAATCCGAATATAAAGGGATGCTACTGCTCGTCCTCCTAATTGCATGTGCTACGGGATCTACGATGAACTCCGGAAAAAATTCCATCTCTCGACCTGGCTCTACGGAGCTTGGGTTTTCGCGGACGAACACGGCCCTGACGGTAGAGACGGAGTACGTACGAATGCTTCTGGAGCTTCAAAATATACACTGGATGTATAACAGCACCGCCAGTTTGGCAAATTGGATGCTGTTGGCCGGCTATCTGGTGATTCCCGGTACATTCACCAGCCTCCAGAAGTCCGACTCGATTGAGGACAAACTGTCCCAGAATCACGCAGAAAAGGCGATCCTGGAGACAATTCAGAACCCGCCACTAGTAGCCATAGCATGGTCACTTCTTAGCATCGGTATTGGAACTATATGCTTCTTGTTCAACCGGTGGAGAACGAACTATCTGTGGCTCGTTAACAGATTATTTATGTAAGAGGGATCGATCAACCCTGGTTGATAGAAGCTAACCATCAACCAGTCCGACGCTTCTGAATACAGCAGCCGGGTTACTCACGTCTCTCATCAATATATATACGGCGAAGGGAGGGGACTGGTCAGTAATGGCTCTTCTGACGGTTATAGTGAGTGGAGTTCTAGCAGCTACATCTGGTGGCTTGATGGTCTTCTACAAGTTCTGGAAGCTCAGGATCGTCGAGGCGGACCACGAGAGGGAGACCAGAGCGGGAATCTCACAGGTATATCCCCGAAACTCAGCGACATAGCCCGAAGTACGAGCATCATAGGTGTATTGTTCTGTGAGGAGCTCTCTGTTTCGAAACCATTTTGTCTTCAACGCCCCCACGCCCTGTTGACTTTTCTATCCCAAATCGCCTGGGGAAAGCGTGGAAATATTTCCTTCCCTTTGCTTGGCATTAATTGCGTTTTATTTTCGTTTATCAGTGATTAAATTTCTGGATCGGCTATATAGCGCCACTCTCTCCTTAGATGCCAAGAACAAAGTCTAATATGTTTGGTACCTGCAAGACCCCAAATTTGGAAGCATTGTCCCAGTGATGTTCAAAACGAGAAATATAGCTCAGAGCAGAGCTACCTGGACTACGAGAATGAAGACCTTTCTCGCACGGCAGCCAAGATGAGGCTTGGAGAGGCCAAGGTCGGGAAGAAGATGGTGTATTCCTTTGGTCTTACTCTAAAAATACGGCCTCGGCCGTTAAGTCGCAGATAATTCTCATCTTGGAATCTAGAGCTTCAGTTACAGAACTGTGGAGAGGTCGTCTAGGATGCTAGTTTAGGATAGTGGTAATCAACACATGCTAACTGTTACTACGCTAGCCTCTGTTCGCTAAGGAGCAACGGCAGCCAATCATTCATGGACCAATCGGGCGCAGAACAGTACGATACCTCAGGATAACTGCGGCAGAAACCAACCGCCCACTAGATCACATGATGGTAGCCAGCCAGTAGCTATGGCTACCGCAGCTACCGGTAGCCACCAGGAGGATATAGGACACTCGTTTCTCGCACATGTACTTAGTTTACTTCTTAGTTCTTCGCGTTCAATATTAGTTGACGTTGCAGAGTATACCTTTGCTAGACTCCACCCGTCTGAACTACTCTACTGCTACTACATGCGTGTAGTAGGAGGCCGCACCTTCGACTACGAAGCCCATTGGTGAATCACTCTCGTCGCGATACCGTCACGGAAGAAGTCGAACAAGACTTAGTCATCTGTGCACTCGTCACGTCTTCAAACCGCCAAGCCTTTTGCTTACCACGTCAAGACCAAGTATTAGGAAAGTAATCCAGTTACCGCAATCCGAATTACGTTTCTAGCTTCGGGGCTCGTATGAGATCCTACGGCTAGTGACTTTCTTACGGGAACAGCAGATAGCCACATGACACTAACGACCTCGGGATTCCAAATACTTGTGGCACTAAGAAAGTTTAAATAGTTAATTTTGTTGTTTGAAATACCGTTACTGTCAATTTCTCCACTTTTTAGACTCTCAAAAGTGGGAACATGACAAATAATTTTTCCTTTGCCCTTAGGATTATTGATGTTCCAGCCACCGCGCGATCGGTGGCAATCGGGATCTCCAAGTTTTATGACTTGCATATGCAACTCACCTCTATTCCAACCACAATTGATCCTATTTTATGCGGCCAAAGTTCCAGGGGAAATTACCTCCAATCATATACTACGGTGATAATGGCGTTTGATGCGGTAGAATATCCTATAATCGTAAAAGCAACATCTTCTTTACATACTCGACGCTAGGGGCTAATGAATGCCGCCCTCAAAGATTAAGCCAAGTCTTCGAGATTGACAAAAGTACCAAAATTCATCCCAGCTGACGAATCTACCCTCCACCGGCAGAACGACGAGGTAGGTATCCTTCCCAAGCCAGCCAAATTAACGGTCCGAACTCGGTTATATTGCGGAAATTCTGGGAATCAACCTAGCGGACAGATAACTTGATGATAACCGGAATATTTGCTCCGGATATGAGATCATCCGACGTTAAGTTTACTTGCTCAAGCGGAGTCATAGGCCCGCCCCGGTATTAATCGAAGTTTCCCATTTCTGTCGCATATATCGGACTTTTTTGCGTTTGCCCTAAGTAGTTAGGATGAATCGAGCTCATCGTAGGGTCTAATGATACCGTTAAGCATTATCTCCCCAAGTCGGCCAGGCCGACTGAGTACGGTGCCAGAGCTGACTTTGGCTCCAAGTAAAATACGGGGATTTGGAGAATAATAGCGCCTGTGCCCGTAACTTAATCATCCGATGGAGGATTAGTCTTGCGTTCTTTGACGCATGTGTTACGTTGGGAGAATGCTAATATACGTCTTTTACCTCATGTTTGTGTCCCCATGATGGGAGAAGCTTAAGTCCAGCAACATCTCTGCCCGACAAAGGTATGTATATCTGCTCCACCCGTTGATTTGACACTTAATGAACAGGGCAGAGAGCATAGATGAGGCTGTTTGATTTACCGCCAGATGTTTTGCTTTGCATTACTGACCAGCTGGACCATGCGCGAGACGTCAGTTCCCTAGCGCGTGCAACGCGTTGCACGTCTGGTTTCTTTCAGGATGCATTGCTCAGATTTGCCGCTCGTGAGATGGACTCTCCCGCTTTATATTATGCTGCCAAAGAAAACAAGCGCAGTACAGCAGAGGCTCTCCTTCGATATGGTGCCTGTATAAATGCACCGTGGAAAACACAGACACCTCTTATGATCGCTGCTGCATATGGCTCTGATTCTGTGCTGGACCTCTTGTTGGCTTACGATGATCTCAACATAAATGCGAAGAATCTGAATGGAGAGACCGCACTGTGGTGTGCAGCGTATGCAGGCCGCAGGACAGCCATTATCAAGCTCTTACGGTGCAGAGACATCGACATTGACGTGGCCGATACGTGGTATGAGTGGACGCCTTTCGCTGCTTCCATAGCGAATGGACATTTTGATATCGCGCGTGACCTTCTTGCCACAGGACGGGTCGATTTGAATGCTCGGGATAAGAATCATCACACTCCGTTGTATCACGCTATCAAATCCGGGGACAAGGAAGTGGTATCCCTGCTTCTCTTTAACCGTGAGGTTGATATTGGCGTTCGGGACCACCTTCATCGAACTCCCTTTTGGTACGCTGTGAGATGCGGCAATTCACTCGTCGCACACTTGCTCCTCACACGTGGCGCCAACCCAAATACGCCAGACATGGACCGGATCGCCCCGTTGAATGTGGCAATTCTCAAGGAAAATATGCCAATGCTAAGGCTCCTCCTGGGAAGAGAAGAAGTGGACGTCTCTCCCAAACTGGACCCCGGAGTACTGGGCGTGTTTTGTGAAGCTCAGCCGCCTGTTTGCCTTGCCGCATACGTGGGGAACAGGCAGGCACTAAAGCTCTTACTGTACCGAGGGGCGGATGTGAATACCTACGATAGTCTTGGATCTCCTCTGTTGCACCTGGCTGTGCGGCGAGTTGACTCGGCGATGGTCAAGCTTTTGTTGAGACATAGATTCCTCGACGTGAACAAAGTAACACAGGGCAAATTCAGTTTTACGGCCTTGCATGAGGCCGCCAGCGATGGATGCCTCTCGATGGTCAATTTGCTACTCACCAGGGATGATATTGATGTCAATGCCAGGGATAGTCATGGACGAACGCCGCTTTGGTGGGCGACCAGGAACAACCGTCCCTTTGTTGCAAAAAGGCTCTTAGCAGAAAGGGGACTGGACATCAATGCGGCCAGTGCGGGCGGGTCAACCTCACTTCATCAAGCCGTCAATCGGGGAAATCGGCTAATGGTGCTCTCCCTTCTTGCAGAGGACAAACTGAACCCAAATATCCCTACTAAAGATGGGCTGACTCCCCTGGCTTGTGCAGTACGTAACGGTGATAGGAACATGGTGACTCTTCTCCTCACAAGGGAGGATATACAGGTTAAATTTGGTGGGCCGGAATCCCACTCTCCCATCGCTCTGGCAGTGGCGGGTGGACACTACGGCGTGATGTTTCGATTGCTCTGCTTCACCTGTAAGGCCAAATATAGTGATAATTTAAAATAATCAGAGATCAAGAGTTGCATTATGCTCATTAGCGTTCTAGGGAAATGCGCAACTCGTAGGGATTAGGTATTACAGACTACAATTTAATTTATCTCTACTATACTTGGATCTCTTTTCCTTGATTTCTTAAAAACCACATTGATCTCCGATTGATTTAGTGTCTATAAACCTCAAATTGGTAGATGTGAAGTCACAAGTCTCTTCTCATGCTAGTAGAAACGTCTCGGTTAGGGTTCCCTCACCGCTCAAGTGTGTCCTTTTTTTTTGCCATCACAAACCAGCTTCCCGCAAGGCAAAGAGATTGTTCCTTTTCTCCAAGGTGGAGAGGGCCACTCACACTAGAGTTAAAATTCGGGGCACCCCATTGCTCGGAATTCTTTTCAGACTATATCTGGTGTTGATGAGATAGATTAGTTCGAAAACTTTACCTAAGGATCGTCGTCTCGTACAGTACACCAAGGCTCGATACCTCCCCAGAATTGAATCGCCCGGTGAGGGCATTGCGATCTTGGACAGCTTCAGGCTTCGTAAATTACATAAAACCCGATGGCAAATTATGGCGGCTCAAGAACAGACATACAAGCAAAGGTCTCTCTCTATCTGCCTCCAGTAGTACTAGTGGACCATTACTTGGCCCGGTCCGATCCCCGGGGTACATTGTACCTTCCAGGTCAATACGTATCTCATCTCATTTCGAGGGTCGGTCGATTTTGCCCAGCCTACTGCCAGTATATTTAGTGAGGTCAATTACCGATTCGTAGCCGTCAACCAGTTTGATTCTTGTGGTTAGTTATGGTCCTATTCCGTTTATGATTTATTTTCTTTACTTTCTTCGTTCGCTTTATTTTAATTTTATATATATATAAAAAAAAGAAATCGGTTCCGACTTTGCTTTTGATTTTTGGTAATATATGCCCCTCATTGACTAATACCCCATATTATGTTGAAGTTTGGGCAAAGCTCTTAATTCCTGCTATGTTTTTCTTACAGCTCCACTCATGCGCCAGGCACTTTTGAACTCGTGTCTTTTTTAAATTAGGTTCGAGCTCAAAACATGTATCATTCCGATTCAGTCTTTGGTGGGGGTGCGAAGCCAAGAAAGGATGGAATACGTATGTAAAGTTAGTCTAATTGCCAATGTTTCACTGGAACATGTTCCAACACTCACCTCTTATCACGTGCCTAACCTGCTGCTCAATTAGGTGGTCGCTAACTGACCAGTGGATCTCCCTGTAACAAATATTTCTGGCCCCTTGTAACTTGGAAATTCCCAGCCACCCCATTTAGTGGCATGTGTTTGAATCGTTTCGTTATTTCTTCCATTGGGATTCTCCTCCCCAAAACAAAGCTACTTGGAGGTCGGTGCTGAGGCGTTGGCCTCTCTTGTGAGGATTCTAGCCCTCCAGAACGGTGGGCTGGAGTGCTGGGCTAGCTCTGAATTCCGAGAAATCATGCCTCCGTACGGTGGTACCGTGCTGAGCGTATTTTCAAACCAGGTCCAGACTCTCAATAAGAAACCAATCTCCCATTATTACCGCCACTGGCGTTCTCGGACCTTTCTCCCCCATCGAGCAAAGTCACGGCCAACGGATGGGAGAAAAAAAAGGAGAAAAAGAAAAAGAAAAAGAAGGACTATTACCAATGATACAGAGACTGGGGATGTCAAACTTGTGAATTAAAGGCTTAAAGTATTTGTCATTGTATCCACTTCAACAAGACCAACAATGCGATTAATTTCGCAGTAGCGGTATTTTAAACAGCGAAATCCACTATTTGGAATTATGGAGTCGTTGGCGTAACGCATGATTATTACTACTATTCAATATTAGCGTTTTCTCGATGCCCTCTCTATGATCCTGTAAGACTGCAGCCACCATGGGAAGCACAACGGGGCGTTCGTGGATGGGAGAGGTCTCGAACCTCACCTGAACGCACCAAACCAAGCATTAAATGAAGCGAAGTGCTTTGCATCCTATCTTGCGCACACAGTGATACTATGAGGCGTTAGAACTCGTCCCGGAAAAGTTCTTCGCCTCAGATACTTACGGATGCGAGTCAAGAAGGATAGCTTAAACAATAGAAGAACAGTCAGCAACCAGTAAGTTACAAGAAACCCAGCCCTTGATGGAGCATGCGTTATCTGTCAATTGCCGAGGCAGTGGGACCGCGAAGATACAATTCTTGAAATCTTCTACCTTGATCCGTCCCGCGCCGATCATTTCTGGCCGTGTTGTAAATTATGGGCAACCAGGCACTGATTTGAGTCCAGCCAATCTCCTTTTTTTGCTTATTCCTTGTTTCTTGGGTTTTTTGTTCTTGGGTCTCGCCAGTCTGTATTGGTCTGGGTATCAGTGTAAATTACGCTGTGCCGTGCTGGTCCGGCTCCGGGAGCATCGAGAAGTAAGTCGGGGTGGGGCCGATTCTCCTTTCCGACCTGGAACCTTTAGATTGAGTAATCCTGCCTGGCTGTATCAAGCCAGATCGAGGCTCAGTTCGTAGTGTTTTCTGGCCCATCTCACAAAAACATCACTGCCCTCATAGTCAGCGCCAACCCACGTAAGTTACAACGTTCAAGGGAAGACCCTGTCAGAGACCCGGGATAGAACAAACACAGGATGCTGTCAGCCAATAGATCTGCCTTGTAAGATTACGAAGGTGACGAGACATCGCCAGTTGACGAGATGTCACGTCAACACCGGAATCTTAGGTTGATCCGACTGGTTAGTCGAAGATGTGTGTCAGATAAGTCCAACCGATCCTGCTTAAGGTCCGAACGGGCTTAAGGTATTCTGATATCGAGAGAGAAGACTGCTTCTTAACGAACTAAGAAGGTAAACCAAGTTTCTGAAAGGTAGGGTAGCTTTGATTCCGAAAGTAACAGACAGTAGCTAGAACTAATTACAGGCGTTAATGAGTGTCCTTAAATACTAAGTTCCCATCATGGCTTGCCTATGCTCGGCTCATGGCCTGGCTATGATCCGGTCATGTCCTAAACATGTCCCATCGTAGTCAGCCTATGCTCCCCATAGCCTGCCTGTGATCGTAACCCTAATCCGGCCTAGCATCGTAGCTTGACTATGATCGGTTCCGGCGCATTGTTTCTCCGTAGGTGTCACGGCGCTAGGCTGCGGCACAACGGATCCATTGGCTGACAATGGCCGCGTTCTCTGACAATGTGATGCTAAGCCTAAACAGGACTACGGTAATAGCCATCCGAGTCGAAGACTATGAGGACTTTGATGGACATGATGGGACTTAGTATTAAGGACACTCGTTATTGTATGTAATTAGATTAGGGATTGTCTGTTACTTTTCGGAATCCAAGCTACCCTACCTTTCAGAAATTCAGTTTGCCTTCTTAGTTCGTTAAGAAGCGGCCTTCTTCTGTTGATATCAGAATACCTTAAGGCATCCGGTCCTAAGCAGGACGATAGTGCTTATCTGACAGAGCGTTCGCCTGATTACGTTGCCAGGCCTCACAATAATATAGGCCAAAAAAGATAGACTGAAGTCTTGATTCAATGTCTGTGGGCGCACAGAGGAACTAAGGAACGGAGTCACGCAGATTGGCGAGTCCGGGCCAGTTCTGGAGAGAAAATTTAATTTTGCTCACTATTACGATTAGTAGCGCTGTTAATCTTTTTCTTTTCTTTTTTTTTTCTCGACCGACTAAATACAGAAGTAAGGCGGTATAGCACGGTAACAATTTAACCCTGATCTCTTAATGATGATTTCAACATAACTAGTAGGCGATCATCGGAAATTTTTGAAAGTTTGCGACCATTCAGGAGACCGGTTATGTAGTTTACCTTAAGGTGTCAGGAAAGACCACCAGTCTCGACCTTCACGCCAGGGCTGGAACTCAAGTTCAAACAACTCAACATTATGCCTGATGCTTTCCCTTACTAGCTTTTGCATCTCCCTGCGGATGCGGCGTTGAGCGGAAACTGATTGGAGGTTAGAGTCATCCACTAAACGTAAAAGACCATTCATTACCTGTGACCAGAAGCTTTCCCTTCTGTTTTGCCTTCTCTGACAGGAATACCTGCTCCCAGCTCACCTCATCATCGATGATGGTGATAAGTTTGTGCTCGCCAACTGTATGAGATTGTTGAACCGAGTTGTCGTCCGGTGGGTTGTAGACTGTAACTTCCAACATCTGCGTTCCCAGTCAGTGATCGCCCGTTCGTTGCTCTGTGCTTGCGTTGGCTGTGACTCACGTAACCCTTATCTTGCTCCACTAGCTGCTGCAACCAATCCCTGGCACTTTCCCAATCTCCTGCCCGATCCAATCGCCAGACCAAAGATATCCTTTGTGTGCGTACCTCCGCCCGGTGGCGCCTCTGTAGCAATTCCTTGATGTAGGGTAGTTGAGCAGCAATCCCAATGCCGCTCGTCACCATCAAGATATGGCCGTAATCGCTGACATCTTGTGCGAACCCGCACTCCTGGACGAGAGATGGCCCAAACGGCCCGTCAATCCAGGCCCAGTAGTCCTGGTCTGGGTTGGTGCATTCACGAAGTTTGCGGGTAAAGCCTGTTCGGGACCGAAACATAAGCGCAATAGAGAGAGCGTGACCATGCTCGTCCTCCTCCCACCAGGTGACCGTAAACGGGTGGGTCTGAAAAAAATAGAATACCCCCAGAGAGGGAACTCCAAGATTGATCCGCTCCCCAGCACGTACGATCCAGGGACGGGGAAGGCTAAGACGGACATGAACAATATCCTCCGCATGAATCTTGACGGACATACGGACTGATTTACGCCCAAACACAAAGTTGCGGTACAGGATGCGGATCATCTGGAGTACGCTGGTGAATGAAAAGGCGGAAACACAGGAGATGAACCACCAATGTGACTGGGTTGATGTCGGCTGGATATGCTTCCAGATCGCAATAAGCCCGGTGACGGCGGAGGCAAGATGCTGTACGAGAAAAGCCTCATAGATCCGGCGCTTGATCATGGGCAGAAACAACAGGGATAACAGCATGCAACCTCCCTAAGATCATCAGCAATCTTGACGTTACTCAAGCTGGTGGCCATCCTATCAAGTGAAACCTACCAAAAGACCATTAAGGTGAGTTGGGTGGGAGACGTCGAATTTGATGTGTCGGCTGATGATCACCACATGTATCGTCGCTTGAACAACGGACATCAGTCCGACCATTCGATGGATAAATCCATATGTCTCCAGAGAAATCCCCAGAAGACGGGCCGGGAATTCTCGACCTCCCGAGAGAAAGAGTGGAATCAGCAATACCAGACAGATGTGAGCAGCACGCTGTGAGGCCTGCAGAAGATTGTCCACATGGACAAAATTACAAAGACCGGTGCCAGCAACGAATAAAATCAAAATGATAATCCGCAACGGGGATAGACTGTCGGTCCCTAGAAATCTCGTCGGTACACTAGGGAAAACAAGATAGCCCAAGAGGATATGGCGGACGCTCCGATGGCCCAAGCAGGGTATGGGCAATGTGCTCCACGAGAAAACGGCACGGGCCATGCGATGGAGGATTAAGACCACCACGATGGCCACCAGAGCTAGAAGATAGATGTATTCCACAACTTCCATGGTGAGTGAAGGAAAAGTGCAAAGGTAAAGCATGCTCGTAGGCTAGGTCGCTGGAGGCAGGACCGGTATTTATAGTATTGCCTTCGGGATCGCCAACAAAATCAATATTACAATACAACGAGGGGCCATAGTACTCCTGCCCCCTCACCTTCGCGGTCCACCAAAGTCCGCGTCACGGTCCTCTTCAGCCCCGCTGGTCCTGCCAAAGTCGGTCTTGCTGGTATCTGGATGCCCTTACGGTCCCCGATGGGCCCAGGAGTCGATCAGGTGTATCAAGTAAAGGGAAAGTTGGATAAGGACTTTGCGTTCCTCCTCCGGCAACCGGGTACGAGCCAGGTGATGCCAACTGACACGCTTAACGCCTGGGTAGAGTTCTTCCTGTGTTTTGTTAGGCTAGCAATCAATTATATATTCCGCAACCTGACCTGGGAACTCACCAACTGGGCGTCCGGCGGCGGCCAGGACCGTTGCTCGACGGATTTAAATGTGCGAACCCCATTGTTGTGCTCAACGAGGATGTATACCTTGCACTTGTGGAAAATAGACAAGTTGAAAGCCTCATTTATGAGCTGCTCTATTCTGTCTGCCAGGGTAGTGGCGTGGTGAGCACTGCGGCCGGCCATTTTCAGCCGGTTCAATGTTCATGTGCCTGGTCGTTCCAGAAGTGTCTCTGGGAATCTCCTTCTTTAAATATAGATAATGATAGGGTTCCTAAGGGTTGCTAAGACGGAGTCTGGGCCTCCGATCTCCCTGCCGGCGACACCAGACTGATGACAGAGTCTCTCAATTGACCCGGAGACGGAGTCCCTCGCACCCTCATGCTTAGTGCCAGTCAAAACAAGTTGGATAATTTGGAATGTATCTACCCATTGCAAATCACAAACTCTGAGAGCGAAGTGCTAGTCTACATCTTGGTAGGAGCCAAACTTGGTACGGTGGGTCAAGGGAAAGCCTTTTAGGTCCGGACCTCACCGACAACGCAAACCCGTTTGCTTGCCAATTCGTCTGTGGGTGCGGATGTGCGCTTCCGCCGTCTCCCCGCCAGATGAACCATGGTACCATCGCAGCTGGCGCAAGGTACGACGGCGGGATGTCCATGGTCTGGTCGTCCGAAAGGTGCCTCTAATTTCTGCGCGGCCGCGACCGACGACATATCCGTCGGAAACCCGCTGATCCTCCATTGTTTTTCCCGGCTAACTCGTAGATAAATGTTGGTTGGCTGGTCACAGTTTCTAAGTAACATTGATATCGGTTTCGAGTAGCGCCCACAGGCCGCGCAGATATCGTCTAGCCCTCCAAAATAAGCAAGATGTTCTGTGTCGTTCACAAACTCCATCCGCTGGGGATGATTGGCCAGGAGGGAGTCAACGATCTCTCGAACAGGGCCCTTACACTGAACCGCTCCATGGCACCAGACGTATTCCCCGCCTGTGACTTTCTCCGGTACGCACCGGAGGGTGAAGTAGAAGCGGCCTGCCAGCAGTGCACTTGCCACATCACGCGCCATCCGGCCGCTCCCTGGTTGGCCTATCACCAAGTTCCGATACTCGTCCATCATTCCCGTATCATCGATCGTACACGGAAGGGTTTGCAGCGGGACATCAAGCCGCAAGTAGTCCTGCCGGAGGGCTTCGTCCAGTTCGTTCTTCATTCTCAACCATTTAGGGGTAGCATCCATCTGTGACATGAAAGCTTCGTAGCTTCGTGGAAAGAACCCATCACGGAAAACATGACGGAACGCGGGTGATCGATTTGAAGGCGCGTCCGTTCGCCCAGTGCCCAAAGAGATCAATCTTGTGATGCCTGGCTTCGATGGCCAGATGCGACGGCAGATTCTTCGTGCAATATCCGCAGCAAAGTTGTCTTTCAATCCTCCATCCTGGAATGACCCACTTGGGCCAAGGTTCGCAGTTGAAAAGTAGCTGTGAGCCGTTAGCATTCATTTGCCAAATCTGGCTAAGCGCCGTGCCAAGAGTCCAACGCCTGCAGATTGACTGCGCCGCAGCTTTTTGAGCTCCCCCTCACTCTTGTCATCCCCCGAAAGTAAGCTAGGACGACTCACAACGGCGCTGCAGCTGTCGCACGTGCCCTGTGATACATGAGTCACCTGATGCGAATTCACTCTGCAACGCAGGTCTGGGGAAACATACACCTCCCAAATTAATGGCTCATCGTCCGCTTTCTCAGCACGAAACAGTTGGTATTCTAACCGCGAAGATGGTTAGCGAACACCTTCATCTCAGGGGGAGTGGAGAAGGATAACGATAGGGGACCGACCATGCTTCTGTCCAGCAAACCAGTCAACCGCGTTGAAATTGCCAAACACGAAAGACCTTGTCTCTTTCGCAATATTTGTCGCGATCACGCCGAATTTAGATCTGGATTTGGATTGGGCGTTGACCCCAACCACACCGAAAATCCGCCGCTCCTCGCGGAATGCCTCCCGTAAACTAGCGTCAAAGATACGAGTGTCATAGCATCCATCCTGGCAGAACCACGAAAGCCACTGGAAGATCGCCCCAAGCAGAGAATACTGTCCGAAGAGGAACCGCAGCATCCGAGAGAGCGAGGACTGGATTCGTTCCTCGAAAATCCGGCGTGCGAGGCGATCGAACATCTGGGAACAGGTGGAGACATCCCACTCCATTCCACTGATTCCAAGGGCGATCAACCCGCCTGAGTATGATCAGTTTAGCCTCCATAAATTCAGGGAGATATTGGGAAAACCCACCGGAACTGGGGCCAACGGAGAGGTCAACAAGGTCACACAATTTACAATCTCGTCCCAGACTCTCCTGGATGAGGATCAGATATTCCAGGGGGATAACTCCCCGTACTCCGCCTCCATCGATCGCCAAAATCGTCGGATTCATAGTGGGAGGCAACACGTCGACTACTAGTTTGTCTCGCGATAAGCACAAGAGGCATATCGACAAGGTAAACTGATATTCGACATTGGAGGCCGGGCTACCGAACACTTGCGCGCAATTGTCGCAGATAGAGTGGTGACATCGCTGGCAATGCTGGGCGCACCGAACAAGGCAATAGAGACATATGGTATGCGACTGGATTTTCCCCAGTTCATGGCTCAGGGACATGAGTGTCTCCCTCTGCAACTCCACAGACGTCTTTGTCGAAGTGGAGATCCGACGGAACCCCCTCACAAAATCTCGCTCGATCAGATCCGCAAGTTCATCTCCTCGCTGACCCAGCGCTGGACTTGCTCGCTGGCCTCCTCTCACGACGGCGGGCAAGTAGAGGGTACGGAATACGATTCTCGGCTCCAGCACTAGGGAGTAGTCAGCACAAAGGACAGCCCACGAAACTCGCTTTGTATTCCGAGCTTTCCGTTCGTTCATGTGTCATGCTCCTGGGTGGAGACGCAACCTACACATCATTCCCGGAACATAGTGGTCCATGAGTAAGGCCGATGCGATTGATCTGCCGAGTGTATCCAATGAGCATCCCCCTCGAAGGCCAGCCTCTAAAAAGTGCGCGAGGTGATGAGGGAGTCCGGTCGACACAGGGAAGTCCATCCGTGTAGCTTGAACCAGATCAAACTGAGTTTCAGCAACGAAGCTCTTCAGGGCGGACTGGAACAAACCGCCCAGTTGTCGGGCGCTATAATGATACCAGTGTGCCCGGCGAACCGCCTGTATTGCGGTCTGCTGGTCACGGATGGAGGTCCGCAACCTCTCATGCTGGATGGTTTCGGGCAGACTTCGGTCGAGACGGATCACGTTAAGTGAGGAGAATGACTCTTGAAGCCGAGGTCGGTCGATTTCGCGCACTAAATCGTAAAACCGCGCGATGTCGTGCTCCAGCGATTCTGGTTCCATGGAACCACCATCTTCTAGCACCACGATGACCTTGGGCCGAACCGAGAGTGGAAGGCAGGAGGTCGATCCCGCACCAGCGCAGCCCACCAAGGACTGCGCGATGGAAGCAAGGTCGGGAAAATCAATCGCAAAGACACAGATGAGATTAGCAAAGGGAAAAATAAGACGAGAGTAAACTTGTTGCAGGAGAGATGTTGTAGAAAGAGTGCGGCAGGAAATCAGCTTATCACCAGGAAGCATCTGTTGCGGCTTGCACGAAGTGGATCCTCCCAGATCACCATCGGCAAGCAGCAATGGTTCATTGGTCTCAGCGGAGACTGTCTCACATCGCAATCTGACTTGAGCCCCAGAGTTCGTTCTCCGTATATTATTATGCGGGAAAAGGATTTGGAGAATGTGGTCCTTGCGTTTACCTCCGAGGAACACGGAGAGGATTGGAAACTGCTGTTCTGGCTGCGGAAGCTCTGAGATAACCTGGCTCAATCGGCCATGATCACGCACCAGTGCACCATTCTGGCCAGTGTTGACTTCAAGCCAGCTGTTGTCGCTCTTGCGATACATTTCGCTGTGATGTACCTATGTTTATTCCTCTTTCAATCAGGAGCCCGGCCTTTTTATCTTTCGGTTCGTAACGGCCAGTCCTGGGCACTTCCAGCCTCGACTCCCATGCCCGTTTCACACTATCAATTCTGTAACCGCCGCTGATCGAGACTGCTTGGCGTCTTTGGATCTGGGGTCTAGACCATCATTTCATGAATTGACCTGAAAGTCGAGGTGGCACCCACCCAAATTTCCTGAAATTGTCCCGCATTAGACACGTAATGACAAATACTCGGGAATGTCGGCAGCCACCCGTTGCTAGACGAACGCACAGATACCATACACTAGAGTGATTTTGTTCTAGTCCAATCCAAATACGGCAATTGTGCCTCGAATAGCACTGGGTCACTTTACGCATGGCGGGCTCACGGGAGTCCTACATCAACCCCCGCATAAAAGGGCCCAGGATCAGTCCAAGACGTCCGATAAAGCACCTGATACAAGCGGATATGGACTATAAAGGGCCGCCCACGACATAGGTTTCTAGGTGCAAATAACTCTGTCAAGAATGTTCGGCTGGTCCTCCCAGTTTCCCGACTACTACGCACTGCCGGGTCCAAGCAGTGACTCTGCGGTCTATTCTCATCTCTTTTCTAATGACCCCTCGCCTGCGGAGCCAAGCATGGGCCTGAACAGCGATGGCCTGATCTCCAGTGGACACGAGAGCATGCCCCAAATTAGCGCTCCTATCCAAGAGAGAGGCGACGAGCTCCAACGAAACCTTGGGCGAAGCGAGCAGACCGTTGAATCCTAGTACGCCCGCCCATACTACATGTTGACCGGTCAATTCTAACTTGATAGCCCCTCGGATCACGACTCGGAGCTTGAGGTAGAAGCGGAGTAAGAACTTCCGTGCCACCTATCGCTGAATGTTGACTGACAGTATAATTTAGCAAAGTCTTTGCCAGAATGCTCAGAGAGACCAGGCGGAGTACCGCAAAGGCAGGCCAGACGGCGGAAAAGCTGAGCGATGTTGTTGAACAGCTCAATGAACTCCGTAAAGCGGTGGCGCGGCTAGAGGACAAAGTATCTCAATTGGAGGAACAGTGCAATGAGGGTCATCGATGCGTTGATAACATGATCACAAGTCTCAAAAATTACCAAGGCTTATACCGTTACCTGGTCCAACGTTTGTCCATCCCTATAGGATTTGATGAGAGGCCAGGGGATATTGTGAACGGCGAGATGCAAGATTGTTGCATGTAGTATATTTTCATCCACGTCCACGGGGTGGTCGTCTCCCAAATTTCATGACCTTTTTTTTTTGGCTATTACACACTTGACAAACCCAAAATATATTTATCTCTGACGAGTGAGTCCGCACGTTTTCTCTTTCGAGCTTCTTTTGTTGGGATAGTCCATTATGGAAGCTATGAGCAGTTCGAATCAGTTTCTTCAGGTCTAACATCTGCACTTCCACCACTTGATGTGTATATCTGGGAAGGGCGACAGGCTGCAGCGCCGCTTGACTATGTATTGGTTGGTCAATTCGGTGGCTTAACTCTTCGATGGATTGTTGAAGGTGGCTGGTCTATTTTGCGTTGAGCGTCACTATTGTCTGCCTCAGACCGGCATCGAACAATCACTAGAATAGCAGCTTCAATATGCTCTCTGCAGCTGGAAGACGGCGAATATGTCATCTCCTTTAGACCCATCCCATTTAGATAGGCTACTTCGTGTCGGAGACTCATATGGGAGAAATGGCGATTATCCCCGCTCCACAGCTGCCCTTGGGGCCTTACTGTCTTTTTGCGGCATTTCTGTTGTATGTATTTGGGAAAATAAGAAGAACTTTAGTTCAAGACGCTGTTATGCCATCGTTACCTGGATTAAAACCCAGTTGATATCTTCTAGCGCAGTCTTATAAGCCAAGGTCCCGTACGCGGAGAGATTCCGATAAGTACATTACCAGATATTTCCCTGGGCCTGTGTATTGTAATGTCTGGTGTTAGCGTCGGCTTGTCTACCGAAACACCAATTTGCGAGTGGCTAGAGTTGGAAATTAATCGCCCAGTCTTGGTGTTTGTGCCCGCCAGCCATGAACATGATGGTATCGGCTACTCACAACTAGTGAGATTATGTTTATTTTTATTTTTATTTTTATTTTTATTTCAATTACATTTTACCTAAGCTCCACTTCCGTCCTCTAACCTCGTAAATTAATTTTTGGGCAGCTGGTGGTTATCAGTAGTTGATCGACGGTCACTCGCGTATCCATAGCTCAGTGGCCCGCCAAAATCACGAGGCGATCTCGAGGCTTATATATTAGAGCTTTTAAAGGTTATTAATTCCAAATGACCTGCCCATCAAGGAAGACTAACAATAACTTATCCTCACAACCTATCACTTCGCGATAAGAAGGGAAGTTGCGCCTGCAACAAATGAGCAAGATCTTCCCCCTTCCCAAATAATGACATCGACAACTGCAGATGGACTGCTAAATTGGGAAGTCCAGCCTCATTTGGTATGTCATATGCAACTCTCACAAGCTTGAATCGATTGTGTCTGACTTACCCCCAAGCTGTCCGGAAACCCAGCTCAGCAAGATCCCTGGCAAAGGAACGCGACCAATTTAATAAAGGAACTTTCGGACCAAGATCAAGCAACTCGTCAGTACCAGACACATTTGGAGTCTCGCCTCCGAGAAGACCGAGCCTGCCTCCAACACGAGCGACAGCATTCCAGTCAGCTCCAGCAGAAGCTGGCCGACTTACAGTCGACACACAATCAAGTGGAATTAGCGCTATATCAAGCCACGAACGATATCAAATGGTTGCGTCAAGAGCTGGACATGCAAGTGAGGAAATCTCAGGATGCAGAGTCTCGGGCGGCGGCGCTCTCGTCACTCAACGAATCGTTGGTGCAGAAGATGCTCGGTGCACATTCCGCAGAGCTGGGCGCCCAAGCTACGTCTGTGGATGCCCTCCAACTACATTTGAACCAACAGAAGCACGAAGCATGGATAAAGGAGCTCCAGTTGTCTAACCGGCTCCATGAGGAATCAATTCGATCCTTACAATCTGCCTTACACGCAGCGATATTCTCCATGTCATATTCTGAGTCATCAGGCAGCAGTGAGTGTACAACTATAGTTGGGTCTGGTGCCGGTATTGGAGATGAGAACTCGTCCGAAGTACGGGCATATATCGGAATGAATTCAACACAAAATGGCCAATGCAGTTCAGCAAAAGAAGGGTCTTGGTATGAGGCGTGATTGGAAGTGTTGGTTTGACTACGCATGTGCCATTGTAAAGAAGATGATCTAGTAAGCCTCGGAGATATAAAAATGATACATGCTGTCCAGTAATACAAAGGCTCAATTCGTGATCAAGAGAATTTGTTGCGCGACCCCTCCTCACGATTCCAGAAACGTCTTGTACTTCAGATCTTAATATTAGCGACGAAATCTCTATCAGGCAAGCGAACTCACCTCATTTTCTGCTCGACATTCCAGGAGGTGACGACCATGGGAATATTATCAGGGCATTGACCATAGCACTGGACTTGTCCCCTTTTCTTACACGGAAAGAGCTTCGACCGAAGTTTTCGAAACATATCACAAGTCCTTGGTCGCTGGGAACAGGTACCAATCTTTTTGGTGGAGAAGCCCATCCTGGTTTCGATTCCGCCAGTGCTACCACGGAAGCGAAGGTCTCACCACTATAGTACGATACACGGGTGTTAGAATCCCCTTTTATGACTAAGTGATCTTATATTCAGTTTGAGCTTTTGTTCTCCCTTTTCCTTTTTCTTCTAATTTGGAGTGTAACAGGAACGGTGATTTCCGAATAGTACCCGACGGAGGGCCTCGCTCATATCCGAGGTAAGATTCACTGACCGCCTAACGCCCATCTTGGAGACCAACCGGTTTATTTTTCGGACCAGAATACCGAGGCCTAAAGCTTCTCAAACCCATTTCTTGAGTTCCGTAAAATATCAGTCTTTTCGCGGCTGATAGGAGTCCTATTTTGCTTCCCTGGGCTACCTACCTTGGCAAACGACGTCAGCTCTCGTCGCATGGTGTGCTAAGTCATTGCCGGAGCTCTGTGTGCCAGAATCGGTTGCAGTTGCAATTAAGGTGAGCCGCATATGCAAGTCATACTGTACGAAGACCTCCGGACCTCACTTCGTCCACTTGACAGGTGTGGGTCCCTTGTTGATCCTGAACTATCATTCAAGATGTTTTTGCCGTCCTGATTAGCCTAGGTCCTCCCACCAGTCCTGCAGATTGCGGACCGGTACTCCGTACTTTGAGTATTATTAGTCATTGACGGAAAATTAAAAGTATTTTCTCATTGCTCCGTATTTTTGGCCCCCAGTCCATCGGTGTCGACAATTCATATGATTCTTACGCTAGTTTTTACCCCTCTTTAATTTTAAATTCTTTTTTGTTTTATTTTATTTTATTTTTGTTATTTTTTTTGTTATTTTTTATTTTTCTATTTTTGCGAAAAAATGAACGTGTATGGGAAGAGACCTGAGCGCTGAACAATAACGGAAAGAGCATACTGCTAAGCTCCCTCGGTTTTTGGCTCTTGAAATCCTGTGGGGCAAGTGACGGCTGTGGCAGGGAGAGGAAGGGAAATTGCACTGCATTCCAGTGCTCGTAGAAGAAATAAACTCGCTGCTGCAATATCTTCTGTCCTATTGGGACGTGGACACTAAGCAAGGGGTCATGTGATCAGCTCAGCCCTAGTTCAATGCTACAACAAAAAGTGCTGCTGCTTCAAAGCCTGCGAACGCATTAAGAATCTAATTACCATCATACGTTCCATGAGAATGGATATACCTTCGCTTCTGAGCGTGCTCGATGATACTGAGCCAGCTGATAAATCCACTCGCGTGAATCAGATACCTTTGATCGGCAAGTCCTACCACCTTAATACGAGTTCCAGGGCACTTGCAGCGCCAACAATTCTGACAGGAGACGCTTCAATCTCCGGGGCATGGATGAACTCAAGGTTGCAGGAGCGAATATCATTCTGGAGTTCAATACATGGGAAACGTAACCCTGTTTGTGACTCGATCGCTTATGGGCCTTTGGGAGCGTACCAGGCGCGGAACTTGCTTCAGTCGAGTTTTCACAGTGGCACTGGTCTATTCCTGCTGGAACCGGAGTTGGACACTATTATTCAGATTGGTGATGGTTTGATTCAACGAGACCTGCACCGTCGGGCGGGATTCATTTTCCAGCGATGGTCGGGCAGCTGTTCCGCCCAGCATATTTTAGGCTTTCCGAGCCTCGAGTTCGAGACCTGGCAAGATGCCTGCTCTACGTTCTTCATCTACCTGCAATCGCTCCGAGATGAAAGCTCACTACTGGCCCAGTTTCGCCGCCGGATCGCACAAGTATGGTTTTGGCTGTTCTTCGACATCCTTTGTGAGCAGTCGATGCAGAAGAATGATTTGAAAGGTTCTGTTGTGGACGGCAGTAGAGATGTCTTGGAAGACGTCCAGCATCAGCTTCTGGCCTTGATATATCCCGGATATACGTGTGCTCCATGGGGCGAGATTTGCAAAAAGGCCCTTCGTGATCACCTTCGGCGTGGATTCAGATGGTGGAAGCTAGCATGCAGTGTCGGCGACGGAGCTCTCCTTATTGCGAGCGATGGAGTAGCCCTGGTTGTGTATGTGGTCCACAGCGCTGAGCGGATGAGTACTGATTTCGATCCAGGAACTCTTCGCTATATTCCGAATCCTTCCTCGATGCCGTGATTAACTATATCCGAAATGCCTACCCGAAAACGCTTGACCTCTTTCATCTTTGCTCCCCGATTGTGAAACGGCTTATGCAAGGAAGCAGACCGCATCCAGCAGATACGATGAAGGTAGAGCAGTGTATTGGGCTTCTGGCAAGTGGGGACCATCTCACCAGATCGTATTGTTTACCATGGACTTGGAGAAACCCAGGCCCAGTCGCAATGGCTAGTTCTGCCACCTTTGTCATGGATTGTGAGTATAAAGGTATTATCTCGATTACACATATGTTTGATTAAGGGAGCTTATACGGCACCAATAACAACGGACATTGATTTAGTCCCCATAAGTTATGTATAAGATGCCTCCTATCCTACAGGTCACTATCTTAGCCGGTCGTTTACTCTAATATCAAACATTGAAGTCCGTATAACCTATAGTGTAAAATTCGCCTCACAAAACTGAGTTGCAATGAAGACTTGCCCATGTAAAGCACCATAGCCTGCAACAGGATGTAAAACTGAACAATAGAAGATGCACGCCAGATTATTTGGCCCAGACTTGTCCAGTAATGTTTTATGTGACAGAACAACAGGACGCCCAAAGAAGCTCAATTTTACCATTACATTAGTGGCTGCAATGATCGGAAGAAAGCCTAGAGAAAATAGAATCGAAATTTCTTTTCCAAGCTAAAGAGAAAAATTGTGTCGGCCTGAAACTTATTTAAGTCTCCGAGCAATTCCAGAAGCAAACTCGAGTTCCCAACAATCTCCAGTTATGGATCAGTACTCTCCTACTTCACTCTATTCTATCGCGGAGGAAGTCACTCCTCAAGACCACCAGATTCTCTGCCATGGGGGTACTACATCTACTCTCGAGCGCCTCCCGTCCCGTCTCCGACAATCAAAACCACCTACCAAGAACTTGAAGAAGCGAATCGAAGACCTTGCATACGAAGTGAGCTATCTAAAGGCAGAGGTCTCATGGCATACAGAATCGAAGCAAGCCTTGCTTCAGTTCCAAGAGAAAATGTACCAGCTTTTCCATCAAATGGAAGATGCCCTTGTCCAAGTGAATGCCAGGATGCAGGACGCTGAGCAACGTTATTTGGCGCTGTGGGGTCTCACTGCCAACGCAAATAGCGCAGAGAGCGTAATTTGAACAATGGGATGTTTATCGTATCAGTGCTTGCAGGAAGTGCTAGGTTACAGCGTGGTACAGTACTTGATTAAAAATCGAATGTGTTCTGTAATATTTGGCCAAGAGAGTAATTTAAACTGAACGCGCGGGAAGGCACTCGCATCTTTAGTATAAATACCCAAGCTACGCCTACCATACCAAGATAATATGCTCGGTCTTCCAACGAACCCCAACCATCAGCATGCTCCTGGACTTCGCAATTCTTCTCCTTTTTCTCTTTGCCCAGTGTATATCAGGCATGGACCCTTCAGTCAGAATCAACGGGATAACTATATGGACAGAACGAGACTGCCAGGGTGTCCCAGCCTCAACAATCTTTAACGGCACAACCATGGCGCATAATATCTCAAATGCGTGCTTATCTCAAAGTTTTAAACTTGCGCGCCCGCTTCAGGGACAGGAACAGTTGGACATTTCAATCACACTGCAACCTCACTCTTGGAGTTCGACCTGGGTGAATAACCAGTCATGCACATCCTTTATCCAAAGCTACTTTCCTATCAACGGGAGTGATGACTGCCATAATACACCACCGTTCACTTGTCATCGACTTTGGATAAATAACGGACTCTCCCCAGAATTAAGTGGTCCATTTGCCTCCTCGGTCGCGTCCTTACCTTCGACATGGTTATCTGAGAGTCCATCTTCCTGCGATACACAGAGTCCAACGCCGACTCATAACACACGCACTCATCTCACTGCATCCTCAACAAAGCCCCACAGTGAGACACCTTCCCGGACAACACCTCTGAACCAAACGCACACAGTACAGGTCAAAGTGGGACCGTCTGCTGTGTTTGACCCAAATTACCTTGACAACATCCCGGCCGGACATACAATAAGGTTCCAGTCTAATGAATTATTTCAATTGAATCATGAGACACTCGACGACCCCTGCACGCCAAAGAGGGAGTCTAAGATCGGCACCGAATTGTTTTATAGAATCAATAAGACGGAGCCAGTCTGGTTCTCTGCTTGTCTCGCTCGCGATGTGTTATGCATCTGCAATAAAGACACGCATTTTGCTCTGAATCCCGGTGATCAATTTGGATCGTTCAATGCGAGTATCGAACGTCCAGACACTGTCACTACCCGCCCTGGACCAATAGTCTGGGTTACTGAAACCGAAACCGTGGTAGTTACGATTTGACGCAAACGAGTGGTCATAATCGCAACAGTGATTCTGCAGCCAGAATTTACGTTGCCTAGGGATTATTTACCCCCTTACTATAAGAGCCATATATCTGCCCCCGAAGTCAGTCCTCTTAGTGCCCAGAACGACCTGTTAAAGCTTCATATTTTAACGAATTTGATTCTCTATTCTGCCTTGGATACTGTAACATTTCTCTGCCTCTCTAAGTCTTATCCTGATAAGAGCTAATTGGAAGTATCATCGTCCTCGCTAACTGCGGCATAGCCCGTCGTCTGCGTCACTGATCTTCTAATGTCTTCGTCACAACTTTAGACAGGTGTCAGAAATTTCATATAACGAGTATTCGAGTTCGTAATTGCATCAGATTGTTTCACTACGTGAACAAAGTCTGTAAAATAAACTATTGTTCACCCAGTCAGATCTTGTCCTCCTTTTCGGTGGGCTGAAACGCCGACGCGACGCGGTTAAATATACGTTTTATCTCGGGCTAAGGAAATGCACAAGTCTTGGAAAATATAAATTCAGGACTTTGCTTGACTGACTGTCAAGAGGCAAAGGCTGTACGGACGTAAATATTATAAAACCCCGGCATGAAATGGAGATTATCTTTCTTCTATTCGTCTATCAATTCTTTCAACAATCATTGGCCCTTTTTAAGGTATGATCACTCTTCAACTCAATAGTTCTGCCATGGAATAACTAACCATGCCTTAGGTCGGAGGGGTTGAGGTAGCGGGCCTCCAAATCGATCTTATTCACAAGCATCATTATGCCCAGAGCCACAGTAAGTGAGCCGCGATAAACCTAGATTGCAGGAACCTCATTCAATCCAAGACCAGAATATTGCCATCATCAATAAACATATCGACCAGCCATATACCAAGAAAGTCTGTCCTGACTATCAAAAATCGCCAGGCGGACAAGGGCCTCTTACAGTTTACGCTGCTCGAGGATCCCTTTTCAAGCCACATTACCTGAAACCAGAGCTGCCTAGAACCGGAGATACTCAAAAGGGCTATATCGACTGGTACGGCACCCGTGAAGTCATTAGTTTCAACACCACGACGTTTGATGATATTCTGGGCTTCCAGGAGGGTCGAAATGGACAGGGTAATAGGAAAATTCTGCTACTAAGGGTACACACTGAATAGCCTACAGTCCTCACAAGCTCCCATAATAGACATGAGCATGACTATTTTCAGCTACCATCAGGTACAAACCCTGGTGACATTTATGCCCTTTACTGGATGTGGAATACCACCCATCCTTTTAAGGGCGGTTTCATTGTATGGTATCTTGCATTGTTAGTTTACCTCAATGACTCTAATCTTGTCAAGGTGTTCACCTCGTGTATTAAAGTCATGATCATCGACGACTCCTCATCCATACCCCCCGAGTTCAAGCCCACCAACAGGGCTCACCACTGGATTCGCAGCAATAGAAATTTCACCGCCAACGCTACTAGGAGCTCAGAACTAGAGTTAACCTTAAATTCTCGCCCAGGTAAGTGTCAACAACCAGGATCATAGCTTCAGACACTGACGGTATTTCTAAAATGACTCATATAGACATCCAAAGTCTTCGTACGCCTATCACGCTCTACGCGTGGGACCAGCCCAATTGCACTGGTCGAATAACAATGTCATTCTTTGAGCCCGAAGCCATTGCGAAGAATATTTCGAACTACTATATATCACAAAGCTTCAGCCTTTCCCGCCCGCTTGAAGGACAAGAGCAATTGGATTTTTCCCTCGCTGCTAATCCAGGTTCCTGGTATAGTAACAAGGACCAATTTTCCGAAGAAAGCTCATCATGCAATTCTTTTCTTCTAAGCTATTTTGCCTGGAATGGAAGTGCTTCTTGTCACAACACACCCCTGTTTACCTGCCATCGGCTGTGGATAAACCCGGGCCTTCCATTGTGAGCAATGTTGGCTACTAGGAATCACTTCTTCTTGAGCCTGCTTGAGTCGTTTAAAGTAAGATCTAAGGATACTGGTTTTCTGAGAGCTACGCCCATCAGCACAATATTACAGCTATATCGCCAAGGCTTGAGGCCATGATTTCTGTCTGTTGACACGGCAGTAGTCTCTAGAATTAATGCAGTAATATGCTCAATATATGATAGATACATCATGCAAACTGGTTGAATATGTGCTTAAGGTCTACAGATGAGTATCCCGTCCATTCAGCCGCAACTATCCGATAGTTGTCCACCCAGCCACTCAGCGCTTGCCTACATGGCTTTGCTTGCATGCTACAAATATCCAGGTGATATGGTTGGCTACGTTGCGCGTAAGCGAGACATCGAGGCCATGGGAAAGATAAGAACGTTGTGCTCTCCTTATAGAGTACCTCCCACCAGAGTCATCTCATTTTTGTCAGCTCTGTCATGAAATTCGCCCCTTAACCTTCCTTTCCATCCCACTCATCAAATCGGCTGTTTTCCTTGATCTAAGCATCTCTATATCCATACCCTTTATGGCTGAGAATCCGACCGCTGGTGCCATCCTCGATTGTCAGAGCCCGCTTTTAATAAGTACCGAGAACGAGCCGAATCCGACCCAGACCAAATTGTCGACATAAATGACTCTTTTATGGGCCAACTCTCTGCTACGGAAGCTCTTGAGAATTCACAGGATTTCCTTCTTCATCCGCGAAGCGAAGATTTTCTCACAAGTCTCCCAAGAAGAGGAGAAGCCGAGATCGTCTCACCAACCGATCCAGAGCCAACAACTCCTCGGTATCAATTCCATTTCCAACCTGTGCGAGTACTGAGCCCGTCTTTCCAAACCTTTCTCTCCGAGTGTTCTTTCTTCAAATTTACCGTGCCCGAAAGCACCACCATAACAAGTCTTATGGTGACTGGTTTATCTCAACCCCGTACTCTGGGTAGCCGGGTCAGCGAGTCAAGCTCTTTCTTCGACAATGCAATAACAGCCGGGTCGGCCGTGGAGTTACAATACTGATAAGGCTGCTGTTAGTATAGTAGTATCAGGCCTGGGCTGAGCTACCTGGAAGTTCGCCGACAACTTACTAGAGTCGGTGCAGAACGAGCTCAAGGAATTGGTAGGGAAGCTGAACAAACGCTTCCCCACCAGTCAAGAACCGTCACCGTGGGAGGAGTATTAGGTCTTGTGAACTCGACCGAGCAGGGCGCTCGGTCAAGGACAGTTGTCGGACAGTATTCCCATATCAGGATAGGCCAAGGTCCTATAGGGGCTTACCGCACTTATACATGCCTTAAGAATATCACTATGTTTGCGGCAGGCGGAGTCCAAAGGGTGCGTCCAATCGTCCAATCATTGCCCTAGAAAGCCGCAGACCTGCTAGACGTCGCCATCTCAGCGCAAGAACAACTAATCGAGTGCTCGAAGATACCATAGATGATGGCTACGTTGATGTTCCGGATTCGCAGCGCAGCTCCAGTAAAGCTGAGGAAGACTAAATACTTAGATACTCCATATCTTCATCTACGTGGAACATGATCTCAAACGCGATAAGCAACAATTCGGGAAGCACAAAAGGGTGTGTCTTTACGGGGGGGTACCACATTACGAAAGACTTGTCGCGCTGGAGTCGTCCGGCAAGATGATTGAGAGTCTCTCTGATATCCGAGACGAGCAAGGCCAACTACAGGTTCTGGGTAAGTTTGCTTGGATCTAGCATCTCAAGACAGATGTTGAGCTAGCCGCTTTAATCGCGCCACATCTGATCCGATCCGATTTCGCATGCGGGAGATCGTGCGAGGATACCTCCACGAACGCGTCAAACTTTCTGAGCTGAAGTACCGCCGAGCGGTTGAATGAATACGCCGGGAATTCAGTTCACTGTTCATAGGTAAACTACGCGAGGATGGGCACCCTCGTGCTGTGGATAAAATACAGACGGATTAAGTTAGTATATGACGACTGGGTTCCAAGTGTGAAGGGAGCCGTTCGCGACAGCCTCTGGTAACTTACGACCGACAAAATACTCTTTTATTCAATTTTGATAACCAGGCGGGATGATTGCGGATCCAAATCAAATGTTATGGGTGTATTTGACATGGAGATCTCCACAGAATTTTAGTGAAAGGTGGACTCGTAATATTCCGCCCCACAAATGATTTGGAATTCTGATCGTGGGCTAGCATCATTTTTACTATATCGTCGTACTGTCGTTTCGAGGATTTATAAAATATAATTGACGGCTAGTAATTTTTTCCGGCTTCAGATCGCTTTGTCGCTTGCTGCTTGCCTTTCACCACCATCTGGAATCGCAGGGAAAGGGCCATGATTGTCCTCAAGCTCTCCATGGCTCTTGAGTATTGCTCTCTGAGCACTCTTTTTTATTCTTTGGTTTTCTGAGAAGCTGCATTCGACTCCCTTAATAAAACGATTGCTTTTCCCCTCTCTGTTCCACGATGTGTGCCATCAACCAGCCGCTTCAGCTTATCTTCGAGCCTACATTTTGAAGAAGACCAGCACTTCCCTCAACCGATTTCTTCTTATTTCTGCTGCAGTCGGTTCAAATCTTCCTGGCATATCTAAGTATTCTTGCCGCTCGTCCCACGAGAATGAACCAATTGACGGTCCACCTTGAGGTAAGTTCGCGCCTTTTGTGCTCTTCTGTAACTCACCATGTTTTCGGCAGCGAGCTTATATATATGAGAACGGTCGGACTTGTTACCAAACTTTATCTGAGGGCCAGTGTGCTGGCGTAAGATATTCTGGATTGTTGAGATGTTCTTCGAGTTTACTACTGACTTGTTCGCAGCTCGCCGGCCAGATGGGAAAGAGTTTTAAAACACTGAGCAGCATCGATAGCCTGCAAATTGATAGTGTTTTGAAGAGGATTCTTCGGGTGAAGTTGATTCACTCATACGAGCTCAGGAAAGATTCCAACTTTGTGTGCCAGCGGGTCTTTCCATTGAATCCTGCATCTATTACTTCGAAACCCTTGAGCCTGAGGGTCGCTTTTGAGGTAGGAGTGACGAAACGTCCTAAATGGTGCCTTCAATGATTCATTCTCGCATCGATAGGAATCATTCTCTGATAATATTCCACCTGGCCCTTTGATTCTGGAGGACGGAAAGCTTGCTAAGGTTTGTCATTGATCCTTGAAGGTTGCCCAGCATGCATGCTTATTCCTCTAGCTTGCTCACCGCTTCTGGGAGGAGTTAGAGATGATAAGGTCACTCGATGAAACACAGATAAAAGATGTTTTGGGGAGGATCTGCGACATCGGATGTTTACAGCTGTATTATGTCTGGCTAGTTCCAGGTGAAGTCCCCTTCTGCGGTGCTGCTAGTTCCGCCATTTCGTCCACGATCATGTTGCGTCAATGAAACCTAACACTTAGCTTCTTACTCTAGCAACCACCGATAGCGACACTCTATCATCTGGTCTCGGCAAACCTACCAGCAGTGCGAATGAAACCCCGAAACGAACGAATTCCGAGGCTGAAAGCAAGCTTAGCAACCGTCCTGCGACAGAGCCGTCCCAGCAAAATACTTCGGACCCGACTCATAGTAATAAACATTCTGGTATTACATCCGAAGCCCCTAGAACAGAGACTGTGGCATGCCTTGTGTCAACTTCTCCGGCGATCATTGATGGAGCCGAAGCCTACCCTACACCCCTGTCGGATTCAACCCAACCCAAGAGGCGGACTCTCTCTGTTTCTCTGCCCTCACCCACCCGAAAAAAACCACGGCAAAGGGAACAAACTAGGGGGATAATAAGGTCAAATACGACCGCTGAAAGTCTATTGAAGGGTTGCAACTTCAACGGAAAATATCTCGGAGACGACGGGATCAGAGAGGTCCTCAAGGCGGATGCTTACCTTCTTCCCCCGGATCCCCAGATGTTGAGACATCTTTCAGATCAATGGCATAATAATCTCTCGCAGGGCCGGCATGCCCTGGGTCTCCCCCAGGAGTGGATAGGTGTACAGGCCGCATGGAGCTACATATGCGAACTTGAAACCGGCAATCTTGATCCTATCGCGGAGAATGTTGCATATATGTTGTACCATATTAACTACAGTGAGCTCTGCCAGCATCCTGAGAAGTACTGTCCGCGTGCTTGCAAGGATGGGAGAAGGAACCAGACTTGGGTGCTCGACTGTATCATTGAAGCGGCATACCCTGATGATCGGAGTCGAAGGTTGAAAGGACCTCAACTTCGCAGTAAGATCAGCAACATTTACAAGCGAAAGGCTCAGTGGTGTTGGGAAGTCGTGGCGAGCTTAGGCGCCGGAGTATTGTTCAGAGGCGAGTGGCTGAATAAGTTGTACGTCTCCAATCGTTCGTCACTCCCGCTTACTAATTTTGAATAGATATGATGAAACATTCTCAGCCGTACGCGTAAATGCGCTTGTCACCTATATTTCAAACACTCGGCCGGGTACTGCTCGCCTCTTTCGCTCGTTAGAGCCAGCCATGAAAACTCTCATGTTTGGGCAACTTCCCGACCTCATCAAAACTTTTCGGGATGGTAAGGGTGATCTTCAAGAGGAACTCTTCAGAGCCTCTACCGAGGATCGGTGTGCTTTAGCGAGCCAATCCACCGAGAGCCAATGGATCGTTATCAATGTCAAGGAAATTGCGGTGGGAAGAGTCTCTGACTTCCTCCCTATCCAGGAAGACATTCACGTGCAGGAAGACATCCCCATCTGGTCTCGACAAACCTGCCAGTAGCACGAATGAATGCCCGAAACGAACGATCGGTGATGGAGCCGCAGCCTACCTTACACCACCGGCTCATTATGACTCGACTCAGCCGTGGAGGATCAGGTCGATTATAGGAAGGGATCTTTTGCGTACAGCCAGGGACAATGCAGTCAACTCTTCGCTATGTTTGCTGATATCCAGGCGCTTCCCCTGAGCTAGAAGCAGCCGTACGATTCCGGGGTCACCCTTTTGGATAGCGAGTGGCAGAGGTGCCGGATAGAAGTGACATCCGCTGTTGATATCAACTTCTGGGAGCTGAAGCAACCGGCGAACCACCATAATATGGCCTTTCCGGATAGCAAGCCACAATGTCGGGACCTCGAAAAGAGACCTAGGGTTAGGTTGTATATCCGCTCTGGAAAGAACGAGGTCCACGATGGTTAGACCTCCAAGGTCAACTGCCCAGGTCAGTGGCGTGCGGTCGTTGTGATCAACAGTGTTCAGTCTAAGGTCGCTTCTTTGCATAAGTGACCGTAGAATTGGTATGCTTTGTCTCTGAACCGCGTGATGGAGACTTGTTACTTCTTGGAAAGGTGACTTATGCATGCCCGTAGAATTGACATCCACATCGGGCCGCGACAGCAGTTGTAGAGCTAATTTGTCACGGCCGTGTTTCACCGCTAGCCATAGTGGCGTTGCTCCACTATCATCTTGCTCATTGACATGGATACGTGGCAGAGCAAGGAGCTGGTTGAATATGTCTGAATGCCCTGCTGTCGCTGCCGAGTGGAGGGCAGTTGTCCCGTGACGGTCCCGTGCATTAACATCGATATTTTCGTGGCTAAGCAGTACCATCACCGCGCCTGGGTGTCTGTGTATGGCTGCTAAGTGCAATGGAGTTCGCTCATAATGATCCCTAGCATTCACATCAAAGATGTGGTGGACCAGCAGCTGAACGATTTCCGTATACCCCCTCGCAGCAGCCAAAAATAGTGATTTGGAAGCGCCAGAAGACCTGTTAGAACCAGTCATGGAAGATGTTCTGACCGAAGCTTCTAGCAGAATCTTTGTCATGGTTAAATCTCCTCTAGCCACTGCCTTGTCCAGCGGGAGCTATCTTTCATTGTCCGCCATTCCCACATCAGCTCCCTCCAGCAGCAACATTTCGGCCATCAAAAGTTGACCTTGAGATGAAGCATAGCATAACGGAGTCTGGCCACACAGATCTTGCGCGTTGATGTCCACTCTCTCGGTGAGTAGGAGGCGATTGACGATTCGCCGATGTCCGCAAAGCACTGCCACAGCTAGGGGTGTTTGTCCGTATAGGGTATCTGGACAGTCCACCTCGAGATCTCCTCTAGCGAGAAGCTGCTCAACTGTAGCCACATGCCCCTCTTTAGCTGCATTCCATAGAGCAGTCTGCCCCATATTGTTCCGAAAGTTGGCTAAGATACCTAGCATTCTGAGAAGGATCTCAGTGACAAAATCCGACCCATGAATAGCTGCGCCTAAAAGTGGCGTGTTACTTCCATAGGTTGCGTTAACATCTGCCTTGTACTCCTGAAGAAGTACTTCAATCACTCTCGTTGCTTCATTCTGGGCAAGCCAATGCAACGCAGAGCTATTCTGTTCGCGGACGTTGAATTTGTAGAGCCATGGAAGGATATTGACGAGCAGTCGTTGATTCACCTTCGCCAGTGAGAAAATATCCCTAGCACAGTCGAGATTTTCTACTATAGTGCTGTGGACTTCTTCGTACTTAGTACTTCCTAAGACTGGCTTGGGCAGGTCTGACTCTGACTCCACCAAAGACTAAATTCAGCAACTCCTGGCCCTAATCACCTCTCCTCAATCCGTCGGCTTCATTGAACGAGTAACACAGCTGGTGGTGACGAGTCCCGTGCCATGGTGGCTTAATATCCAGACCATTTAAAGTAATGACATCTATTTCTTCCAATCAATCCTAGGAAAATTCTGGCCCACGGATTCACTCCGTCTGAAGCCATGCTGGGATACAGCCCTCGTTATCGGCCTGTTGAAAGCGTACGGGCCAAGTGGTAGCAAATAGCTCTAGTCAAGGCTTCAAGTAAAGAGTATTAAAGAAGATATTCTACAAGACTATGATAGAAGATAAGAGAAATCAATCAATGTTCAGCTGGCCAGAGCCATACTTATAGGAGTTTTAAATTCTTTAAGTAGGCCCGCACGTAACATAAAGTTTCTGATGCCAGCTGCTGTGAGCTCTACGCCGAAAACTAAGTCTAGTTATCAAGAGTCACCCTTTGTCAGACGCATCTCAAGCTCCGTACTTGCCTGTTGAATATATCCAAGAATCTGAAGCCATATCGTGCGTTTTTTCGCTAGTTCTCTGTCCTCGTTGCCATTGTTGTTGATTGGGGCCTGTCTCTTAACAGATTTGCCTCGTGTCCTGCTCCCACCCTTGCCACCTTCGGCACGGCATTCACCTCCCAGGCTGGAGGCAGTATCTTCAGCAACATCCCTGTGCGTGGCTTCCACATTGGCGTTAAGGGGTTCTGCAGCTTCCCAGTCCACTTTGCTTGCGGCCACCCGTGCCAAGTGTTTATTGGAGAACAATCCCTGATACTGCTCAAGAACCAGCGCTATATCTAGATAATCCTGTAAAGATAGCTTCTCGTTGCAAAACGTGTACCCGTAGCGTGCTTGCAAAGCAGTAGTGGTGATTGTTGTACCAAGATGTGAGCTTGTAAAAAAGTTACCGCCAGCAGTAAATGAATCCTCTGGGGTAAGCACAGCATGTGGGCAGCCTGGTGGCATAATACTTTCCGAAATGAATTAGATACCGTGCAAAGCATTATCAAGAGTGTGCAACTCACAGAAGATCACCAGGCTCAATAATAATACGCATCCATCCGTCCTCATAATTCTCTGGAAACTGGCTTCCACCCGTTGCAAGTCGGTTGGCAGCTAATTTAAGATCACCACTTGGTACATACCAGACCTTGCGGCCGCAAATTCCGATAATCCAAGTTAACTGTCCAGCTGTATCAACATGGATTGGTGACACTGAGTTGCGGCCAGACAAGAGAAGAAATTCTCGACCTGGAGGCATTGCATTGTTGTTTGGTACGGACTTGGACACTGATCCCCTCTTGCGTAGATATGCTGTTCGCAGCAGATCTGCTTGGCGCACAGGTACCGGAACACAAGGAAGAAAAACATTCTTCATATCAAGGAAATTCAACGCCGAGCGAGTTGTTGGAGGTGAGTTGAAATACTGAGCTATCTCAGCAATGGTATTATGTTTGGGAGTCTCTGCATCTTTGACGTAGTCGATTGCCTCCAAACTTTGGACGTTGATATGTGTGAGGAACGCAAGAAAATCAGGTATAGAGGTAGGCATGTCACCAGGGAGAGGGTATCTGCGGGTAAATGATCGCCAAAATAGGGGTTTCGAGAATAAGCCTCCCAGTTCGTTATGTAGTTGGTCTTCTGATGAGATGTAGATTGGGCCACCTGCTGCGTCCGAGCACTCTTGCTCTATAGATAAAAGAAAGTCTTGGATGCCTTTCGCGCTTTGGCTATCGCCTGGGTTGATATCGATTGATATCGGAACTAAGGGCATATCAATAGCTTATAACCCTATTTTGATGTCTTGAGCTTTACCTTGGTGCCGGCCGTTAATACAACATGGCATACTGGTGTTGTCCTTTTTCATAGAGAAAGCTAATATTATTAGCAGGTAAAGCTGAAAAAAGGGGTCGCATACAGTTTGACTCTGGTATAGTTCTTCGGGGAACTTTACTCCTAATATTTTCCCCTTCTAGATGATATTAGCTGTGTTTGAAACCTCACTATTCCACCATACCATTGATTATTTCGTCATGCTGATTGCCTAGGTTTTGTAATATGTCACGAGCGCTCTGTGCCTCGTCTTCAGAGATAGGATAGGTCGTCATCCAGGCCTCTATTGCCCGCAAGTACATATCAAAACCACCTAGACCTGCGATATGGGTGGGCGTAAAACTTCTGGCCACAGAAACCCAGATATATTCGCTTAATCGCAGGATCTGTTGAAGGCGACCTCTAATCTTCCTTTTGTCCCTCTTGCAAGACTCGTTGTAGGTGAAGTAATATGTCTGGCGAAGAAATTTTGCATCTTCGGGCTGTTCATAATGGCCATGACTGGTTCGCTGTCGACCTAATTTATCACAAAAGTCATCTGGGGTGTGTGACATAGTGGTAAGGCTGGAAGTCGATGGGAAGTCGATGGGAAGTCGATGGGAAGTCGATGGGAAGTCGATGGGAAGTCGATGGGAAGTCGATGGGAAGTCGATGGGAGGTCGATGGGAAGTCGATGGGAAGTCGACGGGAAGTCGATGGGAAGTCGAGTTTGCCGTCCGGCACAACGGTCCAATAGGCGATGGACAGGCGCGGGCGCGACCGGGTGAGAGGATTTCTCGTAACCTTGACTCCCGCTTTCTTGTTGAGGGGTCCAACAAGGAAGTATACTCTTGGAATCGTCTTAGCCCACTGTTTCTATTACTAGTTTTCTCTCTTATGTCGTACAAGACCAATCTAATGTCCCTAATATTTGCTTGGTGCGATTATCCCCAGGAGTCGCTCCTTTACTTCGCTATATCTTTCAAACTCTGCCCGCCAAAGTGCTGTTCGGCCCTGATTATCCGGAACGTCAAAGGATCAACCCTAGTGTCCTGGAGGATCAGATCGATGATCAAAAGAGATCGCTTGCGTACTGCTTGTACCTCTCCTTTGATATACCTGCAGCTCGATTCTTTTTAAACTGCGTACGGTTTCTTTACGGTGGCAGCGAACTTTCTGTCCGGGCGTCAATAGCTGCAGTGTTGGTTGACGTATTTTTTATGTGCTCCCCTTCTTGCGCTGGCTTTCCTCTCTGGACGAAAACATGTTGGAAAGCTGGATCATCGGCTAGCTTTTCCGGGTGCTTCGTTCTTACATGCCTATAACTGTTTAATATAGTCCTTGCCTGCTTGGTGGTTGGCGGGGGAGGGGTGGGCGGTGCGCTCTTACTGTTGAAGCTTTGTGTATCTCCGCGAACATGGACAGAACGGACAGACATGTCCAGAAGACTTATGAATACGTTCGTGGCGATTAAGATCCCCACGCCGCTTAAACGGCTTCCTGCACGATTCTTTCGAGCAGACAAACGGCCGTTCTTCCGAATGGACCAGAGAATGTGATCTAAGCTGTCAGTATGTCTCCCTACACCCAAGTTCTGTTCTATACTCACTCAAGTTCGTATTTTGTCTTAAATGGGGCTGTCGCACAACCAGAGTGTGGGCACTTGAATAGTCTCAGTTGTGAGGAGAGTATGCAGTCTCGCGGTTCGGATGCGCCTGTCGAGGTACTCTCAACTAAACTCGTGATAGAGATCCTGTTGGAAACTCCGGATAGTAATGAAACATGTTGGTTAGACTGGAAAGTGCTTCCAGATGGTGCAGAACTCTCGTTATGATTTTGGGACTGTTTCTTCCAAAATTTCTCCCTCTCTTGAGAGCTCCCAAGTTCCCTTTCCCGATATGGGCGTGCTGAAAAGGTGTTATAGGCGTGTGTAGTGGTGATAGGATCGTCTCTGTCCCATCCTAGTGGAGGAAGAGAATTTCTCGGCTGAGGCGATACTGCTGTGATGTCTCGTGGTTCGCAAGCGCCTGTTGAGACACTCTCGATTAAACTTGATGTCGAGATGCTGTTGGGAACTTTAAATGGTGATAAAATATCCTGCTTAGATTGGAAAGTGCTCCCAGGCGACGCAGAGCTCTCATCATGATTTTGGGCCTGTTCCATCCAGAATTTCTCCCTCTCCTGGGAGCTTTCAAGTTCCTCTTCCAGAAATTCAATGTGGCGTCTCATATTTTCCACTTGATCGATCTTTTTAGCACGACTTCGGCGTGCTGCCAAGGTGTTATTGGCGCGTTTAGTGGCGACAGGATCATCTTCGTCCCATTCCAGTGGAGGAAGAGTCTTCCTCGGCCGAGGCAATACTTTTGTGAAGTCTCGGCTTCTGCCCATCAAATCGGCGTTAAGTGACGGACGGTCTTCAAGCTTAGTCGATGAGTTGGTGTAGGGCATGGCTAACGATTGTAGGGACATGAGAAGAGAAGGGACGAAGGAGCACCGCCAGCTCAGAAGGGGGTTTCTTTGTCTTAAATACTGCCTTTCAGCGCGCTTAAAGTGGCTTGACTAAAAAATTCTAAATCATTAAGCTGCCCCAACGCACGCGCGCAGATAGGGGGAACCAAACTATTGGCCTATCAAAATCAAGCAGTATTGCCAGCTAGCCCTCGCAATCATCAGCAACTACGCCTTGAGAAGGTATAGACTGGTATGATAAATTTACGAGTTACGCGAAATAAAACAACTCTACTACCAGGCCACACATCCACCTTAAACAGTGATCAACCCTCATCTCCTATGATACATCGTGTACGAACATTTTCCCCCTACTTGAGTATGCCCGAGTTTGCCTGGGGGAAGCCTGTTCTGTCCGTTCTCCATGCTGCCTCAGTAAAACAGCCATCCTGCAATTCCCATAATTTTTAGCAATGGTGAAGGCGGATCGACCGTCTGAGTCAACAGAATGAACGTTAGTACGCGGGTCCGCGAGCAGAACCCGGACCATCTCCATGTTTCCTTTACTCACTGCCCATCGAAGCGCATTCCAGCCGTTGTGGTCAGTGGAGTTCACATCAACCTTATCATGCTTGAGGATCTCCTTCACCACTGCAAGTGAGCCTTTGCGGGTAGCTAGTAACAGGGCGCTCTCCCGGAGGGGTGTTTGAACGTCGTTTAATCCTCCTTGACTCAAGACAAACAGCGTGACCGGATCACGGCCCGCCCGTATCGAGGCAAGAAGTGGTGAGTTATAATCCCAGCAGCAGGAGATGTCGAACCTTGGGTCTTGGAGCAGCCTCTGGATTGTGTCGATGTGACCAGCTTCAATGGCTAGCTGCAGAAGGGGCCGTTGAGTGGGTGAAGTTGGTTCCACATCTACACCTTCCGTTTCAAGGAGCAACCCTACTATTCCAGTAGCTCCGCTCATAACGGCACACATGAGTGGGGTATGACCTGAAGGCTCCAGAGCATTTAGGTTGATATGTTGCTGGGATAGAAGCTTCTTTGCCACTTCTTGGTGTTTGTTCCTGGCGGCTAAATGGAGGGGGGTCTGGTTATTATAGTCTCTGGCGTTGGCATCAGCCGCTTTCTTGAGTAACTTCCGGACAGTTGAAGCAGATCCGCACGCCGCCGCCCGATGAAGTGCCGTAGATCGGCTACCAGAGGAGCTCATGGGTAGTTTTACGGGCTTCACCCCATAAGCAATCGTACTTTTATAGTGTTAGCGTGGTTAGGAAAAGGCAAGGGCAGGACACACGTTACTAGTTCTCCTTCAATACCATCCTCCAAAGAATTCCGCGCAGCGGCCAGCTCCACTATAGCTTGCATTGGATTTTTTCCAAGACGCTCAAAGAACAACTTCATAGCATGTGACGCAAGGCCTGCTTTCCACTCCTTATACACATCATCTTCCACCTTCGTGCGATGAGCATGCAGTGATATCTTATGTTCCACACATTCCACCCTTTCATATCCATATTCTCTCAAAATCGGCGCATATGAATCGGCAAGGTTCCAGGTTCGGTAATCTTTTGAGTAGGCCTCTTCTAAATCCCGATGGAATTGATGGAATGGGGTTGCTCCGTTGGGGTCCTTTAGTCGAACAGTAATATCATGTATCTCTACCACAACGCCTGCGGCACAATAGCTAAACACCAATATTAGCAACGATCACACTAAGGATTTCTTAAACTTACTTAGAGGCGTCCCCCAAGACTGATAATAATAGTGGTTTGTCACCACATATTCGGTCCACCCGGATTAGATTTGCGTCCTTGTGAAGTTGAACGGGACGCCAATCTTCTGGATCCTCGTCGTCTAGAATAAACATACAGTTGGGAGGCACCCTATACAATGTTAGTCTCTGCATATCCATGATATTCTATGTTCATACCATTCAGGTTGTATGAGCACCCTGTCGACTCCGTATACCTAGGTCTGGTCAATAAGAAGTCTTGGAATTTGCAACCGAAGAGCTTTACCGTTGCACCTGGGTAAGCACAAGCTGTGATCATATCAGTAAGCGCTTCACTCTAATGGATAATGAAGAGAGCAGTACCAGCTTCTATGGCCCAGTATCCAGACCCCGTTCCGATGTCCAAAATAACTCTTGGAGCATTTGCTGGTCCATGGATCAACTTGCCGTGGAATGTATGTAACGCCCTGGACTGGCGCTCAAGTCGATCAACTTCGGTCTTTGGAGGATATTAGCCGCCGCCTCTAGACTCGGTGGCATACTTGCCTCGTCGACAGGCCACAGGTATCCTTCTATTTCCGGATATTCCCTGCTGTACTTTCTGGTTGTGCTATATGGTTCGCGAATTATTGGTTCAGTCCTGTAGGCGTGAGCATCTCTCCGGATACATGCCGTAGGTCACGCACGAGCATTCAGAGCAAGAGTCGTATCCATCATCTGACACAGAGGAAGGTGGCGGTGTCGGTGGTCCCGTAGCAGATAGGAGCGTCGAAGGCGAAGCTAAAGAGGCTGGTGTTTCATCGATAAATGTCCACTAACGCGGTCAATAAACAATCGAGACTTGGATATTAATACGTACACCGTCTTTTGTTTCGCCGGAAAGTACCCACTACTAAGGTCAATACACAGTCGAGAAGTGAAGGTAAATACGTACGTGTTCTTGATCCACCGTAAAAAATGTAGCCAAATCGCTGCGGTTAAACATGGTCGCCGGCTGCGCAGGACGATCGAGGGGCGCCAAGATGGCAGGATGGGTCATTTGAAGAGAAGCTGGGGAACAGATTCAAGTCAAGCTAATGCAGCGCGGAGAAAGTGCGGTGAGTATACATGGCAAGGCTACCGTTTTATACCTCTCGAAACTAATAAATTCAGATCAACAAGTTTACGTCCCCTGCTCCTCAGGTTCCACATCTGAGCCAACAGTGGGGCCTTCCGGGGAGGTTTCGTACAGGCTTTAGCAAGGATGAGATCGGACGTCTTGGCCATAAGAGAATTAATTCAAACTCGTTGAGAATAGGTTCCTACTGGTCAAAAAACTGGGGGTTCACCAGTGGCTTGGTCTAATCGCAAATTAGATCTCACCGGCGGCGATGGGGCCCAGTCACTGGCGGAAGCCTAGCCTGGGCCGCGAGAGTCAAGAAAGATATGGAGAGCTGCGCTTACGTCGTCGATAATATCACCTCGACATACTTCATCTGGAATAGTTTATTGGAGCATACTTCCCTTCCGAAGGTCCCTCTTATCGGGAGATTCGGGACCCGAACTTGAATAACTTGGCCTACGTGGGCATTCCTGGAAGCACCTACTTTACAACAAATCATATCTTCACTCGAGGTAGCCTGTCGAGCGGGGATAGTGCTATGACTTCCAGGCCTCGTAGATCAAGTATAGGACCCACTTGTAGTCACAGAAGTGAGTCAGGCCAGCTATCTTCCAGTGGCCTAGAATACAGTTTCGTGACTAGCTCGCTACCCTTCTCGCCTTCTGGCGAACTGGACACCAGCGTTGATGGGGCCCAGTCACTGGCAGAAGCCTAGCCTGAGCCAGGAAAGTCAAGACAAATATGGAGAGCTGCGCCTACGTCGTCTTTGATATCATCTCGACATACTTTATCTGAAGTAGTTTGTTTGAGCATACTTCCCTTTGGAATGTCCCTTTTATCGGGAGATTCGGGACTCGAACTTGAATAGCTTGGCCTTTGTGGGCTTTACTGGAAGCAGCTACTTTACTTGTGTCAATTCTGGCCACAAATGCGGCAGGGTAACTTGTAGCGTAGATTCTCTATCTCCTGGATGAGTACGTCGAGCGCGCTCGTACGACCTTCCTTTGACCTTGCTCTGGATGATCTGGACTACCTGCCTACGCCGTAAATTCCGCCGATCAAAATACAGAGCCACATTCACACTCCGTGTCTCGCAGCGGAAAGCGCGGAATCTTAATAGCGTAGATTCACATGAACTAACCAGGCGCAAAGGCCCGAAGCTATCAAGAATGGCTCGAACTATCATCTCTTCATCTTCAGTTACCAGAGTCTGGACCTCTTGGCGGAATTCGAGCCCGTAGTGATTGGCTTATTCAAGGTCAGACCCGCTTCAGCGATAGGACATTGTAAGAAGCAAAACCTTGGGGAACAGATTCAAAGCTGAGCGATTGCAATGCAGGAGAAGGCGCGGATATTACTCAAGTTAAGGTCGGCATATTTGTAGTCTTCAACTGTCGTCAATTCAGATCAGCAAGGTTTTAGTTTCCTGTCCCCCTGATTCCCATACTGTACCCACAGCTGGTACTTCTGAAGGCGTCGAGATGCCTTTGGAGATTTAATGTCGCGACATACGCGACTCTATTTCGCACTCGTTGAGAATGTAATGCTACTGGTCAGAACAACGGGCGTTCGCCAGTGGCTTGCTCGAAGTCATGAAGTGGACCCTGTCAACAGACTTCCGCGAGCTCAGCGAAGATCATGTTGGAGTGATTCGATAGATGGGGAAGTGGATCGGCAAATTCAAAATGCCTTGGCAAAGGAGAGTACTACATCAGGCTCCTGGGGTTAGGAAGATGCAGGTTGTCTAGACTTCCAACCGAAATCCAACAGTCTCCACAGGTAGAGTGCACAGGTCTAAGAAGAGCGTGATAGCCTCCACTCCGGTTGTCGTAAGCGAGAGGTTCGCATTAGAGCATACCGGATAGGAGAAGAAACGCCAAAAGATAGACTATCTGGGCTTTCAAAAGCCACACAGCCTTGGTAGATTGAATAAAGCGGAAACTGCAAGGCGCCTCCTAATGCGAGAAGACATCGGGGCTCCAGGACTTCCCTTGGTTCTCCAGCTAAACCAACAGTGGGTACTTCCCGGAGTGTTGTGTATAGGCCTTAGACGAAAGGAGGTCTGATTCCCGTAAGCGAGTTGGTTTCGATCTCCTCAAGAATAGGATGCTACTGGTCAGGAAAAAGAGATTTTCGCCAGTGGCTTGGTCCTGCTTTGACTATTGACCTGTAGCACTTATGGTGTCCCTGTTCCTCTATCCATGATTGTCTCGACAGAGCTGCTCTACGTATGCCGACCAGCATGTCTCCGGTTCTTGTAGCCGTCAGTTCCGTATTATTCTCACAACAGGAGGAAGTAATCTGTGATCCTGTGCGTGACAATTCAAGTCGCTTCTCGGTCTCAGCTGCCTCCTGATTTGAGCGGCCCTTCTATTTTTGAAAACAGGATCCTACTGGTCACGAACAACGAAAATTATATCGGGTTGAAATAGCATGTCGAGTGGGGATTGTGCTGAGACTCCTGGATCTCGTAGGTCAATGATCGGACCCACTTGTAGGAAAGTGGGACATGCAACAAAAGTAAGCCACTCATATGTATATGCCAAGCGAGACTGCTACACAGCCGCTTAATCTGGTTCATCGCCACGCTCTGACCACAGTTGATCGACTCCCTGTTCAATGATCATCTCTCAGACTGCTAATTGACATGGAATACAACCGAACAGACTCCTCCATGAACCTAGTCCATCGCGAGCCTGCGTTCTGGACAACACCATATTGACTAAGTAACGCAGGGATACGATGTACCTCCGGAATGGGCAGCTGGGGGAATCTCGAAATAACACGCATCATGACAATCCAAAGACCCGGAACTTTGAAATAGTCCATTTTCAAGCCATTTGCAAGAGCATTCCTTGTATGCCTCGTATCGGGCAAACCCGCCAACCGCAGAAATTCGGTAACTGACGTGTAAGATCCGCTGCGGTATTGGCAAACGAGTAACTGAGTCGCAACAGCACGCATAAGCCAATCATTCGGATCCTCAGACCTATGACAGGTAAGGAATGCTGTTATGGGATTGTCGGTCGCAGCATAGCTTGCGGAAAGAATTAACCGCGTCGGATCACCTAGCTCAGCCAAGAATCTTTCTATCCTCTCATACCCTTCAACAGAGAGCTCCAGGATTCGTTCTGCAGATTCTGACCGTCCACTTCCCCTGGGAGATGGTCTGTCTTCGAGAGGATATGGGGGATGCTGTTGAATGAGCTTCTCAGCATCCCCCTTGATTCTTCCAAGTGGTAACTGCCAAGAAAGGAACTGGGAAGCTTTATAGGCCAGAGCTATGAAAGCCAGACAGTATTTGTCGACGTGTAGGCCAATAATGCTAAAAGATACTCCCATCCACATCAGGTAGCCTTCCCCACTTCCTTCCTCTATCCACAGACCGCCACAGGTGAAAAGGACCTGGTTAGGATATAGTAGTAGCGTGACAGGACTGATCCCGCTCTCCAGCAGTTCCTCTATTGTCTGGAACTTGTGCGATCCAGGATAAACTTTAAGCAAGCTCGTACCCCACACGGGTTTCCAAATCGAGATTGCGCCGGGGCAGGGGTGCGCCTTTCGAGGTACGCAATCTCCGGCACTGGAAGGAGAGGCCAAGCCGCAGATTATTGGCCCCTGCCGGATGACCCCTTGGATACTTTCAAAGTGGACCAGGAGATTCACGTCTAACTGCAGGGCTGGTTAATGCTTGGAGATAATCGATGTTTGGTGCATGCATACATTGATACCATGTTCCATGGCCTTCTGCCACTCCTTCTTGATCGCTACTGGTTGGTCAGCAGAGTCCGCATACTTCACCTCATGCAAACTGGATGCGAGATGGTTCAGTACATCCTCCCCAATTGAGGGAAGTATCTCATCGGGGTTCGGCCTGCTTGTGACCTCTGAATACCCTCTTTCATCCATGTCAATGTCATACTCGTCACGCACAAACTCTTCAAACCGGACTCCATTGTCGTCCGGCAATTGGGCCTCCATCACCTCGGGTGCGGGGTCGGCTCTCTGGCCGCTTAGGTAATACAGTTGGATGATCGTTAGGTTATCGCCGGAGGGGGACGAGACAACCTGGATTTGTAGCATGCTCAGTGACGGACAACGAGTAACAGGCACTCCATTTATACCCTTCAGTTATATGTCTCTTGGAAGAAAAACCGGAGAAAATGTGTATCTGTATGTTCAATGAGGGACGCAAACGGGCCCTCCATATGTACAACGTATATCTTCTATTCCCACCATGTCTGTCTCCATCGAGCGTGCCCCCAAATCAATTCCCAACGACGTACATCACTGCAAAGCAATGCATCTATAGTAAATCTGGCGCGCTGTCAGCCTGATATTGTGATCTATTCAGCCTGCGTACTTATTTCGGCGGTGGAGGCGGTGCGCCTGGTTTCTTGACCCCAGTGGTGTCGTAGGCGCCTCGTTCGGGAATGTCCTCCTGCTCGCTATTCGAGCGAATCATCTGGCCGAGTTAGCCTTGAGCAGCAAGAATCATAAGGGCTTACTTACAATGTACGAGAATGGTCTTGAAGTAATCAAGAAGGTCCACGATTTTGCTGACCATACTTCGACTTGCGGATTGAAGTAACTTATAGACCTACCTACAGTTCTTAGATAGCTAAGAATGCAGTAGTTAAGGTCTTCGGTCTCGATAACTAAGCAAGCCGGTTCGCCGACGGTTCAACAGTAGTATTCTCTAGCTGCTATGTACCATCACTAGACTGCCGCGAGTCGAAGGCCCTTCGTAGAATTACCCCCGAAGTTCCCAAGTTTGCAGCATCATTCAGAACATCTTTGTTCGCCAGAAATAGTTTTGATCCACTCCCCGTCAGTCCAATTATGGGGTTACTGCCGATCGCTCTTAGGTTGCGCAGGACAATCTTCCTTCCTACAGGGCACTTTCATTGCCTGTGGTTTGTCGGTAATATTTGGGCAATGCTCCTTAAAGCAGGATAACTTTCCCCCATATTCCGTACAGCCGCAACCGTATGTGATAATGAGTCTCCAGCACATTCTGAAGACATCGTCAGACAGAAGTAATAGTGGCTCAGGAAATACCCACATTGCAGTCTGATAGGGTATAGGCACGGGAGATAGTCGGGGAAATAAGAGCAACTGGAGATGCGAAGGCGAAAATCAAGAAGCAGTTTCGAGCACGGCGTAGGATAGTGATTGCAGAGCAAAGGCAGTGGGGAAAGATAAGAATCCGAAATCTTATACTATTAGGAGAAGGCCATGAACGGATATCACACTCGTCATCGAGCCGCGCTACATACACCAGAGTCAGAATTTGAACATCCGCTAGGTCTGGATCTTAGAGAGATAGTTTAATGAATCAAGATACGGCTGCAGTTCAACATTATCCGTCTTCTGAGGCATCGCTAACGGTGAGAGGTCGGAACTGCCCAACCGCGCGTCACGATGCAGTAAAGGATTAGAATTACATCCAAACACTCCAGATTCGCGGGTACTATTCCTAAACAGTCAGCTACCAGTTATACTCTGGTGTTTGGAAGTCACCTTGATCCTGATTGAATCTCAAATTCACTAATTTGCGGCGCGGAGCTACCTGTCGAGCCTGAGTTCTGTATGTGAATATTGAATTCAAGTGAGTGGCGAATAAGCATACCTCTGGACCTGGTCCCTGCTGGTCCGTTTCGAGGTACGTCTGCACGCTGAGGCGTTGGCGGACAGGGTGTAAATGATGTTGTAGATTCATCTATGGCACTCCCCAGATTCGTGCCGCATGCCTCATCAATGATATCCTCATACAGCTCTGGTTTGTTGAGATAACGATTCAAAGAAAGGATGGAGTCCTGGGACTCCGGGCGTTGATTCCCGGGACGCGCGTTGCGTGGGACAGCGTTAACCGGCGGTTCCTGAGAGTGGCAGTCTTTGGCTCCTTCGCTCGAGGTTGATGTAGGTGCAGCTTTTGGCCCACGAGAACTAGCCGACTCACTCTCAGTAGAAAGGAGGGGAGGCCCTTGCCCAGGCTTGCAGCTGCTATGTAGTTGGAAATTAGTAACTGGTCTTTACTCTTAGTCTCTGAACGCACCTTAATCTGGTTTCGACTTTAGGATCATATCGGAGCTGATCGACCAGTCCCGGGGGCTTAGACACGGGGACGTCCTGGTGGAATTGTTGAGAGGCATGCTGGTAGTAGGATTCATCGAATTGACGCTTCTCTCCACCCCAGATAACTGCGAGGACTTGGGACAAACATCCCTGTCGCTCTTCGCGATCTTGGTGAGGCGCCTTGGGTTTGAAGCGTGGCAAAAGAGAAGTGAGAATCCACATTTCGAAACCCATGGCTAGATTGTGGACAATGCAGGAAAGAGCCCAGGGGCAATAGCAAGGCTACTCTTATACATATTGATCACAGCTCTTTGGCGAGCTGCGAGCTGCGAACTGCTGATCTACTAGTGTACGACGACTAGCCCGAAATCAGTGAGCAAACAAGCCAGCCTGATTTATTCGCATCAATCATTACTCCATCAGAATAATCTTTCAGGGGGGGCACCGCTATTGACCTAGAACAGAAATGTGCTGCAAAGGTTCATGGATTTGACAAATCCACGCATACATGGTTTGTTACCGAGCTCGGATCGCAGGAAAGTCTCGCGTCACAAATCTAATGCTATTTGACTTTTTGCGGCGGTCGGATCGGACGCTCAAGAATGTCTCTCCAGAGCACCCATGGCCGGAGGTCGGTGCGGCTATGCATCACGCAACTATGACAAGGCTGGCCATCTTTATTCGATATTAAACCTAGATAAGCCAATCCTGTATGGTTGTCTACTGCCTAGTCTAGCCTCATTAGAAAAGTCATTTGACAAGTTGGTGCATTCGACGAAATTGGCCTAGCTTCTGTCACGACGATCACTTTCGCTGGCCGGACAATCTGTCAACACTTGATGCTATTGGACTAAACGAAAGCCATATCTCTCGCCCTTCAACTCAGAAAACGCATCGCCCTCGGCCAACAAATTTCCCAGTGGCCTCTTGATTCGTGCATTGCTTGCAGCACAAAGCTCATTCCGCAGGCTTCGCAGGCTTTACTACATCAGTATACCGACTGAATGAGCATGAGGAAGGCGTACTTTAGAAACAAAGGGAATATCCGCTTCGCACTGCGAGTACTTGGTTTGTCCGGACATATTGTGGGTGCCACACTTTGGGCAGTTCATGGTCACTGAGCGAGAATAAGCGGAGAAGACTGCATGCAAGAAAGGCTCGGTATGAGATTCGGGATGAGATTCGATGAGGGTTTGGTCACTGAATGTTTAGCATTCATCGGCGAAGAACAGGTCTTAAATATCCCCATCAGCAACCCCGGCGTCTTGAGGTGTCTCTATGACTGACGCATTGACCCTCGCTACGCATGACCCAGACACAGGTGGGACCCGTAGTTACTTAGTTAAAGCCGAACAGGGGTTAGACAGGCGGTCTGGAGGTTCGATGGCTTTCAAGGTCAAACGTAGTCGTGGAATGTTGTTTTCGTTTTTGTTTATTTTTCCTACCCCTCACGGCTTCAAACTCCCTCCTTCCAAGTCTAAATCTTCTGTTCCTTTACCTCTTCCCACCCACACCAACGGCCTTCATTTGTCAAATTTGCAAAACAAGAAAATGTCGGAACCTTCAACACGCGGCGTCGCGGAAACAGGATCACGGTCCGAAGAAGGGTGCCCTGCCTGTAGCTGGACCAAAGCTAAGCAGGATCGCTGCGGCTATTCTAGTCATGTGAAGCTCTTCTACGGTGCGAGCAATCGAGGTGCCTGGGCTATCGGCTCGGCAGTTATACGCAAAGAACGGCCGGACCTCCAACCGCGCAATGAGGTAAAGAACATTGAATTTGTGAGGAACATACAAAGATTCCGGTACCGACTGTTCTAAAAGAGGGGGCTGACGACTCACGTCGATACTTCGTCCTCACTGAACGAATAAGTGGTGAAACCCTTCAAGCCGCATGGTCGACACTTTCCAGGTCTCAGAAGGAGAATATCGCAGGACAAGTGGCGGATTGCATACACCAGCTTCGACGCTTTCAATCGCCGGTTATGATGAGCGTGGATGGTGGCCCATTGTATTCAGGATGGCTTTTTCTGAACGGCAGCGAGACACCTCACGGCCCGATGAAATCCGATAAGGAAATGGAAGAGTCCTTGGTCTCGTCTCTAAAACATATCCCGAAGATAGCCTCCTCTCGGTTCAGTCGTCGCCTGCCCATGTGTGCACCATATACGCTTACCCATGGCGACCTGAACATTGGAAACATTGTTGTCAAAGATGGAGAACTAGCTGGTATACTTGTCTGGGAGTACGCTGGGTATTTCCCGGTTTGGTGGGAATACGTGGCAACGAAAATTGGGTTTGACGAAGATGATGCGGAATGGAAGGCCCTTCTTAGTGAACACCTCCATCCCTTCGACCAAGCCGCAGGGTTGGATTTCTATTCTTTGTCCAAGACTTGCAACTTAGATGAGCGAGGGCAAACCCTCCTTAACCTCTTAATCAATGAAAATAAATGATCATTGCTCTGCGTCCAACTCGTTCGCTCGCAGCGAAATTTTATTTGGACATCCGTAATAACGTTGCTTCCAGGCGCCAAAACGGAAAGGGCTTGGCGAGCTATCTGTTTGGCGCTTATGGGTACAAGTACCCCGCCATCAATCCCCTATCCTTTCTTCGTACCTCAGTCTGTATCTGCGGACCGAAAATGGGTGTACAGAACAGCAAACAGGTTGCGGACGCAGTTATCGCTGCTTGCCAGCAGCAAGGTACCTCTGGAAGGATTGACTGTATTATTTCTGATGTAAAGGTGAGACCCGGTTGGGCAACTCCGCGCTGTACACACTGACAGATTCAGTTCCGGACCCAACTTTCTAGCCTTTTAGCAGAAGTTCCCTCCTCGTTCAAACGATTTATCTGCAGCACACAAACGTCACCAAAAGACAAAACAGAATATGGAGCGGACGACATAGTGCGTCATAAGGCTTTTCACTCCCTATGGATCTCGTCGGGACCGCAACTCGATCCAAACCTGGGGCCAGAACTTTTGCGATGGTACAAGGAGCCGAGGACAATTTTTGTAGGCTCTGAGGGTACTCTAAACCCGTCACCAGACTCTTCACTTGCTTCTTTTCTTGCGTCTGTCTATCTCTTTACAAAAGAGAAGAAAACAGTCGATAATGTTCGTCGGAGGCTGTGCCTTATCGCACTTGCGACTCTACTTGATAAGCTCGAGGGCGTCTATCTCACCAACTCGTTAGTTGAACGAGTTGCCGACATTATTGACCCGGAACGCGGAAAGAACCAGAAAGCAGAAGTCCTAGAGGGGTTGAAGTCATTACTGGGAGCCGCAAGTAGGTACCGATTACTCTCCGAAGAACTTGGAATCGGCGAACTTTGCTGCCTTCCGCCTACTACTAGCGATAATCTGTACGTCTAAAGCAATCCATTTGCGACCAAGCTAACACCAGGAGATGGACGGCTTATTTACCAAAGTCCGGGAAAGTGCATGATGCATGTGTGAAATTGATGTTGGACAAGGGTATTCGGGAGCTATCCTCAACTACCATCAGCCCAATAGAGCCTGTTACTGTTTCGCTGGCGGCGGCAAAAGTTGTTCAATTCTGGAGAGAGAAGCTGGATCTGTTTGGTCTGCAGTACACTCAGCCTGAGCCGCACCTCAGTACGCTAGCTTTGTGTAATCCACAACAATTCCTTTTTGCTCACATTGACCAGGTCCTTCCAAGCCTGGTAGAAACCAGAGCGGTATAACTTTCAACACCTCTTCGTCCGTGCAAACAAGAAAACGAAAACGTCAATGGCAGGTTCTCCAAAATGATATCCACGAGCAACAGAATCCCTGTGTTAGCATCCTGCACCAGCCTCCCGATGCCATATCTTGCAACAGCTCTGGGAGTAATCCTAGAAGCGTGCGGTCGAACCGGAATTCGGTATCACATACACATACGTGCACGCCACTGACAAGTCCTGGAAATGATTGTCAAAGTACATTATACAAGGAAGGCAATGCTAGACATCAACATGAGGCACCCTCGCAGCCGATGCTTACCAATTATTCTCTGGAGTCCCCCCGTCATCAGCCTGAGCCAGGCCCAGGACGGCAAATCCGCAAGGCCAGTTTCATCCAACAGACAGCACCGCAGCCAGCCACAGTATCACAAAATGCAACGTGGAGAACCGAACCTGCGGTGGCTGGGCAAGCATCCGGGACTTTCACCGAAGTATCGAGGCAAACAAATATATTCATATCAACAAGCCCACTAGGTCCAACCAGAAGCGAGGCGAATCATAGCCAGATCTCCACCGTCTGTCCATCATCTCCTTCCGAGCGTCCAACTGTGCCAGCTCCTCCTGAACTCAGCACCGCCCAACAAGGACCTCATTTTCGCTCACGGGCGGGGAGCGACGAAGATGTGTCGGGTATTTTTCGCATTGTACGTCAATCCGTTCAACGAGCAAATGATCCGGTCGCCGAGGTACCTAACAACGCCCATATCTTAGAGCGTGACTCTACCACTTACAACGACGCTTCTGTCTCTCCTGTTCTCCTTCAGAGTGGAGGTCTGTTTTACCACCCATATATGCCACAACCCGAAGCGGCAGACGCCTGGCTTGCCGACCAACCCTCTAGCGGAGGCTTGTTCTACCACCCTTATATGCCACAACCCGAAGCGGCAGACGCCTGGCTTGCCGACCAACCCTCTAGCGGAGGCTTGTTCTACCACTCTAGTATGCCACAACCTGAGGCGGCAGACGCTTGGCTGGCTGATCAAAGCTCCCGTGGAGCCTTGTTTGACCATCCGTCGACTAATATGCCACCATCGGAGGCTGCATGGGTCGCTGCATCAACGATACGCTCTGAGGGGCACTCTACTCTTCAGCCGGCCAGCAGTATTACAGGTGCTGTTATTGCTAATTCGTGCACATCGCAAGATTCGCAGTCACTGCCGTATGTTAGCTCCAAGGAAATCCAACAAAATGGTGCTATCCAGCATATATCCAGTCCCTTCTTCACTCAGGGACGGAGTATCTTGGGGCGAGAAAATATGGTTTTCGCCATATGAAGGCTGCTTGTTTCTGTGGGTTGGAAATATATATATATATATACAATGGTAAGCTAGCCAAAGAGCATATTAGAAAATATGGAAGTCGTCATCCGATCATGGCATATTCAACAGAACAAATAATGAAACACCACCTCCTCCATTACTTAATTGTATGTTTTCAGCTCCTGGTATCAAGACATATTCCCCGGGGTATAATGCAGCCTTCGCAGCCAGTCTGGGAAGCCCATTATTTTCATCCACGTATTCCAAGCCAATAATCACCAGAACCTTCCCTGGAAACGGTGATTCGAGCGTACCGGTCTTGCGAGTCCAAACTATCGGGTAGTAGTCGCTAACTTTGCGCCACGGCTCAGCGCCAAACGATATTCCCGTCGCATTGGAGACATCCTCAAGGATATCTTTGTTCTAGCGATCATTAGCCTTGAAAGACATAGTGAGAATAGCAAGTTCCGTACTGAGAGCCAGGATTCCACGACAGGTTTAACGTCCTCCTTGCAGACCGGAGAAATGAATAGCCAGGAATATCGATCGTGGGTTGGTTTCGAGATTTTTGACCTGACTTTCGCCGCCGCTATAACAGCAGCGTTTTCTAAGGGAGATGCAAGAGGCATGGTGGTTTTTAAACTCAAATCCCTATTGTCGTGCTTGCTAGCCAGCATACAAGCATGGTGGTTGCTGAGTGGCATATGCGGGGTTTTCTGAAGATTCGGGCACGAAAGCCTTCATTACCAGAGGCGGTCAAGAACATAATATGCGGCAAAACTATGGAGTCACCTAACGGGCTGATGTCATGTGCAGAAATTGTTGCCTCTGTGTTCACCGCTTAACATGCCTTCATCCGTGGGCGGTAGATCCTGACAGAAAACCACTGAAGCCATCTCGGTCTAACGAGCACAGAGATCGGGACATCTATCTTTGACAATTCGTCCCGCTCCGTACCCATCCCAGAAATAAGCTTACATGATCATGTCTAGTACCCGGTCACCGCATTATGAAGCTCTCTTTCTGGAGGAGGCCGAACTGCGAAAACACGAGAAAGCAAGACAAAAATCTACCAATTAAAACTCGTGCTGTAGCAGCGATGCGTTGTTCTCTGTAAGTCTGGCTCCTGGCTTTCAACGGGGTAACTCATTCAAAGTTTATGGCTGCGTGGACTGGGTTTGGAGTGGAGGGAAACTTTAGCACCGTGGCTACGAAACAAGCCTGCCTACCGCCTCGCTGTGTCCCCTGCATATATGCCCTTATGCCGCCAGCGGATGTAGGATTTCATCACGTATCCAAGGCCAGTACACTTGGCTTGCGTACTCCGCGACCCTTTTGACCAGATCACGAACTTTCAGTATGCCGTATATCGTCCGAGTATCAGTAACAATGGCGCTGATCGGGCCAACCACGTGCTAAAAAGGCGAGTGTCAGTAAACTAGAACCGCCAGGGATCTTCAAGATGCAAGAAATGTTCTCACCACTTCATTGCTAACTTTGTATGCTAGATATATATACCAGTCGTGACCAATAATAGTAAGTCCGAGGCTCGGAAGCAGCCAATTAATAGAATCCTCGCCCTCAGCCCTTACCTGCTCTCCCAATTGACGGACTTTCTCTAAACCGGCAGCAAGCCAGATCGCCAACTGCGCAAGCGCTTCCTTCTTGCCCCCGTCATCTGATTTGACCTCCATGCCTGAGAATAAGAGTATTCGCTTCGTGAAAGCATCTGTTGTTTGGCTTATCTGGTAGCCATGCCCGCCAAGGCTTATCTTGTCATAGAAACCTCGCACCGAGGCATCGCGGCAAGTGAAAGAGAGGGCATAGTCAGCCTTCTTGCTAATCTTGCTTAGAGCGTTTTTGGATCTAGGGAGAAGGCTCGGGTCTATCTGTTGTGACTGCCTATGACGATAATAGGTATTAGAGACGTTCTTTCAACAAACAAGAAGACTCACACGCTGATTAGTTGCATCAGCTGACACCCTTGGATTTAAGAAGTCAAAATAGGCTGCACCACATCCAGTCACCATGCGTTTTCATCTTTCCCGTATATGTCGCATTGGCTCGCATCGAAACATATCTTTTCCAGCTCTGCCCAAAGGTCATCGAGGGCGGCATCGGACAGGGTACTTGAGTCATAGTACGCTGTTTCGGGTATCTCATCGGCGGAAAGGGAGTCGAAGGCACGGATGCGCGACTATACGCCATGAGTAAGTATGATGCGTTTAGAACCACGAAAACGACATACCTCAAGCCCTCGGGGGATTATTTTATGTCCAAATCCGTCTGTCAAACGCTTCCTTAGGACGATTGCGGAATCCGGCGTTCGGCTTACTGTAGGACCGCAAACGACTGGAGGGTCTGCAAGGCGGAGCTGATTCAAAATATCTCGAGTTGGGCTCACCTGCCGCGATGTAGTGGTCGTAGAACGAAGCGAGATTTCTGATGTTATCGTCCGATCATCGGCAAGCCGAGGTCGCTTGGAAGGGCTTGAATCTCGTGGTGTTGCCATTGACGCTCGCCTCTTCTGACGGTAGCCGCTTATCGTGGACAACGGGCTATGGAGGGTAGAAGCGGGAGTCGTGGGGGCCTCAGAAGCGCCTGATAGCTGGTCCAGCCAGTTTTCAATGTCCTGAAAGGAAGATTCTGACATATATTAATAATATGAAGCGTCTTTTTGTCGCAGTTTTCCGTTTGCCGTCGCACTTGTCATCGTGTTTTGCGACAATGATGTGTGGGGATCAAACAACTTCGTGGAACAGTCGCGGATTGCCGCATACTGCATTGCTGGCGGTTTCCCCTCGCCCTAGCTTTTGGCACGTGTTTCCGTTGTTCGGGTAACAGACCTTGCGCCACAAGTATGCCTCTGTATGTTTCAGTCATCAACGCCACAGTGGCTGATGCGAAGAGCGGATATAGCCTAATAGTCGCTTGATAACGCACTTGGATAATATTCTTGTTCTATGGAAACATCCCAGCTCGCTCCTTTATTCTCCTATGGACAAAGACATATATACCTTGAGCAAGGAAGCTTTAAAGCATTCCTCGAAAGGCCCACCTGGCATCTTTGAAAGATAAGGGGTTCTTAAACTCCACCCTCGCGCCCTTGCCCCCTCCTTCCTGCTTTCCCAGACTTCAGTGATGCTTTCAAGCCCACACCCTTGCCTCCAATTCCCTCGAGATCCCAACGCGAGAAACATTCAACATCCTCGTTGCCACAACATTCTTTTCTGCTACTTATGCCGCCTACTGCGGTCAAGTCAGTATCGACGTCCCCACACGCTTCTGCGAAACGCAGACGGGCCACCATCCTCTCATCAGATGAGGCATCCGCGCACTCACTATGTGGTACCTTACTGCTAAACGTGACGGACAGTCCTGTCCAAGCCGGTACAAATAAATTGAGAACCCCAAAAAATGGAAGCAAACCTTATCGACAAATCATCCATCCACACCCATAACTTACTGTGCGACGTTCCTTTGTTCACCTGCAGGCTGGGCAGCGACTCGACATGTTCCCACTGCATGTTACCCGAGGAAACTACGCACTCTCCTTGCCCATATATTCCGCCGTGATTTCTGGGAATGAGGTGAATTGAAAATCGCTAATTTCCCCAGGTACTCCTACAACCCTGTGTTCAAGTCTGCGTCCTTGCAACTTTTGAATATGGATGGAAGCGTTAGAAAACCATTCTTGCGGCCGTTGCGACCGGCGCAAGCAATGTCTCAAGTTGAAATGACGATTCCAAGTGAACCAAAGCGGAGCCGCCAATCCACCGCCTGTACATCCTGTCAAAAGAAACGGAAGAGGGTGGGTGAGTTTATAGATGCCATGGACTCTTTGAGTAACATGCTATAGTGTTCCGGGTCACCGCCTTGCGACGTTTGCAACGCTCTCGGCATTCAATGCGTTTTCGATCCCTCAAAAGACAAACGCCGGAAGCTTAATGGTCAACGAGCACATGAAACGGTCTCGAGACTCGTGAGTCTCCTACAACAGGGGTCAGATAGAGACCTTGGTCTACTGAGGGAAAGCGTTAGGCTGTGCGATTCTCGTGAACAAGCCATGTAAACGCTATCATTATTTCTTTCATCGTTTTCCGGCCCATACGACACACAACGGCAATAGATACAGGTGATCGCAATCCACAAAAAGCGAGGCAACGGCATCTCTGGTGCCCGAATAAATGATTTTTGCGGCATTTTGGAGGGCATGGAGAGCAGTAGCAGATCATAAGTGTATTGGAGATAGTCTAACCAGGGACGCAAGTGCTGTAGTGAATCAAGGAAAAAGGAGAGGTAACCATTGGTTAAAGGACCTCGTTATCCTTGAGGGGCTGGTGGGAGCCGACTGAATGGCCCGCAACATAGTACTGGACTGCTCAATGTATTGTCTCTATGGACGGTTTAAATAATAGCCAACCTGTGATGAATATATGTACCGAGGTAAGAATTGCCATCACGGTCTATGTACTCAAGCTGATATGATGTGCCCACCCCCCCCAAGCCCACAGAACATAGAATACTCGGCTTTGTATCTGGTAGCGAACTCACCGTACTCCTTGATGCTGTATTTAATCAGCGTGTTATCATCTTCATGGTCATCTGCTATGAGTACAACAGTCTGCAGAGCAGGCAAGATGGATACGACCATTGAAGAAGATAGGTTCCAACCTTCCCACTCTATATCCTCGACAAGAAGATTCCTGAATGAAGCAAGGGAATTCCGGTAGGATTCTTGCAGCTCCTTTAGAAGATCAGAATTGTCGGTAATATCGCAACTCAACCAGAGAAGGTCCTGGCGCGGGTTCAAATAGAACGAGCGTTCGGGCAGATCCGGATGTTGGATCAAGATATACTTTCTTAAACTATGCATGCGAGATTCGTGACATATCCAGAGGGCGATCGGAGGCGGACACTCTTCCAATGGGGACCGTGTCTCTAAGAATCTCGAGCTAGAATCACTCTGCAAGAGTGCGTCAAAAGAGCCTAGAGGACGAAGGATAGTGAATTGCTTGAATCCTGGTGTTTCTCGGTCGTCGTCATTACTGTCATTGGCTTCCTCAATCTCATCAACGACTTCCCCGGCCGTAGCGTCGTCGAATTTCTCCCATGATGCAGCTTCGATGACCCGTGCTGTAGGCCATGTATTCTCCCAGATCATTAGTCGGAGCTCCGTTGGAAGGGAGCTAAAGCCAATCCGTAGAGCACTCTCCTGGTCTTCTAGTCTTCGGCGTTTGTGGCGAACTGGGTCATCTCCTTCAGAGGTGGTATTCCTAAGATCTTGGTTGACAAGGTCAGTAACGGATTATAAGTGCATCAGAGATAGTCTAACCATGAACGCAAGCAGCTGTGGTGGATTTAGCCCCGTCCGTTGTGGGTGGGCTTTTTGAGGATTTTGTTTGTGCTTGGCCGCATGATCTGCTATAAGCGAAGGGTGTCGGACAAAAGTTCCTGGTTAGCGGAAGTATCGTTCCTTGCGTGGACCGGGACAGGGGTTCAATGCTTAAGGCGCTTGAGAAGGTATGGTGGCGGCACGATTGAATCCGGTATAACTTCAGGGCTGTGTTTGTGTCCTTTCGCAAAGAGCGGTTTGGAGTCACGGATATGCGGGAGATCCCTGGCGAATCAGGAAGAGTGAATGTCAACCAGCCACTGTGGCTGACTAGTCTTGGCGCCCATGCCTCTATTATTTTCGCGATTCTCCCGACGTTTCGCCAGTCTTCTTCATCAACTACCCTAGGCCTACCGCAAAGAATCTAAGGTCATCTTTGTATTCTTTCTCAAGGATTTTGCTCGAGGGAAAATTATCTTTCCCTTTATTGACCCAGTCATGGTGCGCGTCACAAAACCCTCGAAAGCTACGCGCTTCAACGCGCGTATCCTGAAGAAGCTTCAAGACGCTATCGCATCAGATCCAGAGGTCGACTTGGTCACAAAGCTGCCAACGGAGTACTCTACTCGATTGAGAAGCATGCGTAACAGCATGAAAACCGACAACAATGACAGTAAGTCCTCGTTCTTTTGTATTTAGCCTTTTCTAACGACGGTCCCCAGATACCATCGCACCTGGACGCCCTACTGATGAAGATATAAGGGCGTCTCTTGATGCGTCTGCGCCAGTTGAGACGATTTATCCTCTCTCGAGGGTAGTCCTTGATTTAATAGAGGACGTATCCCAGACTTCCGGCCTAATCTCAGACAGCTTCTCGGAACGACTGATAGCGTTGATGGAACGGAGTCAAGTCATCTGGAAAGGTCCATCTGCTACTCGAAAAATGGTCTTTAAGTGCAATGCTTCCATTATTCTGAAAGCTGTTCGAGATATGACCGACTTTACCGAGTACACAAGTCTACAATACCTTCGGCAGCAAAGACCTGATGTACCGAATCCAGAACCTCTGGGCATGCTACGGTTCAATGGCATTGTGCTTATTTTCATGACTTACCAGCCTGGCGATACCCTTACGACTCTGTGGCCGACTCTGGATCAAGTGCAAAAAAGGTCCATCCAAGAGCAGCTGAACAAGATCCTAACAGATCTAAGATCCTTGCCATTTACTCCCGGCACGCCGCTGGGAGGCACGAAGGGCGAAGGCTGCAAAGATGTCAGGAGACATCTACGTCGAAGCAGCCAACCGATCACAACAATCGACGAGTTTGAGGAATTTCTTTCCAAGGGTTACAGGTCGGGCGGTCATGCCTTTGTGGAGTTACTGCGAGAATTAAGCCCGCCAGCCTCATCATGCAAGATTGTTTTCACCCACGGCGACGTCCGTCCAGACAATATCATCGTGAAGCTGACAGAAGACCACGGCTGCATTGTTACTGGGCTGATAGACTGGGAGTACAGTGGATGGTATCCAGAATATTACGAAGCTGCCAAAAGTACCAATTGCCTTTCCCCGTATGAGGAAGACGATTGGTATCTGTTTCTACCAGACTGTGTCTCACCCATGAGATACGCTCACTGGTGGCTCCTTGACCGCGTCCGGGAATCAAGAGTGGTATAGCGATCTAGCTTCGAGTTGTGCGATAAATATCTAAATAATAGCCCCCCGTTTACTCCTAAGTTCCTTCCTTGCTTCCTGATAATCTTCATCCTCTTCGTCTAAAACATAATCTTCCTGCAACTGGTCCAACATCTCTAACACATAATCTTGACAGTCCCATTCGACAGTCTCGTTATCCACCGGTACCGATTTCGCCGTGTCCTTAACCCTCTGGATATCACTGTCGCTGATAGTGCCAACGAAGAGCTTCCCGGTGAAACTTCCAGACCGCTCGGGCTCAGCGTTCACAACGTTACGCTGAAAGTGAGGATGCTGGCCAACAACTTCGAAGATAATGCTAAGAGTATCGCTCTCCAACTGCAGCGCCCAATGCTTGTAGTTGCCGTAACGAGGCCGATAGAAGACGACATAAAGGCTCGGGGCCATTCTCAAGTCACTAAGGTATAGCATTATTAGGGATGTCAATAAGCCAGTCACGAGGTCACCGTACCGTTTTTGGTTTGCGGTTCGAGTGGTTCGATGGTAGACAGCTTTAAGGGGGCAGGCAGTGGTTTATGAACTCGACGAAGAAAACGTGCGGAATAGACTTTTAGCTGCCAAGAGAGAAATGAACGGAAGATTGTGGCCTACTCCAGTGTCCTGGAATCGACGCCAATATTTATATCCTTGCCGCTTGGGCACAAGACGGAGCGGCTCAAATAATATCATGTCAACCTTACCGCAAAGGTCAGTGCACATGCGGCTACAGAGTCGACCCAATAGTCGCAGAGCCCTAGCGCTCTTCCATGATCTGAAACATGGATTGCGGCACTGGTGTTCACGAATCATAAGACAGCGTAGCAATAGTGGTGGAAAACGAGACGGTGTTGCGCATGGACGCTTCGACCTCCGAGGCTGGAGGGGCCAAGACCGGCAAGTTCTTGGCCCCATTGAACTGTCTTGCACGCGATTGGCTCATTTCGGAGTATGACTCATTGCCTTAGCTCGTCCTCTATCATGGACCAATCGATAGCGCAGCCAAGTATCCCCGAACACCTCAGCCTCGAAGTCACACTCTGGGGCAAGCGCTGGGATGTGATACAACTTGCAGAAATCTCATCACCGCGTAATCATCACTACTGAGACATTGGCGATCAGGTCGACTGATATCTTCCAGCACGAGAAGCGATGAAAATAACCTTGGTGGATCCTACTAGGCTGGCTGCTGATGCCTGGACGATGTCTGGACGAGTCCCTATCAGCTGTAGCAGTAACTATCCAGCCAAATCGGGACAAAGCCAATCACTGTGTTCTACCTCTCCCTGTCAGTACCAGAATCTCATAAAACACTCAAGTCGAAGGCTCAAAATTTAAAATTTGATCGACAGCATCGTGACCGGACGGTGTCGCAGCTCATAAGCCACCTCTCCTACAACCTCGAGGCGTCGAAAAACGTATTTCATCTTCACGTTTGTCCCGAAGACAAAGCATGAAGTTCATTCGTTACGTCTCGGCCTCTATTAGTACATCCTTTCGTTCCCAGGCGGCGCTGTCAATCTTAAGTTGCGTGCATACGTTCCAGACCGCTGAGCATTCACCTGCCAAAACAAGATTCTTTGTTCATTTAAACAAAGAACTCAGTCCCACCAAAGAGCATTAAAGCCTAAATAAGAGCAATGGTCCCATCACTGCTTGAAATATGATTCAATCTACATTTTTATTTCTTATTAGCATTCCAAGTTCAGAGGATGGACGCCGACCACCAACTTTGAACTGTTCCAATCATCCTCGGCCCAGTCAGGCCAGTCCAGGCCGGATTTTTCTCCTATTCTTCATGAGTTATACTGTAGAGCGGGCAATATTTTACGCCTCCCGTGATATCCGCTAACGGTCCTTGAGAGTTGACAACCCTTCTTGGTCAACCGTAGCGGATGATCCAACCACCCATTGTAAGCGGCGCCTCTTGATGTACCACAATCCAATCGACAAGCTCTCAGGCCCCACCCTCGCCTCCAAATTCCTCGAGATCCAAAACTGCGAAACATTCAACATCCTTATTACCACAACCCTCTTCCCTAATACATATGCCGCGTACCCCGGCCGAGTCGATATCGACGTCCCCACATTCATCCGTGCACTCACCATGTGGTACTTCACTCCTTTTCCTGTCCAAGACGCTTCACTTCTTGCTCCAACTCATAGATTCTCCTCTGTAGGATTGCCACCTGAGCTCCCTGGGCTCCCTGAATGAGCAGGCTGAGCTGCTGTTGAACTTCTTTCTGAATAGTTTGGGAGATCCACTGTTGTAACGCCGAGGGGATGGGTTGAGGCAGTCCCTGGATTTGCTGAAGTGGCTGCGGCGGCGGCGGGCCGGCCACCAAACTCCCGGCATGAGGCTGCGGTTGTGCTATTATTGGAACTGTGAAATTAATTAGTTAGCTATAGCCTAATAGTTAAGTCACCGCATCACAATACCTTGACCGAAATAGGTTGGTGGGATTGCAAACCCCGGGGGAGGTGGCATAGAGGATGTTATCATGAGGCTCGGATGGGAAATTGGATTGGATGGGAAATGACATCTTCGGTTAGGCTCAACCAGGCCGCTACCGGAGTATATAATTGGAAGACTTAAAGAGAGTTCAGGGATTTGAAGCATATAATGCCTGTTTTCTTTGATAACCATAGAAAATCAATGGACGTTTTGGGAGAGGAATAAGGAAGGTATTTATAAGTTTGTAACCAAATCTATTAAACCTTGGCTGTCGCGCAATACTGGATGGCGAATGAAAGGGTTCCAAAAAAAAAAAAAAAAGAATATAATGAGTATCGCATAATGCTTTTACAGGTGGGGGTTGAGATTATCGGTCAAAAGGTGTTCAACAGTCCGAAAAGTGTTCAGGCAGCCAACAAACGTTTGACAGTTCGAACAGTCAAAAAGGGTGTTCAACAATGTTGAACAGCCATCTATCTAGTATTGGGTGGAGACAAGTTTGGCTTGGCTCTGCCCCACGGGGACATAGCTCGCGCCAGAGGCTTCCTCGGTCAAGTACCCTCCTGCCCAGAATTGTGCACATGGCCCGTCGTGTGCATACCAATTGAACATACCCTGAAGAAATATTGGGGTCTTAAAAAGTTCTCTATTTAGTTCCAATGACGCGAATAGGCCACTGGGTCTATTCGAGGAAGGCAGGAGGTAAGAGGCAAGGTGAGCTACAAGATAACGCAGACTGATAACTGGATTTGAGTAACAAGTTGATCTTTATCCGGCCTTTGGTTGATAAACACTTGAAAGCTTAGACAACAACCAAGATTGGAAGCAGGTTCAACACATAAACATAGTTTAGGGTAATTACTTACGATCATCAGGGGCGCACATTCAGGAACCGACGGTCTTCTTAATCAGTCAGCGTTCAACAATGCCGAATGGCAGGGTTGACTGTTTCCTGCCGACCATCTGAGTTTGCGGACGATGCTAGCCTTGTTTGCGTTGCGTTTGTCTGCTAGGTTTATTCTACGACTGTTGAACACTGACCTTGTGTTGAGTGGACTGCGATGGCGTGCGATGGCGCCGAGGTGGGCCAGGTGGATCCACCCAGTGGAAGAAGCGGGACTCGAGCAGGGACAAAGTGTTCAGCACTCGGGAAGGTGGGTCAGTCTGTCTGCGCTGGTTAGCCATGTGGGTCGTTGGTGGATTCTTTCCTGCTAATTATCTACGCTGATCAAGATGTGTTCAACTCTTTCTTTGCTTGTCCGCCTAGACAAGCCCTCCACTAGCCGAATCTACCTGACCCACCTTCCGCTCAACATAGTCAGTGTTCAACAGTCATCAGCAGACAAAAGCTGTGCAATAAATTTAGCATACAACCGAGAATGACCATCCAAAAGTCTACCTTGCCTTAATACCCACAATATCAGCCAGATCCCCGCAAAGTCTGGCTAGATGTAGTAGAAACCAAGGTTGGTCTTGATGTTCAATAAACAAAATTGTCGGTCCGCCTTGATATTCTAAAGAAAATGGTTTGCGGGCATCCCTTTCAACTGTTGAATAGCACTCAGCCCAGGTCTCTGAACACGGCTGAATGGCCCATATGGCTAACAAGGGCAGATAGATTGATCGAACCTTCCCTGAGTGCTGAATACTTGTCTCTAGTCCACTGGCCGAAGCTACCTGACCCACCTCGGCCTTGTCGCAGTCCGCTCAACACAGTCAGTGTTCAACTGTCATAAGCGGACAAAGGCTGCGCAATTAATTTCAGCATGCAACCGAGAATACGACCATACAAAAGTCTACCTTGACTTGATACCCAAAATATCAGCCAAATCCCCGCCAAGTCTGGCTCGATGTAGCTAGCAGAAACCGAGATTTGTCTCGATGTTCAATAAACAAAACTGTCGGTCTACCTTGATATGTTAAAGCGAACGGTTTGCGGGCATCCCTTCCATCTGTTGAACAGCAGTCAACCCAGGTCCCAGGACGCGGCTGAACGGGATTGGATCGAGTATGCAGTTTTGTGGTTCGTATCCATCCTGAAAAGAGATAAATGGGAAAGTAAACTGCTAGCTTCTTGGCAAGTCTCGTCTGATTTCTGGGGTACATCACGTGAATCGTTTGGCACAATTCACCCGCCGAGTCAGGTTCGGTTTCTTCTCAATTGATAGGCACCAGGAAAACTTTAGCAAGAGCTTTATCTTATTAATCGCTAAGTAATAACTAGCACCTTCTCTCATGCTTTTCATCAGATAAGTAAATCACGGCCATGGAAAACACTCCCAGTCTGGACTGCACCCCGTCAACCTTGGCTACTTTCGCCTTTAGCGCCAGCAATGCACTGTACCGCACGATGGACACGTTCCAGTCACCTCCAACATCTGTCCGGGATATTTTACGAGGTCTTCGAGCTTTAATGGAGGTTTTGGGCCCGCTTAGCGATACATGCGGAACAGCTATCGATATTGATTTAGCTGCACTTCAATTTATCTTATCACGGTGCGGCATCGCTTGTAACGAGTTCATGGAGGAGATTAGGAAACACCTGCCTTGCTCGGATGATGGGAGTGTCAGCCCTCAAGGTTTGGCCAGATTACGATACATGGGTGGTAATATCGTCATTCTCAACCACTTGCTGTCTGGGTACAAGTCAGCTTTCGAAGTCACTCTCACATCCACACATCTGTAAGTGATAACCGAGACTTGAACTCTTGTTGTAAACCTTGGGTGTTATAAATATCAATCTAGTATTCTGACATGAACGGTCTAGCCGCCGCCAGCCCTTCGTTACTGTTGTAAGCCTCGAGAGCTATAAGGACCTTAT